AGGCGCTAATTAATAAACACTAAAATCTAATTGATATATAATTTCCTTGAACTATTCACTACAATTATGGTTAGGGTTTTTGGTGCTTTTAATAGTCCAAATATATGCCTAAAATGAGAGCTTGAGGATTAATGCTGAGATAAAAGAATTCAAGCTGCTGTGCGCAATTGGTTGCCTCGTTTCACCCACAAAATTTACAATCGTTTCATTTTACAGTATATTATGTGAAGCTCTTTGAGACGTCTCGGAGATGTAAAAAGGCGCTGTATCCACCAGAAGTATTATTACTATCTTGCGGCTTGTTTACTCCCCAGCGTTCAGATCAGCAGCGTTCTATGGAAGAGTTCCATCCACTCTAACGTATGACTGTATTGAGCAGAGTAGCACATGGAGTTCATGTTCGAGGAGCTGTGGGCTGGGGGTGTCCACCCGGGTTTCCAACAAGAACAACCGTTGTGTGTTGGAAACACAAAGTCAACTTTGTATAGAGAGACCCTGCCATCAGGAACACTTTGAACAGACTTCCATGGTATGCATACCAAAACCTTTTACCAACTAATATATTTTTAGGGAAAGACATTACTGCTGAAGAAACAATGTGGAATAAGGATAACTATTAGAGATAGTAGAAGGATTTTGAAGTTATTAATGTGGTACATCATGCACATCAGAGTATAGATTGAGAATCGATGCCTGCATGGGGTGAAAAACAATCAAGGGATTCAGCTGAAGATATAAGTTTTCAGAATACTCCAAAATAGTTTATGTAGTTATCAGAGCCTGCTAGAGATTATGTTATTTTACTAATGTAAAGGCATAAATCATCAGACACAGTTTGTGAATACTGTATTATCTGAACCATAGATTCATCTCAGAATAAAAATTTTTGTATTATATTTATTTTCCACTACTAAATGGTCAGTGTATTGTGAAGTTCTCCAGTGACTATTTCCATTTATCTCCCGGGTTGTGAAGGTGCTGAGAATTCTTATATTGCACGGATGGGGAGGGGGAAGAAGATAGAACAGCATTGATGGTTGGTCTTCAGGAACATCAGATACTAGATAAAGGCAATGATATGGGACTATTTTATATAGTGCCCCTCACACAGGGTTGTTGTGGTTGTTGTTGTACAGCTAATCACTGTATTCTGATTCCATCTGTACTGCACGTCTTTTCAGGGAAGGAAGGTTTGTGAACCAACAACGAAGGCACGCAAACCGATTCACTTTGAGTACAAGGACTGCGTCAGCGCGAAAACGTTCACACCCACTTACTGTGGTTCGTGCTCAGACAGCCGCTGTTGCACTCCACACAGGACCAGAACAGAACTGCTGGAGTTCAAGTGCAAGCGTGGCAGGGTTGTGAAACAGCGCATGATGTTCATCATCACCTGTGCCTGTCATCATAACTGTCCATCTGTTTCCAAGGAAGTGTACGCAGTCTAGGACAATGCTACATATACATGGTGACCAAAAAGTCGTGATACCATTAAAATGTCGAATAGGTCTTAAAAGAAATTATGATTTTTTTTGATAATAGAGTAGTTATCACAACTTTTTGGTCATGCTTATTGGTAATGCCATGGCTTTATATGACTGTACAGGGGACAAAATATTAGCAACCCAAATCTCTCCCAAGGGATTTGCACGCTAAGTAGCTCTTATTTAACAGAGAGAGAGTGAGAAAGAGAGAGAGCTATCCTAATATTCAATAACCAGCAGTAATTCATTTTACAATTTAAAATAGTTAATAAAAGGAAGTTTGACCGAGCATTTACTACTTAGTAAGCAACAGCCATTATCTGCTTTGGAAAAGTCATTACGATACATTATTTAATCGTTTTCTTTCACAGCAATCTAAAGCCAGGCAGCGGGTTAGAATTGCATGAGTTCTGTCTATTCTATATTCACTATTTCCCTCTTTTAGTGGCGAAAAGCACAATGTTACCAGACAGAAGCATCTTTTATGCAATCACAAAACAAATGTGTTAATATATCTCTTTTGCCCCACCTGTTAGTGCAATACAATATGTTGAGAGAAATTGATTAATAATCTTCCCAGAGAATTACTTGTTACTATTAGCAAGTGATGAACATTCTTTTTATATATAGTCTGAACATGAAATAAATTATTGAGTCAGGAGAACATTTCCATATTACGGTAAATCAAAGACAAGTAAGCAGCACGATTTCTGTTACTTTTGTGACTTGGCATTTATAATCGTGAGGTTGTTATTTATTTAAGGATTACAAACTACACACACAGTGTTTTATTAATATCAGACCCTGGCAATTCAAATGAGAATTGAGAATCAGCTTGGTTGTTTGAGGATACAGTAGCAAGTTCTTGTGGTAATATTCACCCATCATAATACATCATAATATTATAATAGTATCATACTATTCTCTTCTGAGAGACACCGTAACTGCATGGTTTGCACAATGCAAAAGGGATTGTTTAGATCAGTGCCTGAACCTTTCATGCAGTGAATGCCGGACAAGTTTAAGCATCACAATACTATGGAGGGACATCAACAGTTATGTCATTAATGGTTTATCTATCCTGTCCACAAGCAATAGGACAACAGTGTGTTAACACCGAGGTATCACTTGCATGACTGCTTTTGCAAGCAATGGCACAAAAGTATGTATATTTCTAAATCATTAGGCTTTACAGGTGTGTTTTGTGTAAATATCTACTGTATATATTTGTATATAAATCTATGTATTACTTTTGCAGAGGAGGTAATGAAAACAATCCAGATTTGTGTGTAAAGCACATTTCAAATTGTAAAAGCATGATTGGTTTTCAAGAATGTAAATAAAATTATTTTAGTCTGGTTTTTCATATCCTTATTCTCTTTTATACTTTCTGAGTTTACACTAATATTCCAAAGCACTGATACTAAGTTTCTTTTTGCACATCATCTTTGAATTTTTTTTTGTTGCTCTGCATTTCTTTTGGGGTCCCCAAGCCTTAGCTCTTGCCAACCTGGTGTTCTGGTATTAAGTAAACAAGATGCATCCATACCTCCAGGGAGAGAAACTTCCATCAAGTTATCTCTGCCATTTCCACGTGTAAGTAGGATGCATTGAATTCTGTTTGGTTTGGATTCTTCCTTCTTGTACTTCAGCGAGAATCTTTTGCAATGGTTTGTTTATCTGTCATTTGCCAACTCTGAATGAACCATAGCAACGTAACATGTCAAGTTGTGGTCCAACTGAGCAATCAAATACATCAGAAGTTTTGACGTCTGGAAAAGTTTTGTTAGGCCACCAGATGGCGCATACAAAATATCACTGAAACCAAACCCTTCTGCCATTGTTTCTAAGGGTCATTCACTATACTCGCATTTATTTACACACACACATATATATATATATGCATAAAGTACAGTAGTTAAATCGAAAGGGTATGCTCATCTGAAAAAAATCTAGACATCCTTGAATGCGAAAAGGCTGTTGCTAATAAGATTCCTTAATGACTTTGCAAGTCTGTGACATTGACTCAAGGGAACTCGAATGCAAATTTGCTTTCAGAGCAGAGTTCTCACAAGTTGGCGCCTGGTTACTGGAAGGAGTCCCACTTCAGCTTCTTTATAAGGAATGCTGTTAGAAATCACTACAAATTACGCCCTGGTGTCTCCTGAGAAACAGTTGGCTGGATATCGCTTATAAGTGTTGACAGCAGCCATGCAAACCGAAAACATTGATCTGGATAATTTGAAATGATTGTATAGTTTGTGGTAATGTAACACCTAATTGGTTGACGTATACTGCTTTAAACTCTCACAAACTTATTTTCTCCAGTCTAAACATTCCCAGTTTTCACACTCTGTATCGGGTGTGGTTAGGCGGTTAATCAGATTTGAGCCCTCAATTAATCTAAATGATTGTTCAAAGGGCAAATCTCCTTTGGTATAGGTTCATTTCTAAAAAGAAATCCCTAGAGGTGGATATGCACACCCATGAACTACCTCTCCCATAGAACTAGTTAACTTTTTATGGCTTCTGCAGCCGCATATTTCTTTATATATATATATAAAGAGATGCAGGCTGCGGAAACAAGGTCAGGTAGTCCAGCAAACAGATTAGGACATCACTATTAATCTTATAATGAACATGTAAAGTAGTTTCACTCAATGGGCATAATTCTTAACCAGGACAGAAAATTGTCCAATAGTTGGATGAATAGTGTTTGGACTGTTTCCCCCCCGACACAAAGAAATGAACAGCGCGGATTAGATTTGGTTTTGAAAACAGCATCTAGCCATCATGATCGTTTAAGAAGATTTAGGGTAATCTCCTGCCGTGTCTATAAAAAGGAAACCAGTGTTAAGAACCCCTGTGGTCATTATGGAACCCTGTACTTACTCAAGTGTAAGGCGTGAGTTTTGGGCAACTTTTAAACAGCTTATTCTGAGTGTGGCGGCTTTCGAACCAGGGAATGCAATGTCAGATACAACCAACCGGATTAAGAAAAAAAAAGGGCATGTCTTCTGGCAACATTACTGGACCAGAGTGCAGCACTCTGCTAACAGGGATTTTTGTTTAAACCGTGAGCAAGAGCGGAATGAATTGCTACCGGTGTGGATTTCTGCTGGTGCTATCAGGCAGATAGAGCAAGAACGAGCACTGCACGTTTCGATGAAGCCTGTCTAACACATCTTTTTCTCGTTCTAAAACTAAATGGGCAAGGCTTGCAAGGCAAGCTGTGGCACAATGTTACAACACAGCCCCAGTCTCACGTTGGGGAGTGTGTGTGGGTGTGTGTGTGTGTGGGTGTGTGTGTGTGGGGGGGGGGGGGGGAGACAGAGCTGGGAACAAGAAGCAGATCCTTTAATTCCAATGCTAAATGGGCTTTAGGATCTTATCTCCAAAAAAAACACACAGAGGGACACACACACACACACACAAACAGACAGACACACACACACACACAGATAGACAGACAGACACACACACACACACACAGACAGACAGACACACACAGAGACACACACACAGACACACAGACAGATAGACAGACAGACACCCACACACACACAGACACCCACACACACAGACACACACACAGACACCCCACACACACAGACACCCCCACACACACAGACACCCCCATACACACAGACACCCCCACACACACAGACACCCACACACACAGACAGACACCCACACACACACAGACACCCACACACACACAGACACCCACACACACACAGACACCCCCACACACAGACACCCCCACACACAGACACACACAGGCACCCACACACACAGACACCCCCACACACACAGACACCCCCACACACAGACACACACAGGCACCCACACACACAGACACCCCCCCCCCACCCACACCCCCCCACACAGAGAGCTGCTGGAAAATAATACAACTGTCGCACGTTATTTGCATTGGATCCAAAGTTGTATTATTGTCAGGGGGACTGGTGTGTGTGTGGAGAGAGAGCTGCCAGAGAAAGCCCTGGAGATCTTACAATGATATACAATATATATATATATAGATACATACATAGATATATCTATATATCCCAAATGTGTGGGTTGTGTGTTTGGCTGTGGGCGGATCGAGGCGGGACCTCGTGTATAAAATGGGCAAAGGTGACTGGAGTCTGGACATTATTCTGTGACTGAGCAACAGGAAGGAACCAGGAACCCAAAGAGACTGACTCCCAAGACTCACTGAAGGCAAACTCAGGGACAAAAAGATGGCACACAGCCCCACAGGCAAGGCACAGGTATTCGACAGACCAAAGGTGAGTCCCTCCACCAGCTTTATTCCTCAGGTTAAGCTGACCCAGCAATAATAATAATAATAATAATAATAATAATAAATTCAGTGACTGCCAAACCCCTGCTCCATTCTAACACGGCTCAGGCAACCGGAGTAACCTGCGCTAAGGATTCGCTTAACTGATGATGACGGTGCTGATGATGATGATGATGATGATGATGATAATAATCGTTGCGTTGGATGTCGCGCCTCAATCACGTCTTCGGGACGTCTCGAAGCGCTTCCAGGCTACGCTGTCAAGTGAATTGACTGCGTGTTTTGTGGGCAGCCAATTGCGCACAGCAGCGTCCCCCCCCCCCCCCCCCAACGCACAAACGGTCGTGGATTGAAGCGACCGATTTATTACTGTTTTTTTTCTGGAGGGATTATTATCAGGCAGTTGGAGTCAGGAAACTTTCCCAAGGTTTCGCCCTGCCGGGAATCAAACCCGGGTCTCTCGTTTGCTGTAACCACTGAGCTACAGGACTCCACATGCTTACTCTCGCCTAATGTATTGCTCTCGACTGGTGAAAACTAGTTGCAAATCCCAGGAGTGCAAAATGATGTCCAGATCGTAACTCCTCAACAATTGTCACCTTGCTGCTTCCACCTGCGGTTCTGTGGGCTCACAGACTAAAGTGGTCCCTTGTGGGTGTAACTTACGTCCCCCTCTTCATAGCCTAAGTCATTGAAGGACCAGGTGGCTGAATGATGAGGAAACTCTGAGGCTTGGGGTGACAGATGCTGGATGGCTTTACCTGGAGTGTGAGTTTGTGATCACACGTTCTTACATCCAGTGCCTGGAATCCACCTTCCAGAGAGGCAAGAAGTCCTTGCTTAAACCCCGCACCTCCAACTGGTGGAACCAATGCTCTTATGCATTTCATGCTGAGCTGTGTTGTCCAACAGAAAGCTTGTAGGGAGTTCCTGGTGCCTACCATCCATCTTGTGAGGGGTCAAATGACCATCGGGTGACTGTCCGTCCTGGGTGGGAGGATGAGTGGGGTTTCCTTGGAGCTGAACTGGCTCCATGGTGACATGTTGGAATGTCGGAATCGAGCCAGCCCTCTGTGATGGTCTTGCTGGTCCAGTTCCCGCACCAGGCATGTCCGCAGTATTCCTATTAAAATTGCATCCAAAGCTCTAACATGGAGTATAAACACCGGCATGGATTGGTTGGGCTGAATGGCCTGTTTCCATGCTGTACTGTAGCTTAGTGGTTAGAGCATTCGCCTCACAAGAGGGAAGACCTGGGTTCGATTCCCTGGCAGTGAGAAACATTGGTCAAGTTTCCTTACTCCATGCGCCTCTGTTTAGCTAGCAGTAATAATAAAGATAATCCATGCATTTGATATAGCGCCTTTCACATCTTCTCGACGTCTCAAAGCGCTTCACAAAATAGACTGGAAAGCGAATTGACCGTATATTTGTGGGCGAAATGCGGCAGCCAATTGTGCACAGCAGTGTCCCACAAACAGTCGTGGGTTGAGTGACCAAATTATTATTGTTGTTTTTTTCTTGAGGGATTATTATCAGGTGTGTGGAGTAAGGAAACTTGCCCAAATTTTCGCCCTTCTGGGATTCAAACCCAGGTCGCTCGCTTGTGAGGCAAGTGCTCCAACCACTGAGCTACAGGACTCTACAAGTAGGAACCCGTTTTTTAGTCGATTGCCGGATTGCTTTACCGGGACTGTTTGTGGGACGCTGCTGTACGCAATTGGCAGCTGCATTTCGCCCACAAAATATACAGTCAATTCACTTTACAGTATATTCTATGAAGTGCTTTGAGACGTCTCGAAGACGTGATAAGGCAAGATATCAAATGCAAGGATTATTAATATTATTACTTTGTTTAAAAAAAATGCTTGTTGCGTAATTGTTGTGCAACACAGACCCAAGGGGAGATATATGACTGATTCCCTGGTATTTTGTTGTATATCTTTTGTGGTATACATTGATTCATTTTACAGAATTAAAGTTACAGTGAAACCTGTTCAAGTAACCACCTCCATTCAGCAATCACCCCCTGTCAACAACCACCCTGGACACAGATAGAAAACAAAGACATAAACCCTTACCCTTAAATACATGTCACTTTGGCCCAGTCCCTGAGTGGTTGAAGACGGGTTTGATTGTATATTGTAAATGCTAATCTTTATTTCTGTTTCAATTACAGTATATACAAATAGTCATCCTAATGTTACTGTTCACTTTTAAACTTTCGACTTCCATGTTTGCGAAACCTCAGATTTATAAGAGCAAGTCAGTTTGAGGCAATAATTATTTATAACTTGAGTTTAATGTTTCTATGGTTTCAGGTCACGTTGAATATGGGCGCAGTTTATCAGCTACTAACAACAGGTTAAGTGTCTAAAGTACAATTGAACAGTGTTGCCTTATTACATTAAGTGTGATTTATAATGGCTCTACTTATGGAAAAGGTGCAATTACAATCAGTGTAATCCCTTGACTATGACTTTGCTGCTGTTATGAAACTTGAACAGTGGTGCAATATTACTAATAAAAACAGAAGCTGTACCTGTAATTTCTAAAATTGCTTTCAGTTGATTCACAGGGAAACAACTCCCCTTCCTGTGATTTTGCAATGTAGGTGAGCATCAGTAGATAATGATTTTTAAGAGCAAAGATAATACCTAGTTTATGCTGTCATGATAAATCGACTGAAAGCTCAAGGAAACTCGGAACAAGGAGGACACCATCAAGCCTGTTTCTTTGAAGGACGAGGCAATACCTACACCTAAGCTATATTCAAGGACTTTAGGAATTTCCTGGAGCCCAACACACGTCAAGCAAAGACTCCAAATTGTTTATTCACGCGCACATATTCACTTTCTTAACTGTCCCCCTTCTCTCAAAGACGTTTTCAATTGTCCCGGCCAATAATTATCATTGCCCCGTCCAAGGTTTGTGAAACGAATGACAGTCAGAGGGTGATGGTAACAAAAATGTGAAAAATGATGCTAATATTAAGTGAGTTGACAAGTCTTCCATAAGACTACCCTTTCAATGATATGATTGCCATAATTAATAAAAGATTATGCTCAGTTATGAAAAAAAGAGCAGTCTCCTGTTACCAGACAGGCATTGTTTCTGTAATAGTTTCACTGAATAAGCAAATCAACAAACTACTACAGTACTTTGAAAACTTGTTTTCATAGAAACAGAAATACACTAAAGGTCCAAAAATTGCACGAGCTCTGTACTTTCATGATGCACAGTGGTACTAGAAAGAACCTTTTTACAATGTGTATAGAGGTAATGTCAAGCACGGATTCTTTGTGCCTTTGTACATTGTGTCACTGAAACAAATATTTACAATACTGGATCGTATGTGTTGTAGTGTGAAATGTTTATTGCCCGTAGAAGAAGACACATTGTTAAAACAGCAATTAATGGCACACAGGTCTAGTAGAGTGCTAATAATTGCTTCATCAGAGATGCTTTTATGGTACTTCTATGGTACTGAGTTTTGAACCTCGATGTTAGGAGCGTGCGGCTTGTAATTTTATTAAGTTTAAAAACATCAACAGACCTTAGGTTCACACTACTAGCAACACTTTTATATCCGCTTCTCTTGTTGGTGATTGAGAATGTTTCCTGTCTTATTTTCTCTTTGCCAGTGAAAAAGGACAAAGTAGCCTCAGAAAGATAACCCTGATATAGATGGTTGGGATAGACCTCCCATCTGGTTGCTATATGTTGAGTGGAGATTGCCATCATTTTTGGTCTTGGATGCCTATTTGGCACATTAATATGAATGTAAAGCTGCATACAGCACCTTGCATTAACTGAAGTACATTCCTTGTGTTTTTTTTAAATTAATTTTAGACACAGGATAGTCCTGATTTCTTTGCACTTTTAGGACACCAGTCAGAGTCAAAAGGGAAATTAAATACTGTGGTGTAATTTTCTGTTTGGACAAAACATTTTTTGTGATTGGTTCAACAGATGTAATGTTTTTTTTCTGTTAATTCTGTTTTTTGATTTAGAAACTTTCACATAAGAATTACTTAAGAGGAAACAGGCCACATGGCCCAATTAGTCTGCGCTAGTGTTTTTACTCCACATGAACTTCCATCCCTCCCAATTTATTCTCCTCTGTTCCTCTATTCCCATGTATATGTTGGCTAGTGTTAGAGAAATGAGCTATGAGCAATGATTAGACAAGTTAGGGTTCCTCAGACTTGGGAGACAACAACTCATAGGGGTTCTTTATAAAGGTGTATAACATTTTAAATGGGATTGAAGAAGTAAACTCAGAACAATACTTTTGGATTAACAAGACGGGAGAACAATAGAAGATAGGTTTTAGAGTTGCGAAGATCATTTTCAAGTCAGATACCAAGAAGTGTTTCTTAATCCAGTGAGTTGCACAAGTTGCCAGGAAGGGTGGTGAAGTAGTGCGGGGAATTTTGGATAAATGAGATCAGATGGGCTAAAGGATGTTCTTCTTATGAAATAATCTCTTGATCTTGTGATATTTCCTTATACAACCACAGCTTCTACATTCTCACCAAGCTCTGCATAAAGAAATGAAACCCATCGACAGCTGTATCTATGAAATAAAACTTGTTTTGCTGAGTAATGGCATAGTTTCAATGTTTTAAAATAAAAAATAATAAACGCATCAGATCTTAATACAGAGCATTGAAGAGTAAAATGTATTTAGCAAAGGGGACCAAAAGTAACTTTTCATAGCGTTGGTTATCTTACGTAAAATCTTACAATGATAATTGTTCCCAGAAACTGCAAATGAGAAATGCAAAGATTTTGCTTATAAATACCTATCTAAATGTTATTATCCATTCTAGAGTAATTTAACACATTTTCCATTTACATTTAAATTTTATTTGAAGCAATGTATTTTTCTTTTACACTTGTGATTTTCTGTGATGTATTTGCTTTTAATATATTATTGTCTTAAATATTCTGAGCTGGTACACTCTTTCCCCAGGGGCACTTACCATCTTCATTACATCATCAATCATTAAAGAATTTTTTTTTACCAACTTAAAATGGGTACTGCAATAGATTACATTTTTGCACCAATATGCATGTGTTACTTCTTACATGGTGATAATGTTTTTATAGAAGAAAGTAGCTTGAAAATGATTTTGAGGAAACAGTGAAAATCGTTAAATAATATTGCAGCTAATTTTGCAATGGAATGGAAATGAATGCACTGTCACGGGAAATCTAGTTGCAAGGACATTGTTTTGTAACTAAGTTCCTGCAGTACATTGAATTCATACAATACACGTACATGCATTAAGTGTAATGCCTACAAATTAAATTCTGTATAAATGAGAAAGGATGAAAAAGTGAAATTGACTGTGAAATACAAATAGTTCAAAGTGCATAGCAATCACTGATGTAATGAAAATCTGGTATCCTGTTCAATACTTGTTACTATTGTAGAAACCAAATATCTCTATAACAATGGTTTTATTTTGCAGGTGGAGCTTCATATCCATCTTGATGGGGCTATAAAACCTGAGACAATTTTGTACTTTGGGAAGTAAGTTGTTTACTGGATTAAAGAACTCGTTTTTCTTTGTGTTTTCTGTCGTTTTGCTGAAGTAAAGATGTGACTCTCAAAATCAAGTAACTATGTTGCCAATCACAGAACCTTAGATGTTTTAGCATAGAAAGAAGGCACTTGCCACACCGTGCCTGTGCTGTGGTAGCTCCATATTTTATACGTGGGAGGTGTAGATAGACAAATTCATTAGTGAAGACAATTTTAAGCAGACTTGACGTTTCAATGTGCGGACTCGAGTGTCCAGTGCAGACTTGAGTCAGGCATGGTCTCGATTCCTAATTCTTGGCTTTGCAAGAACCATTGTGTATATTCCTCAAATTCATGTACTGTCCTCGTATTTCTGCCTCTTTTGTCAGAAAATGTAGAGTATCTGGGACTAGAAATAGTGTGAACTCTGTAGTCCGTTGATAATTGAGGTCATTGGAACAACTCATTCTTTTGGAATGGTGATATAAATAGTGGTAATTAAACATGAGATTTCACTTTTGACATTGGACTATGGCCAAGGTACATGCACATTAGGCAACAAATGATTATAATACCAAATGTGCACGTTAGTACTAAACTATCTGAAGAAGTGAATCTTGCTGTGTTGCAATCCAAGTCATGTGTTTCTTACTTACTTACTTTGTAATTTTAGAACTTCCTTCCTTATGTTTAAAATCACAATTCATGCTGTGCATCGGTATTGCACAGTGCATACTAATCTGGAACATACACCCTTGAATTTCTGTTCTAGTCTTTAACTTACCTCACCAGTCTCGTTCACACACTTCTATTTTGTGTATTAATGTAGTTTACTGATTGGTGTTAATTGAACTGCATCATTTTATAATTTAAAATGATGGGGGTGGGGAAAGGTAGCTCCTTGGAGCTGAACTCGCATCCACAAGGTCATCTATTGTGTGAGAGAGGAAATATCATCTGGTTGCTTCATGGCTCCAAGGTTTTTTGTTATTCAACTCCCTGTCATTGTCCAGTTTATTTCTCAGGTGGTCGGTTCCCCGAAGATCTTAACAAAGCTCTCTGTTCCAACATAGTTATTAAAAAAAATCACATAAAGTGGATTTTTGTATTTTACCCAAGTGTTCAATCAGTGCCTTTGCAAGATTTTCATCCAATGATGCTTCCTTTTTAAGTGATTCAATGCATCGCTATTGGATATCAGTATGTGGTTTGGGGGAAATCAACAATTGTATAGAGCAGCAAATTATATTTTGATGGTTTGCATCCATGCCTCATGTGTTGCTCTAATCCAGGGTTGTATGGGAAGGTTAAATTGGCTCTGGGTTAGAGAGGGGGGAAAACAGCAAGATTTCCTGCTCCCTGGTATTATGCATCTGTGACAGCAGGTAAGGAGAGGTTTCCCTTGGCTATGTTGAAAATTGTTCAAAAAGATAATATCAATAGACATGGCATTGACAGTGTTTGTCTGTGGAGTTTGCTTTTTTTTATATAAAGCTAATAAATACTGCCTCTGTGCTAAGCTTTGACAGCCATCTATGAATTATTGTCCTTAACGGGGCCACACTGCACGTGTGTTTTACATTAGGCAATAAAATCTGGTATGTTTATTGATTGCTGAATGACACACTCCAAATGATTCACATTTTGGATTTTAGAGTCTCTGCAATAACTTTGTATTTATAGGTTTTAGGATGTTCACACCCTGTTGATAGTGTAGATCTAAATGGTTCCCAAAGCATCAGCTGAGCAGTTTTGCATTAGTTCAGAGATGAGACAGTTATAATCCTGAAAAGGTGGTACCATTATAATGATCTCATTGCAATTTCTTCTTACATAATTCCTCTGTGGAGCCATTATTGTTTCAAGCTTCTCATTTCTATCACCACCACCATCATCAGTATCATTACTTATTCCTGCACTTTAGTCCCATTGGATGCTGATTTGACAGAGAGGATTATATGCTTAATCCAGGGAGTGCATTTAATCTGGGTCATTCTTTGCCTTCCTACCTAATCAGGATTGCGATAGTATTTGAAAGAAACTACTACGTACAACAAGTTATATTGATATAGTGCCCCTCATATAGCGTCTCGGAGCGCTTGACAATGGCAGAGCACAATGCCACTTTTTACGTATAATTGAAGGATTTCTCTCCTTGTGTGCCTTCAGTCGCCCTCCTATAGCCTTGACCCCCCCCTCCGCCCACCAACCCTCCTGATCCCAACCACCAGCTTGGGTGCGGATCCCTGACTGCACAGAGCTTTGGGAGGTCCTCCTGTCATGAAAGGCACCGTAGAAATATAATTTGCTGTTGTTGTTTTGTGCCAAATATTGCGAACTATTTCTGCTTGTGTTTAGAAGATATCTATTTCTACCCCCTCATTATTTTAATTCAGTAAAGGCTACATCCCCCCAGGTCCCAGATGCTTATTATTGAGCCAATAGTAATGTAGAAATTCAATGGCGGCTTGGAACAATGTTGTCCCCAGCCAGTAATGATGTTTTATATATATGTATGTATTATTGATAGCCACAGGACCTTGAAGGATGCTGATCCAGGTTAACCGAATGAGAATGGCTTACGTGCTGTTTACTAAATTAGCAAAATGTTTTTATTTTGGGTTTAGGTATTTCTCTCTTCAGCATCTGTCCAAACCCCCAAAAAAGAGAGCAGTATTTCACTCAAGTCCAAAATGCAACAAATGGGAATAATCGAGCCTCCGGTGACAATCTTTCCCCTCCCCCAATTGAACTACAATAAACTCTCTGCATATAAGTGTGCTAAACTTTAGCAAATGCAGGAACAATCAACGTTACAAGTAATTACACAGAATTGCATTACATTATAACTTCCTGTTTCCTTTTGAGTTGCGTAATACTTCGTCCGCATTAAATAAAATGAGGCTCCCCTTTTAATTGGATTGTGTAGATATTGTTTAGTTTTGAATTCAATGAACTTTGTGTTTCTCAATGTCCTTAGTGTGAAAATATCAGTTCAGTTGAGAATATGATTCATGAAAACAACCAGAAATATAAACAGGAAGGCTTGTGCAGATGTTTGAGGCACCCAAGAGGGGAGGGTGGGAAGCATTACTGGTTAAATATTTCTGCTTTAAAATCTAGGTCATTTATCACACAAACCAAGATCGGAACTGACACAGGGAGGCTGAGGTTATGCCTGTTTATCTGACATGAAGTTGTGGTCAGACATTATTTCCTGGTTCTTGCAATTTTCCTGAAAGAATTAGCAGAATTAAAACTGTGTCACAGAGTGTTTGGTTTGCAATTTCTTCTCCAGAAATTAAATCATGCGATGATCTCTGGATATTCATCAGAAAATTCTTGAGAACTTTTTTTTTCCCCCCACTGCAAGTCCAAACAACTTCCTGCCATAATCCTTCCCAGGCACTTTGCCAATAGAGTTGGATCTACTGCCTTCAAGAAACTATTTGCTTGGCTTTATGATTATTATTTATTTAGTATTCAACATTGGAGACTCAACCAATATTATTTTTCTTTAAGCTGAATTTGGGAAGGACATTAGCATGAAGTTATATTCCTACAAATGCCAACAAGCAGTTGAAACATTGGGAGTGAAGCACATTTAGTCCTGTGAGTCTTTTTTTCTCCTTAATTGCTCGCAGAGTAGCTCACTAATACTCTAAGGATATCACAAGTGTGCGGAACTATTAAAACATACATTTTGTTTGCTTCAGGTTCCTGCATTCCAACATCAAATCTGGTCCCTTTTTGCTTTAGGTCAATAGATTTATTCTGTTTTCGAAGTACTTATGCTTTCAGAAAGGAGTTATGACGAGTTACTTAATAATAATAATAGTAATAATAATGATAATCCTTGAATTTGATATAGCACCTTAAAGAATATACTCCAAAGTGAATTGACTGTATATTTTTGTGGACGAAATGCTTTGAAAAAGAAACAGCGTGATGTAGTTCCTCCTAAACTCCCTATTATATCTACCTATATTTATTATATCTAGTTAATATTTATGTCCTCTAGTTATGGATTCACCAACAAATCCACTTTGGACATTTAACCCACTTTGTCCTCCCCCTCCTTGACGCATCGAGTGAAAACGTGATAGTGAGCGCATTAGATCTGCATCAACTCTACAATCCAGTTGTGTGGGGATATTAGTGCAAGTGTAGTGTTAACGGGAATACTACCCTACTTCCTGTAGCAATCCTTTCAATTGAATCCAAGGAGAAGCAAGCAGGCCACAGTCCTTGGTTTAACACAACAACATTTTCATGGGAGCAATCAATGAAATGACGTGAACGTTATTAGAATAATGCTATTCAAAGAGCAGGCTGCTTGTCTGCTGTGTTATGGTTTGATATAAACTTTCTCTTTATCAGGAAAAGATGTATGAAATTGCCTGCGGACACAGTCGAAGGACTAAGGGACTTGATTGGATACGACGAACCCTCCACTCTGACAAAATTTCTCGAAAAATTTAATTACTACATGCCCATTATAGCGTAAGTAGAAACGATGGTTTATTATTTCAGTGTGAGAAAGTGCTTCATTGCCTCGGCATGACCTGAATGCATGTGAGGATTTATATTGCAATGCCATGTTCTCCCATTCACCACCACAGTTCATCAGTGCAACAATGCGCTGTCAACACAGTTGTCACAAGAGGCCAATTTCAAATGCGTTCCATAATCTCCTTTCAGTATGATTAAATACAAATGCACTAGGAATGTTTGGGTTCACAATACTGTACAACAATAATGAGGGAAATCCGTCCACTTTACAAATGAAATTGTTAGCCTATAGCAGTCAAATCCTCAGACTCTTATTGAGATAAATTGTGACATGCAAAAGTATTTAGTCTAAATTGGACAATTATTTCAGATCATGATGTGTATTATTTAGGGCATAAGTTCTGTATTTGGTTTGAAGGCTTTGTTTTTCGGAGCAGTGGGTCTTTTCTAACAATAGTTAGTAGATAAGGTTTATTCATAAGGGTTGCCAAGTAATTTCCTAATCCTACTCGGACTGCAGGATGTGACCTTTCAGGGCTAAATATATTCCTTATAAAGGACTGAATCTTACACCCTTTTTACCTCAAAAGTGTTGGAGGCAGATTTATTAACTATAAATAATAAACTTTTAAAGCAACTTTGGCGCTTTCAGCAGATCAACTGTAAATCGGGTGAAGAAATGCTGCAACAAAGTCATTTATTTACCATTCTACATCCTTGGCATTGTGTGGTCACCTTGAAAGTCTGATAATATTCAAGCTGAAAGGAACCATTGTTTTTCTTTCCCTGCATACAGTGGGAGCCGAGAAGCTGTGAAAAGAATAGCTTACGAACTCGTGCAAATGAAAGCCGAGGAGGGCATTATTTATTTTGAGGCTAGGTACAGTCCTCATCTTTTGGCCAACTCTGGAGTTACTCCCATTCCTTGGAACCAGCAACAGTAAGTAATAAAAATAAGCTGTGCCTTTGAGAAATGATGCCATTGACGTCCCAAGGCATTTCAGCATCTTGGGACGTCCTCCCGACGTGAAAGGCGCTATACAAATGTAATCTTGTTGTTGAAGTATATTTGTAACAAGTCTTAACCCCCTTTAAGTACTTCCCTTTACCAGTCGAGACTTTTTTAAGGGCTGATCTGTATTATAATAGATTTATTGTCCATAACAATGACTTGCATTTATCTAGCAACTTTGACACGCACGAAAAGAAAATACACAAAGCACTTATGAAAAGAGTTTGATTAGAAATGACGTGAATGTTATTATTGTGGCCAAATGCAGCAGTTAAATTTAACGAGGAATGTGTTACAAGTGACCGAGAAGAGCAGTCAAATTCAATTGAGTTTGAGGTGATATAGGCTGAGGAGTGAACAGTTCAGACCATGGTATATTTATTATTTTATTCCATCTCAAAACAATAATTCATATAACCTCAGACAGTATATTAACAGGACTATGAAATATACCACTTCAACTTTACCTCCAATTCCAGGGTATAATTGGACTGTTGAAAAAAAACACACGAGTACATTTCTTTACATACATTCAGAGGGTGTTTTTATTTGGGTTTGAGTGCATGCATAGGAACAGAACTGTGTGATTCTCTAAAGGTCGGTAAATCTACAGACACTGCCAGGTGAAAACAACTTATTGGGTATATCTTATAAACCCACAGCTACAAGTCTGTACTCTTATTGACTAGCGAACAAGAATGTTTTCTAGCCCGCAAACGTACTGACTTTGGAGAATTGCCGCTTGTGTGTGGGATCAATCTCGGCATTGTTTGATGTGTTAATTAATAATGTAGAATAGAGCCCGTTTTGACTTGACTTCATTTCCATAAACAGAGGAGACCTAACTCCAGATGAAGTGGTTCAACTCGTCAACCAAGGTTTGAAGGAAGGAGAAAGGGATTTTAACATCAAAGCAAGGTCTATTCTTTGCTGCATGAGGCATCAGCCTGGTAATGTTTTCTTTATGTGTTCATTTTTATTTGATGTTCCCAAATAAAGGTTTATGTTTTTATCTGTTTGAATATATTTGTATGTAAGCACCGTGACCCCATCAGCCTCGCCCGGCTCCACTGGGCACACCCCATCCCTCAGAGGATAGAATTCAAAATCGCTTTCAAGGCCCTCCATGGCCTTGCCCCCTCCTACCTCTCTGATCTGCTAACCCCCAACCAACCTGCCCGCTCCCTCCGTTCAGCGGGCTCCAGCCTGCTCCATGTCTCACTCCCGACCTGCCCTACCATCGGCTGCCGGGCTTTCAGCCTCTCTGCCCCCACACTCTGGAACTCCATTCCGCAATCCCTTTACCTTGAGCCCTCCCTTACCTCCTTCAAAGCATGACTCAGGACCTTCCTTTTCGACCGACCTTCAGCCGCCGTCCTACCTCTCTGCTCTCCCTCATCCCAAACCTGCCTACACCCCTGCACCCCACCTGCTCGGGTCCTGATCCCTGACTGTTCAGCGCCTTGGGACATCTGCTTGATGTGAAAGGCACTTTACAGATGTAATTTTGTTGTCGTCATCGTAAATACAATTTGTTGTTTTCAAGGGTCCTGACGGTAGACTCTGTTGCTTCTAAATGGTCAGTTTCACACCCAGTATAGTTGCTGTGGAAAAGACAAAATGGTATGGCTGTATTTTGCTTTCAGAGTGGTCAAAGGAAGTTGTGGAACTTTGTAAAAAATATCGCAGTGAGGGAGTTGTCGGTATTGACTTGGCGGGGGATGAATCTTTAAACACCAAAGCCTATTCTGGACACCAAGAGGCCTATAAGGTGGGTACTGACTTGTAATCAGATGAATTTAGGTACAAGTAAACTACAGAGGGACTAAATTCACAATTAGATTTGGTTTTATAATAAGAAATGTTACGAAACTCAGTGATAGTTGTTATCAATACATTGCATGGCAACAGCCTTTATTGCAGCACATTCACAAGAAGAAGTGGTGGAACAGAAATTTGTACTTTCGGATTTCACCAGTGTGCCTGATAACACTTTATCTGAGCTGCAAACAGAAATTCCTTAGTGTAGACGTAATACAGTTTCACACCCAATATGGACACAAAGTGCAATAAGTAACACATAGATTAGTCTATCTTTACTGCTCAGTCAGATAGTTCAGTACATCACTCCCATTGTAAAAGCTCGTAAGGCGTACCTTTTTTGCAATAATTAATAATCATTAGTGCACTATCACACTATTACTTCCCGATCTGTACTTATTGAACCTGGAAAAGTAATAAATCCCTCAATATAAAAAAATTGATCAAAACAAGCTATAATAGTTCATAGTACAATCAGGTTAAAACTACTGGAATTTTCAATGTGTCATTGATATCTTTTCTGATTACGGCTCACAACATTAACTCCAGCAGCTGAGCTGTAAACCAATACTGTGATATTTAAACTAAGCTTTGCTTTCCACTCTCCCACTATGCAAACCCACATCCGATAGCATCAAAACCAAACATAAATACCAAAGTACTTGATATTTTATTGTAAAATGCAATAACAATAATCCTTGCATTTGATATAGTGCCATATCATGTCATTGAGAAGTCTAGAAGCGCTTCACAGCATAATGCTATAAAGCAGATTGACTGTATTCGCCCACAAAATATAGTCAACTCTCTTTACAGTGTATTCTGTGAAGCACTTTGAGACGTCTCAAAGACATGATAAGGCGCTATATTAAATGCAAGGATTATTATTATAGTTTATGGGCAAAACGCAGCAGCCAATTGCGTACAGAAGGATTTCATGAACCGTCGTGGATTGAGTGATCAAATTATTATATTTTATTTTTATTTAAACGTGGTGATTGAATGTGTAGACTAATGTCCTTCTCGGTGCCCTCCAGACATTCTGTGTTGCAGTTTATAAGACAACAATATTTTGTTGCTAGAATTCACATTGAAGATTCTATAGAGATTGGCTTCAGTAAAGAACACAGCCTTTCTGAAGAAGAACAATTAGTTGTGTTCTGGCTCTTAAGGATGACTGCTGTTGTGGACATTAATATTCCTGTTAACTTTTACCTTGTCAGGAAGCTTTCAACAGCGGCATTCATCGGACTGTACATGCAGGTGAAGTGGGGCCACCTTCAGTTGTCAGAGAGGTAAGACTGAACAGACAACAGATAACGTTGGACATGTTATATCAAATTGAATATGTTGAATATGTTATACAGATAACAAATGTACAACAAAATTTCATTTGTACAACGCCTTTTATGTTGGGAGGATGTCCCAAGGCGCTGGACAACCAGTGTTTCAGCCCCGAACTGGAAGTCGGAATCGGGGATGGCGGAGGGCACGGGGGAAGGAGGGTGATCGAAGGCACGGTCAAAGAAGAAGGTCTTGAGACAGGTCTTGAAGGAGGCAAGGGAGGGGGCGAGGCGGAGGGGCTGCAGGAAAGAATTCCAGAGGATGGGGGCGGAGCGGCTGAAGACCCACCCGCCAACGGTGGGGCGGGCGAGTTGGGGGACATGAAGTAGGCTGGAGCCCACTGAGCAGAGGGAACAGGCAGGTTGTTAGGGGTTTAGGAGGTCACAGAGGTAGGGGGGCGCCAGGCCATGGAGGGCTTTGAAGGCGAGGACCAGCATCTTGAATTGTATCCTCTATGTGATTGGAAGCCAGTGGTGTCAGGTGAGAATGGGGGTGATAGGGTCACGGAGTCTGGTGCGTGAGAGGACACGGGCTGTGGAGTTCTGGAATGATCAGCAGCTGATGGAGACCATGTATTACATGTATTATTTTAACCAGTATGTTATGAACTTTTATTTCCCCCCAAGAACGTAATATTTTATGGTGATAGTAGAGCGCAGAACTCTTGTGAGGAAAGTTCTGATAATAATGCGTAACCTCAAATTCAGCTAGCGTTTATAAGAAAACTTATAAAGATTTTTATAGGTCGCAAGGGGTACCCTTGTGGTGGCAGAAGGCAGGACAGGCAAAGAAAAGTCAAGATGAGGTGGGTATCTCTTTTGATTTACACAAAGTGGTACTGAAAGCAGTTAAAACAGACTATGCTCTATTCTACACAATCCCATTGGCTTGTCTGAAAGGTTGGAGCATTGAAGTTGCAATGCAGCGAACGAGGACGAAACATTATTTTTTTTAAAAAAAAGGGAAATGTATGATTCACTCGGTGAACTTTATCTTCATGTCAAAATATTCCAATCAAATAAATTGCCAAAAATGTTGGATCATTGGAAATTTTCTCAAATTGTTACTGAACATTTATTTACAAAGATGGTACAACCTTTTAAAATCTTTGTAAATTTACTTTCAGGCAGTAGAGGTCTTGAAGGCTGAGAGGATTGGACACGGCTATCATACAATTGAAGAACCTGCTCTCTATCAACAGCTATTGAAGAATGATATGCATTTTGAGGTATGTACTGGACCCGTAGAGAAGGAAAAAAAAACTAGAAGCTTAATTCTTTAGCATTCGAACACCAAGAGGTTTTGTGTGATTGCGAAAGAACCACTTAAGAAATATTTTTTTTTTTTATTCTGTAGGTGTGTCCTTTATCCAGCTACCTTACAGGAGCCTGTGATTCAGATTTTACCAAACATCCCCTCATCAGGCAAGTCTAAATTCTACATGTGCTCAGGTTAATAGATACATAATTGTCTTAAGAGCTAGTAGAGGCTTCATGAATGGCAAAATATTATTGAAATTGGTCAATTCATGCTGAAATTAGGTTGCGCTGGTGAAAACTAGCTAAGCGCTCCGAAATGCTGCCCTGCGTGAAGGGCACCACATAAATGCAGGTTGTTGCTTTTGTTTTGAAGTTTCTGCTAAATCAGCTTTTCGTCCTACTTAGAACGAAGGAAGCTAGCAAAGTCCCAACAATGTTAAATTTGTTGATTCAATCAAAAAAAATTAGAAGGCTAAATGCTGCTCGAAGATCACAAAGAAACTGGATAAAATCCACGATCATTACCTTCATTGAGTAGGTTAAGGCAATATACAAGGCAGATAGGAGAAACAAGACTGACGCTGGGCAGATCTGTAGAGATTTAAACCAAGGCAGGTTTATTAAAGTCACAGATTGTGTTGCCTTCAGCTTTCCTAAATATACAGGTGCCAGACACACATCCTAACTTTTAAAATATTGACATTTATATCTCCACAGGTTCAGAAAAGACAAAGCGAACTATTCTCTGAATACTGATGATCCACTGATATTTAAATCCACGATTGACAAAGATTATCAGATTGCATCAAAATACATGGATTTCACCGACGAGGAATTCAAGAGAGTGGCAAGTTTCAGAACCTTATTTTTGAATTGAAAATTAATGTTATTTGATACGCTCCATTCCTTTTTGTCTGATGTAGAAAAAAAAATTCAAATAGCGAGAAGTCAAATAAAATTTCTAGAAAATGAATAAAAGACCCTTGGAAATGGAACCACAGTGAAATTTCCATTTGTGTTAATGGACCCACAGGATTAGATTCTGGTCACCATCCCATGCATTGACTTTGACCATGATCAGTTATAATGAGGGGGAAAATCCCATTAGAGGCCACCATTATTAATGTCACTACATGTAACTACAGTCTCACTAGAGCGACCAGAATTAAACAGTTCTGGTATACTGCTTGCCTTTCTAGCAACAATGTGCGTAGGCTTGAAATCTTTCTCAAAAGAAAAATCTTGTTAAGAAATGCATTCACTGAATTTGCTCTGAAGTATTTGAATTGAAATTGTTGCTGATGTCATTTTTATTCATTGACCTGCAGAACATTAATGCAGCCAAGTCCAGCTTCCTCCCTGAGAACGAGAAGAAGGAACTTCTGAAGAAGTTGTACGATGCGTATGGAATGATAGAGCAGCAAGATCTAAAATTCGACAGATTAAAAATATGAAGCGGTTGACTGATTTTGGGATTCAAAATGGAAATTACTCAATATGATAATTAATTGGAACTCATTCACTTTTTTCTGATTGCTCCATAATAAAACTTGCGGTGATTTTGCAGTATTTTATTACAATATTTTAAATGCATTGCTTATTCTGTATTGATGTCCATGTTAAACCTCAGATTCAAACTGGGCTTTGTATCCCTCCAATCATAGTGTAAATTACATCTTATCATGTGTGCATGTCAACCTGTTGAAGAAGTCAGTTATTTCATTACAAACATCCCACACAATCATTTTTTTGTCCAATTCAGGTTAATTTTCACCTTGACCCTTGTAATGAAGTCCCACAGTACACTCGTCAGTTTAGATGAAACAATTTGTACAGGTTGTGTTGAATATAAAATGTTCCATATACCTCACACATTTTAAGTACAAACAACCACTTGTAATCCCTTGTCCAATGGAGTATGCTCATGTTTGTTTAAGTGTAGATTTTTCCTTTAATGAAGAAAACAGGGAGCAATAAAAGATTTTTGCATTGAGATTCAAGTAGTTTATTGATTTTCATACAAGGTTAAAGGTTCCCTCCCCACCCATCTTTTCAGCATGTTGAAATACAATCTTTCAGTGAAAACACAACTTCGAAAGCTATATTTATTTTCTTTACAATTTCTACCTATTACCTGGCACCAACTTATACTGTATCAAAATCAGTAAACACTCAAAAGGCACATGCTTCAAATTAGAGTAAAATATTTACGGGGTAATAAAAATCTGAACTGCACAAGAGATTTGACATGAATTACCTCGTCAAATCGGTTATGAAATATTTACCTTTTCACCCCCTTATATATGAAAACAATGAATCATGTTTCTCAAGAGATTTTAGTGCATGTATGGGGTGGAATTATGAAGCTATTTTGGTCCACTCTCTGCAGCAGGATGGCTAGAATCCATTTGTAGTGCAACAAAGATCAAGAATCAAAGTGTTACTGTACTAGACACATGTAATTCATTTTCTGGTCAGACCAGATACTTGTCATCAGGTTCCTTGGCTACTCTTATCAGGTAGTGTCAATATATTTTGTAGTGTTAGCGACAAACACAAAAAAGTCGATTGGTGCAGATTAACACGAGAATGTTCTTTGCCCCTGGGCAAAGTTGCTTGTGGGTTCCATGGTTCTTTAACAATGCCAGGAGTAGCTGAATGCACTGAAGAGGTGTTCATTGTGCTCTCGGTATCAAAACTCACAGTTTCTTATGTTTAAAATGGAAGTCCAAGCATTCACGAAGAGGAGCTCCTGTTGTCTTCACTCGGACTCTCTGTTTGATTAGTAGACACCTGAGTTTCTGTTCCACCACTTGTTTCTCCTATCGGTAAAAATGTAATTTTTTTTAAAAAACACCATTATAAAAAATTGTCTGCCGGGTTTCGCCCACAAAGTATACACAGTCAATCCATTTTACAATATATTTGGTGAAGAGCTTTGAGATGGTTCAATGACATGGCAAGTCGTTATATCAAATCCAATAATTATTATTAATGCAAATACTTAATTTTATTATTCTGTCATTACAAGATTAATATTTCATTTGTTGTACTTGGTATCTAATAACATGGGATGGCCTGCAAGTGCACTAGAAGGAACGGTAGCCAATTCAGCACAAAATACTTTGGCTGCAATGGATATCGGTTTGATTCTTTTTGGTGCTTTTCATACATCAGAAAGATTGGGTTGGCAGGAAAATGAAGCTTAAGAATGTGAGCTGATGATTTGTATGGCAGGAGAAATACCAAATCTCCCTATAGTGTTGTGTGCCAACATTCCAGTGTATACAAGATGGAATTTGTGGTCACATTTCGACATATAGAATACCAATAAAGGCAATAGTTGTGCACTGCATTCAATTTAAAATAAGTTCAATAATAAACAACAGTTTACACAGTTTGGGGCTGTAGCCAAAGGGAGAAACATTCAAGGAGGCAATCTTGTATTGAATAGGTTCCAGAAACACCAGAAAAGGCAAATAGAAAAGACAGAGCTTACTACAATTTCCGAAGGATCCTCCTGAAATGTCATTATAGTCAACTGGGGAACTCAGCCCAACACAAAGGGTGTTGAAAAATAGGCTTGTTCAGGGTTCAGTGAAGATAAAAGGTGCGAATAAGAAACTTCAGCTTATATTATGGTGCTCAATTGGATTTATAGACAATCTTATCCCAGGGCTCTGCCAACATATCTCTTCAGGCTACCAAGCTGCAGTTTCCCCCCCCCCCCAATTTTTCCTTCTCCAGGACAGGCAATTACCATAGCGAAGCGGCTCAGATTGAAGGAACTTAAACCCATGCCCTTCATTCTATGGCGCCACATACTGGTGCACCAACATACTTATTGTTGTGCCCGTTCCTTGCATACAAGTTCTCCTACAAGGACTCCTAGAAATGTATTGCCACACTCCAAATCCGAACACACACAGCAAACACACTTTGCATTCGCAGAGGTCTAAGTTAGAGATAAATTGACAAACCTGTTTTAACCTCAAGGCCTTCCATGCTCGTGGTTAATTCACCTGTATCCACATTTGCAGTCGAGTCCATAATGTCTGGCAAGGCATTCCTGCGCCCTGTCCTTCCCGACGAAACAAAGTCCGTGTATGAACTTTCTACATCCGTCATTTCACATACATTTCCATATATCAGCACCTGCAATTGAACGAAGAGGGATAATGTCCCCGATGATAAGCGACTGATGCAGAACATTTGTTCATTGTAATGGTTGGAATAGTACAAGTCGGATCAGTGGCTGGTGTCCCAAACTTTCTTCGGCTCGCAGGCTTCCTGATGGGGGCTTCAGCTGAGATTTTGAAATGAGAGTCAAATCATTTTCCGGATCCCACCAAGATATCTGATTGGCATTTGTAAATGACAATCCTAGGTTTTTTTTGCCTCTGAAGATCTAAAAGACATTGCCATCATGAATGATCTGGATACAATTCACCATTAAGGCAGCAGCTGATCTGTGTTATAAACGTCACTGACTCCCCCACCCCTCGCTCCCACCACCCCCAATCTTGATGTGTTTACAGCTTAGCAGTGTGCTTTCTAGGATGATTGTTGGATTCTCCTTAACATTCCATACGTTTCTCTCCAGTTCGATAATAAGCTGTTCCCAGACCTCATGCTCCTTTACAGCTGCTCTTAATGCAATACCAGTCAATCAGAGTGCTGTGTGATTACAGCGACTTTCCTCCTATGACTTGTCAGAAAGTGCGGCCTGAGTCACAGGCAGCTCGGGGGAGTGGGCGTACATTAGTATCAATACAGCAGCATTAACACTAATGTGCTGCAAGGGCTGAAATGCTTTTAAACACAGATCGATTTACGCTAATGGAGAAGGAAGGGTAGCAGATCTCTCGGCCCCAAAAAGCCTACTTTGGTTCAATTTTCTCGTGGGAAAGTTAATTGCTATCTGGGAGCTCAGCCTTAGTTCAAGACGTTATTGAGAATTATACAGTACTCATGCCCACATCGTTTACACATCACTGCCAAAGTCTGCTGAACTTGTTTTTCTTAAGGCAGCTTGAATGGTTATTTTTGCTATAGTGCTTTCTACATTGAAGAACTGCAGCCAGCAGGGTGCAGATTAATTTATTCTGCATTACACAAAGATATTCAGATTCAGAGCATTTTATGTAATGCTGCATTTTCTGTAACAGTCTTTTTGATCACAGTACTGAGCAATAAAGACAAGGTTATTCCTACAGGTCTACAAGAAAGTAATGTGCACGATACACAGAATTCCCTATAATCTGTGCAAATTCACAATATGTAGCACGCAGCCTAAAACAGGACATAATTGCTGGTATTATGTACTGTTTATATAATGATGATTGCTGCAAGGTAAAGATGTCTAAGACCATTTCCTACATATAAGACCATCTTAGGTTGAAGCAGTAATATACATCCATCACCATCTGCTTCCCCAAATCCAAAGCAAATCATTTGAATAATGCAAGAATGAAGAGGGATTCTGACCATTTTCAGGTTCATTTGTAAAAGCAATGCTTTCGGAATTACAATTCACTTCCAGCAGATCCAAATTCTCCTCTCAGACAAAAGGTGCATTTTTAGCATCAAAAGTTTTATCCGATGCATTTCATCTAGAAGATTCAGTCGAGACAGTTCTCAACAGTTTCTGTTGCACGAACAAATACTGAACACTTAAATGCAGTCTGTTTGCACAGCAAGTCTGGACTTCAGAAAATTTCCCTCTCATTGATGGGTATCAGATCGGTTTGGGATTCATGCCGGGTGCAACACGCACTCCTAGTTCAACAGCATTCTAGGGGTGCTGTCATTTCCTCTCCAGTACAGTTCTTGAGCCAGGAGGGAATGCAGTACTCCAGTGCACTGCTGATGACAGCATATCCAGCCTGGCTCATCGGCAGGACTTGAAAGGGCAGACCAGTCACTGGGGGCAGGAAATCCTCCCACTCAGTTCCTGTTAACCCTGCAAACCAAAGCCCTAACAATGGTCCTACCTGGACAAGCAGCGAGAAAGTTTGCTGGACAGTACTATCAACGTTTTGCCCACAGAATCTAGTCAATTCACTTTACAGTATATTCTGTGACGCGCTTTGAGGCGTCTCGAAAACGTGATAAGGCACGATATCAAATGCAAGGATTATTATTATTTATTACTATCAATGGCATACTGTGTCGTTTTAGCTAATTGAACTCGCTAATACCTCAACACACACTCTGAGGCCCGCTCACAAGCCTTGGCTCCTGAGCAATTATAGGTTTCATCTTTAGAATAGAACACAAAGCTAATTTTTCTCCATGACTCGCACATTGAACTTTTGTTGGCATTTATCACAATCTGCTATTGGTGGCATTTCCTGTGGATGGCACTGTAGGTCACAAAAAGCTATTGTTAACTCACTCACACATCAAGGAGGAACAGTTTCCACAGCTGAACTGCAATCCCTACCAAGTAACATGCTGCAAAAGTAAAATTGTAAAATAGATGCCAGGTTGCATTTTTGATAAATATTTCCTTGTTATTCAGGGGTGAGAGTGCTACCATCATGAAGCGGCTCCATTATAAATAAGATTTTGGTCATGTTTATTCAGCACATTATGGAATTACCACACATTAAAACCCATTTGAAGTTCAATTGGATAACCTGTTTCACAACTCTCATCCAGCCATCAGGGAAATAAGGGTTCCATTAATGTACCAACTTCCTTAAATCAATACGATTGCATTTTTATTGTACTCTAAGGGAACTCCATAAAACAACAGATTCAACAAGGCTAATGGGCCCGAAGAATAAAGCAAATAGGATGCAGAAATAGGGAAATGCTAATGTGACAAGCGACATCAACACATGCAACACAAAAAAGCAAAAATTCAAAAGAATACACATGCACAGGGAGAAGATGATGCTGATAAAAAGGATCACTGGGCGGAGGTTTTGTGCAGTTTTGGTTCTGCCTGCCAAAAGTCCTTTCAGCTACCTTGAAAACGACAACACCACAACAGCAGGAACCACATAATGCACAGTTCGGTCAATGTTGTAACATGATCTGGAGTTCAGTTTATTGTTGTGCCCAAATTTTTGCTGACGGCCCTATAGCAAATGCAGGGATTATTATTGCTAGTTCTACAATCCTATTAAAATGAGAATGAATCAACTTTATCCAATATATAACAGTCATACTGAGAGAGTCCATTCAGTCAACAGCCAAGCTCAGGGCACCCAATTGTTTGGGTGTTTACTTCCAGACTAGATTTAACATTTTTATAATAATAATCCTTGCATTTGATGTAGCGCTTTTCACATCTTCTGGACGTCTCAAAGCGCTTCACAGAATATACTGTAAAGTGAATTGACTGTATATTTGTGGGCGAAACGCAGCAGCCAATTGCGTTTATCTCCCTGAAATAAACATTACAGTAATGTTAGGAGTCTGATTCTTGAATGTTATCCTCATTATGTAACCCTCTGCTCCAAGACATCACTCCGAATATAACTGCAAGTTGCTCCTGAATTCTTCAAAATCTAAAAATACACAGTACAACTCTGATTGTAACCCTTTACTGAATTCACAAGATTAGTGAGTTACTTCTGTAGGGAAAAAAGAATTAACCGTATTTTTCCTGTTAGATACATAACAATTTATATCAAATGCAAGGATTAGGCATGTTCATCTCCGTCATTTCGCTAAAATCATCACATACGTAAACTTTGCTGTACTCAGAGGAAAACACTACAACGTTAAATCTTTCAGCAGTACAGATTAAATTGAATTCCATATAGCAACAATCTACCATCCATTAGCTCATCGTATCTGCTTTAACCAAAACAGGATGCATCCTTTGCTGGTGACAGCAATTTTACTTCCCAACCTTTTCTTCTTTCACTCACCAACCCTAAAATATTCTGATATCATAATGTAGCACTTAAAAGCTTAATCCAGAACCAGCAAAAATTTATCCCAGCTGCTCTCTTGCTAAACCGTATCCTTTTTTTTTGGTATAGGAGTTATTCAACACAGCATCAAGGGCTTTTGTGAGGTGCTTCACCTTAGATTAATAAAAGCAATTATTACAACGTCAAGTATTACATTTTTGTTTACCGTAGGAAATACACGTGAGATCTGTTAAACATCCTAATTCTAGATCTTTCTAGGATGATTTCTTTGACTGCTCCTGCTGTGATCATTTCCTGCTCTCCAATTAAAAGCACCAATTCTCTCCCCTCTTTGCTGAATGTTTTGCCTTTCTTTCCCCTCCTTCATAAGAGTATTTCGAGAAGTGCCAATACCTTTCTAACTCAGCCAAGCAAACGCTATTGACAAGTGAGCATTGGCAGGTTGCTTGACGGACGGTTTGGAGGATTAAGAAAACGAGGTCTTATTCATACTTACACACCTTCACCTACAGCATGGATAACACATTAGTAACTCTGGCTGATTTTCACCAAGTGAAATTGTTAAGAGTCCCAGCTGAGAACAGCTGACTTAACACAGAGGAAATCTAGTGCTGGACAAAGCAATGTTTTACCTAGTCGGCCATTGGGGTCACCTCCAAAGCTTAATGCTTAAGTAATAAGATATGATGTTTACATTAAATGACTTCTAGTGTCTTAATTTCCAGACACATACACCGATACCTTTGGAGAGAATACCGCAGCTGTCTTGGAAGAGATACAATATTACTGAGGATCTCTGCGACCAATCGTTAATCTCCATCATAACAGTAAACACCGATAAAACGATGATTAGGCACTTTAAATCACTAGGGGGAATTTTCAGGAAACGTGGGCAATCGAGAAATTCCTAAAGACTCCTCAAATTCCAAAGCCACAGAAGACGAGGCGGAAAACAAGACCCTGAGAAGAAATGATAGACTCGTTAAAAGAGGATTTTTTGTTGTTGTTCTGGACCACGGTGATCTCAATAAGCGAATGGGGGTGATTGTAGGGAAACAGAGTGAGAAAAAACACTCCGTTAAATAGACGTTGCAGGCGCTGTACCAAATGCAAGGATTATTAGTATTATTATTATTATTATTATTGTTATTTTAGCCCACAAATAAAGCAACAGCACAACGTTGATACTAAGAAGCAATTAGAAATTGTGTTTTAAGAGGGGGGGGGGGCAATTATGCACAAAGGTAAACCCCATATAACGTATCCAAATAGTTTTCTGGGTGCACAGTAATTCAGGTGGGTGTCTGCACAAGAAAACAAGAGGCACAAGGGATGGGACTGGATGTGCTTCAACCGAAGAATGCATCAGGAATCTACAGCAGGACATGGAAAACAGCAGCTTCAGAACTGAAAGGAGGAGAGGAAAGCAATGGAGGAGAGGAAAGGAATAGAAAATTGATATTTTTTTAAAAAAAGCATTTTTTTCTCTCTCTCTCTCTCTCTCTCTGGTCTAAAGTCAAGCAAAAGTTGCAATAACTGGTTCTGCATGAGACAGCAGAATCCCCCCCCCCCAAAAAAAAAAGAAATTGGACTGCTAATAGGGTTATAACTCAATAGGAAATGCCTCTCCCCTCCACCACCACCCCATCCCCCCCCCCCCCCCTTCCTTTTATTTGCATGACTCCTGACTCAGATGCATAAAGGAAACTTTGTCAAGAGTTACATACCACCAGTTGGAGCTCCAGAGAACAATGCACCAAGTGTCCTGAGAATTTACATGGTCTCTCCAGGATGGTCTGAAGGGTCTGAGTGCTGTGTTTTTTTTTTGGGCAAAAGAGGGAGGGAGACAGGAACCAAACTTTCCCCCTGAACCACACACCAACTCAACCCCAACCCTCCCACCAATCAACAGGACCTGACACTGACTGCCCACTGAGCAACAACACACACTGCAAACCAATGAACTCCAGGAACCTCCTATAAAGGCTGTTGTACAGGCAGCAGCGAGTTACACACACACATACACACACACCGTAACAACTGGTCTATACATCGCACCTCCTGGGCATTCCCTTCCCAGTTGGAGCTGTTTGCACAGGACCAGCCTTCCCCCCCCCCCCCCCCTCCTATCAGTCCTGGGCAGAAACAGTCACAAGCAAAGTAAAGCCGCGCCTAACAAAACACGGACCCACTTCACCCACTGTTCCGCGAAGCGCTCCGAGATGTCCCGAAGACGCGACGAGCCGCCCTTTCTGCTCTCGAGCCGTCCCGAAGCGTCTCACGCAATGTACCGCAAAGGCGAATTGATTGTATGTTTCGTGGGCGAAACGCGGCAGCCAATTGCACACAGCCGTGTCCCACAAACAGTTGTGGATTGAGTGAGGGACCAAATTGTAGTTTATTTTTGAGGCATGAGTCCTGCTTGCTGCTAGGTGAACGGAAACGTAAGTAGAGTCAGGAAACTTGGCAAAGGTCTCGCCCTGCCCGGGAATTGAACCCAGGTCCTCTCGCTTGCGAGACGAGCTCGCTAACCACCATGCACCAGGACTCCATAACTAAGCTACAGGACTCCACTTGGATAAATCTAGGATACGTAACTGAAAATAATTGTTGCGATTGATGAAATGATTCAAAGTAAACATCATTGGAGGTTCTGTATTTTGGGGGCTGTAATTAAGGCTGCATTTAATAATTTGCCAAATTCTAGATGCTTTGATGTGCCACATTAATAGAGTAAATCGGGACTGAGATGGAATTTCTCCCCACAGATTCCTTCAATTACACAGAATCCGAATTATATGTTTGGAGTCACGAAGGTCAGTGAAGTGAATGTACATCTGAATGTATTTTCTGCGGTGGGAAAAACAAGCAGAAAAGCAAGCTTCACTTCATTTAGAAAATCACCTGCGCTAACAAAATGTGCTAACATTATTTGATTGACTATACTTCCCTAAAAAACGTTTATTATCAGACATGTAACTACTTCATTGAAATGCGGTAAGTTGTCTCTTAAGTGCTCTTTAGTATGGAGGTATGGGATACTCAATTCAAAGTTGCATATATGCTGGTTGTTAATAATATTGTAGGAAATTGCGTTAATGTTACATAATTGTAATTGTGCAATTCTCAAATTGTAATTTATATTTAATGAAGGTTACATTTGACTCCAGCAGCAAATCTGATCAACACAACAATAGTCTTGTGGAAGCCATAGATCGCATCTTGTTGCATGCATGGCTAGACTATTTACAGGAGAAACTGACACCTTGTGGAATGACGCAGTATTCCAGACGTGGCAAGCTTGTCCAGTTATTTATTTGCATGATTTCCATACTTTTCAAAAACAGGACACAAGAAAACTTCTGTGTCGATTTCTAAAACCACGGAAACTCGCAAACTTTGGTAAATACTGTTTCATTAGTAGAAGGTCGCACTACAGTAAATCACTCCATTTGAGTGGAGCCATGTTCATAGTATAACGTGCAAGTTACATTATTGCAAAAAAAAGTTGCAGTAAAAGCTATTTTAGGTGATATAAAAACAATTAGAACTGATTATAGCCATGTATTCTTATCTAGGAGACTGTTATTAAAACAATCAGAAATTGTTATTATCACATAACATAGTCATATAACTTATTATATATTAATATATTGGTAATATTAAATGCTATGATGTTACCCTGCGTGAAGGGCCCTATATAATAAATGCAAGTTGTTGTTGCATATACATTTATAATAATAATAATCCTTGCATTTGATATAGCGCCTTATCATGTCGCTAACAAGTCTCAAAGAGCTTTTTTTNAATGGTAATAAGCAGGAGAATTGCAATGATAAATCAAGAGGGTAATATTTAGCCGTACAGGTAGCAGCGGGCGGTAATAACCTAACTCTTTGCTCAAAGCTTTGAGCCCATTATTATTATTACAATGTTTTGTTTCGTATCAATTGATTTTTGTATTTTGTTTTGTGTCAAGTGATCAACACTTTGGAGTCAATTGATCAAGACTTTGGGATGTATTGATCAAAGATTTGGTATCAATTGATCAAAGATTTGGTATCAATTGATCAATAATAATAATAATAATAATCCTTGCATTTGATATAGCGCTTTTCACGTCAGGAGGACGTCCCAAAGCGCTTCACAGAACACACTCTAAAGTGAATTGACTGTATATTTGTGGGCGAACGCGGCGGCCAATTGCGCACAGCAATGTCCCACAAACAGTCGTAGATTGAAAATGACCAATTTATTATTGGTTTTTGTTTTGGAGGATTATTATTAGGCTCTGTGTGGAGTAAGGAAACTTGCCCAAGGTTTCGCCCTCTGCCTGGAATTGAACTCAGGTCTCTCGCTTGCAAAGCGAGTGCTCTAACCACTGAGCTACAGGACTCCACGAAACCTCTGGCATCAGCTGACCAGGAGCTGTGAGGCTGGTGAGCTGACCTGGCGCCTGCGCACTCGCGCCCCTGCGGGGCTGGGCATGGGGGGGGGGGGCGCGCCGCGTCACAAAGTCACGTGAAAGTCACGCGATTGCGTCGGCGACGTCGGCGGACGGACGACGTCGACGTCGCCCGCGCCAGTTGAGAGGAGAGGAGAGGAGAGAGAGGAGAGGCCGCGCCGCTGCGGACTTAAGTCGGGGGCCCGAGACAGACCGCCAGTACCATGGGCGCCGTGTTAGGCATCTGCTCCCTGGCCAGCTGTGTAAGTGAGGGTGAGGGGGGGGTGAGGGTGAGGGGGGGGCGCAGGTGGTGGTGGTTGTTCTTGTGACGGGCGGCGCCCCCCCCCCCCCCCCCGCCTGGTCAGTCCGGCCCTTTCCCTGGTCGGGCCCTGTGTCGCCCTCTCCCCCTGGAGGAGGAGGAGGGGAGTGAGGAGGGGTGAGGAGGAGGGGGAGGGTGAGGAGGAGGAGGAGGAGTGGTGAGGAGGAGGAGGGGGGGGTGAGGAGGGGTGAGGAGGAGGGTGAGGAGGAAGGTGAGGAGGAGGAGGAGGGGAGGGTGAGGAGGAGGTGAGGAGGAGGAGGAGGAGGTGAGGAGGAGGAGGGGGGGTGAGGAGGAGGAGGAGGAGTGGTGAGGAGGAGGAGGGGTGAGGAGGAGGAGGGGTGAGGAGGAGGGGAGGAGGAGGAGTGGTGAGGAGGAGGAAGGTGAGGGTGAGGAGGAGGGTGAGGAGGAGGGGGGTGAGGAGGAGGAAGGTGGGGTGAGGAGGAGGAGGGTGAGGGTGAGGAGAGGAGGAGGTGAGGGTGAGGAGGAGGAGGAAGGTGAGGGTGAGGAGGAGGGTGAGGAGGAGGGGGGGTGAGGAGGAGGAGGAAGGTGAGGGTGAGGAGGAGGGTGAGGAGGAAGGTGAGGGTGAGGAGGAGGAGGAGGGAGAGGTGTTGGTCACTGTTTACCGGGGCTTCTCGGTGTTGCAGTCGCTAACAGACGTTGCAGGGGCTGCCCCAAATAATGCGAGGATGATGATGATGATGATTGTTGTTGTTGTTGTTATTGTTGTTGTTATCTTCGCTGTTATTTTAGCCCCAAAAATAACCGCTTACGATCGAGTCCGTTGTTTGTTCGCCCACAAAATACGCCAGAGTCAGTTGCACTTTCACTTTGCAGTCTATCCCGCAAAGCGCCTTTGAGACGTCTGGAAGACGCGATAGGACGCAGTCTCAAACGCAAGGATGATGATGATGATGATTATTATTTTTATTATTATTATCCTCGCTATGACTACCAAAGCCCCTGTTTCCTTCTCCCCTCCGAGGGGGGGGGGGGCGGAGCTGCTGATGGTATTCACGGCATTTGGAGCTCGTGCCTCCAGGACCGGTGCCCGCGCCTGTTGAGGTTGTTGTTGATTTTAAAAGAACCGTCGCTACCCGGTCGGTGACTGTGTTTGTGCCACTCGGCGCACGCCAGCCTCCCCTCCCCCCACCCCCCCCCCTCTGTTGTTTTGTTCACTCGCTCGCTCCACTCCACAAGCCTTCTCGGTTTAATCTATTTCCTGTAAGCCTGATCGGGTGACGGACGGCCTGTTAAGCGATCGCCGAGGCCGGAGAGAAATGTCGCCCTCCAGACTTTCCCCAAGCGGAAGTGTTTTTTTTGCCACGCTTGGGATCGGAACGAAAAGAACGTTTCGGGGATCAAGCCGGGCGCGCTCTGAATCGGGCGGAGAATCAGCAAGTGGGAAAACTGCACTTGTTTGGGGCAGGGAGTAATGATCACGAGAATAGCGATCAGCTTTTATGAGTTTTTTTCAATTTAGTGGCAGGGTGTTAAATCGTGTTTTAAGAAATTCTCCCGTGCTCACTTTTGTATTTATTGGGAACTAGTACAATATCGAGTGTACGATGGGCTGGAGTGTTTCTACTCTCAAGTAAAGCCCCTGCAATTTAAAAGTACAGAAATAATATTTGGAAGCCAGGCATTCATATTGCTGCTTAAATAGAATCATAGAATTATACAGCACAGAGGGAGGCAGTTTGGCCCATCTTGTCTGTGCCGGCTGTTTGAAAAGAGCTATCCGATTTAACCCCACTCCCCAACTCCCTCCCCATAGCCCTGCAAACTTGTCCTCCCCAAATAATTATCTACTTCTCTCTTAAAAGTTGTTATCGAATTGCCTTCCACCACCATATCAGGCAATGCATTCCAGATCCAAACGACTCGCTATGTAAAAAAACGTTCTCCTCACCTCCCCTCTGTTTCTTTTAACAACTATTTTAAATCTGTGCCCTCAGGTTACCCACCCACCCGCCAGTGGAAATAGTTTCTCCTTGTTCACCCTACGAATCCCCTCATAATTTTGAAAACTTCTATTAAGTCTCCGCTTAACCATCTCTGCTCCAAGGAGAATGATCCCAGCTTCTCTAGCTTTTCCTTATAACTGAGGAGTTATGAAATAAATTACTATAATAAGTATTACATGTATTAAGTAATAAATGTTTGCAATTTCTCCCTCCGCCAGATTCCGTGTCTCTGCAGCAGTGCACCTTGTTTGCTATGTATCTGTTGCCCTAACAGCAGAAATTCCACAGTGACCAGATTGATCTACGCATTTATTTTGCTCCTGGGCACTTTTGTGGCTTGTATTATGCTGCTACCTGGAATGGAAATGCAGCTAAAAAAGGTATGATTTATGTAATACATTCTAAACATCTGGATTGTAAAAAAGGATTGTGTAAACTAATGTATTGTGAAAAACGTCGGGTTCTGAAGTTTACTATTTATATTCAGTTGGATTATTAAAATTCACATTATTCTTTTTTTCCAACAGCAGTAAGTGGGTTACAAATTATCTGGGTCAATTCCTCTGTCACTAAAACTGCTATCAGCAATATTAACATATTGTTGGAATATCTAGTAAACTTTATCCGGGCATGTGTGTCATTGCTAAGTTTGATTGTTTCATAATGTTGGGTCTAATGTTTTTTAATAGATTCCTGGATTTTGCGAAGATGGCTTTGGCACTGAACTCCCAAACATTCATGGCTCTGTGAATTGTGACGTGCTTGTCAGTTACAAGTCAGTTTATCGAATCTGCTTTGGAATGGCTGTGTTTTTCTTTATATTTTCTCTGCTTTTTGTCAATGTAAAATCCAGCAGAGATCCCAGAGCTGCAATACACAATGGGTAAGTGTTAAATTTGCTTATTAATTATGATTGGTCATATTTGAAATTTTAAGGAGACATTAATGTCTTATTAAATTACCAATTTAATCCCTATGAAATGTTGGTTTTGTTTGTATGTTTTATCCGTACCACCTGTAAGATTATATCAAGTATTAGAAACAGAAGGATGAGTGACTGCAGAGTAAGAGTTAACAAGAAACGTTAGAATCTCAAGGAATACTTGCTCAAGGACAAAGGGAGTGAAAAACAAGTGCATATTGTGGGAATGCAATGGTTGGCTGACCAGATAGCTAAACCAAGGACACTAGAATCTCAAACTTGTAACCTTATAAGGAATTGCTTTTTGCATTGTAGTGTGATATCATGTGCCGAGTAGGGTTCATAAAGGTGTGGATTAGGGAACAAAAACTGAAGCATGGGCAGAGGGAGAGAAAAGTGGGTCAACGTGTTTCCCAGTGGAATCGGTTAATATCGATATTTACTGTATCTATGGTCTCAGTTTGAAGAATAAATTAGGCTAAACTTACTGTATTTTATATTGATTGCTTAAATAAACTTTAGATTATTACACAACCAATTGGTGGTCTCCTGAATCTGTTACACAACCTATGGTATCCTTTCAGTTGATATCAATAATCAAAGTGAGCTTTATATGTGTGCTTTTTTCCTTTCTACGGTTAACAAAAGTTTTAACTGTTGCTTTCGTTTTGGACAGATTCTGGTTCTTCAAAATAGCTGCCATCATAGGCCTTATTGTAGGAGCCTTTTACATCCCTGAAGGACCGTTCACCCGAGGTAACTCTCCCTAGCGAAAGATTGCTCATGTTTGTTTTGTTAAATAGAACTATTTGCGAATGAAGATTAAGAGATTTTAAAGAATAAAAAATTACTTAAATTTGCCAGGACCTGGTTAAATTACCCAGTAACTTAATTTACTTAATCTTGAGGCCCAAAGACTCATTTATTTGAGTCTCACCATTTTGATAGATTTTTACGTTGTGGCATTCATTTTTACTTCAAATATAATGTTATGACACCTGTAATTTTATTGACTAATGTTCGCTGATAATAATAATAATCCTTGCATTTGATATACCGTCTTATCATGTCGCTGAGATGTCTCAAAACGCTTCACGGAATGTACTGTAAAGTGGATTGACTGTGTATTTTGTGGGCGAAATGCGGCAGCCAGTTGTGCATTGCAGTATCCCACAAACAATCGTGGTTGAGTGACCAAATTACTATTATTATTTGATGTAAAACTAGTGGTCAAATTTGGATTCTCCCATTTTTTTTAAAGAAAAAGTTAAGTAGTACTTTACATATTTGTGATTTGTTTTCAGCTCTGTTTGCCATCGGTGCAGCTGGTGCTTTCTTGTTTATATTAATTCAGCTGGTGTTGCTTGTTGACTTTGCTCATTCTTGGAATGAGTCTTGGGTGGGAAAAATGGAGGACGGGAATTCCAGATTCTGGTATGCAGGTGAGTATCAATATTGTTGACATCGATTTTGGAAAACTGTTGGAAATATATACATTGTTCTCGTGTTTTTTTGTGGCTGTCTTCGCAAACTAGAAACCCTGTATTATTGATAAATGTGCTAATTGAAGAGATTGGGGGGTTTCTGGGGTTGGAGGGGAGGAAAGCAGGTCATAAATTTAGGTTGTTATTAGAATTTGGCCAAACTTCAAGCAAGGCATTTTCAGCGCCTCTTGTTTTCAGCATTAATTAGTAAACTTTAGGATCTTGAGTCTGTTACAGCTATGTAATATTTCAAAGGGGCTTCAAAGTAATATGTTTAGCTTCCTGAAAAACATTGTGGTTGCTTATTCCAACCCACTGTCAAGGTATGATGTCCCAAACTGTTTTTAAAATTGACATTTTAGATCCTTAAATTATTACAATTGGTATTTTGAATCCAATATAATTTGACTTTTCCTTTTTTTTGCAGCCTTGATCTTCATCACCAGTCTGTGTTACACCTTGTCTTTCATAACAGTAGTGCTTTTCTATGTGTTCTACACCAAACCTGAAGAATGTACCAAGAACAAGTTTTTCATCAGTTTCAACATGATCCTTTGCATTGCTGTGACTATTATTTCTATTCTTCCAAAAGTACAGGTGAGCATTTCCATTTTTGTCACAAAGCCATGTAGTGGCTAGGCAGGGAGTTCCACTCATCCCTTGGATAAGAAAGCATCTCACCTCAGAATTGGATGGGGACTTATTTTATGAGCAATCTCTTTGGATTGGCGGGAAAGCACTTGCACAGTGAGCCTCATTCCAACATAATTTCAATTTTGTCTACAAAATACAGTTTAACAAAATCACTTTACACTACAGTACTCCTGTGCAGTGCTTTGAGACATCTCAAAGATACGATAAGGAGCTATACCAAATGCAAGGATTGTTGTTATTAACGATATATATATTTTTTAACCCTTTTGTGGTATGTTTGAGTTTTTTCCCTTCTCCACTAGACCATTTTACTTCAGAATTTCTTTCTGGTCCAAGATTAGCTTGGGCAAGTGAAAATTATTTTAGTGGAATTTGAATTGTTTTGAGACTTATTTATATAACAAAAATGGTAATCCTTTTAAACTGTTATTTTGTAGGAAGCACAGCCTCGCTCTGGCCTCCTTCAGTCTTCAATCATCACCCTGTACACAATGTTTCTGACATGGTCTGCGATGTCAAATGAACCTGGTAAATAAAAGCCCTTGTTTATTCTCGAATCTTCTCGCTGTACTTGAAATTATTGTAATGAATCTTTGGTGAGGACAAAGGGTGGTTTGTTTTCACATGTTAACTCTTTTTCGTGATGTTGAATGTCAACTGGTATTTCAGCTGAGCGCTTCGCACAAGCAGAAAGTCGCCATAAAATCGTAGTTGCAAACTGGTTAAGTGTTTGTGGGAGAAGGGTAAAGATTAGGAGGATTAGAGGCTCACATGGAGTGTAAACGCCAGCACGGGCTTGTTTGGCTCAATACATTGTTTCTCTGTTGCACAGTCTATACTATTTAATGCCTACCAAACACAAGTTGGACATTAGTATAGATATTGTTTAACTTGCCAATGTCTTCTTTGTTCAGATTTTTTCATGTTCAGACAATGGAAATGACGATTCTCTTGCAGCTATTTGTAGCAACCATGGTGATGTGACCTTTGTAATGGGATTTTCATGGAGCCTCAGATAGTATTTCAGTATTAAAAGGAAACCTCCCTTAATTTCACAATCTAGTTTTGGGTAAACTGGCAGAATTCCACTTCCACAAGTCAAAACACTTTTATAATAATGTCCCTCTAATGTTACTTTTGCTGGTCTAAATTGTGCCAGGCAAGTGGAATTTCCACTTCTGACAGACTCCAAGACCTTCTTCCAGGAAAGCTTCTTGTGTTGTATCTTTGAGTATGTATAATTTTAAACTTCAACAGATAATTAGTTGGATATAAAATAAGTGATTTACAGTTCAAAATCCAGCAATGTGTTCAACTCGTATCTGGTATTTTTCAGTCCGAAGGTGTAACCCTAGCTTGCTGAGCCTTATCCAGCAGCAAGCATCACCAACATTGAGTCCAGCCAATACAAGTGCATTAGTGGTACATGGAACATTGCCGCCACCGACTTTAATCCAGTGGTGGGATGCCCAAAGCGTTGTGGGGCTTATTGTCTTCATTCTGTGTCTGCTGTATTCAAGGTAAGTTACCTTGCACATTTTACAGTTTAATGGTGTCCAGTATATTGCCTGGTGGAAATAATTGGCCAAAATCATATACGTGGCTTAAAATGGTTGCTTAGTTGTCAGCCTAGTCCAGTTTGTAGCGCCCTCATCTCTTGAGCCAGAAGGGACTTTGAACTCATTCCAGGCTGACATTACAGTGCAGTGATGGGGGCAGTACTTCATTGTTGAGGTACTATTCTTCAGGTAAGACATTAAACTGGGAATTCCTCTGCTAGTTCAGGTGGATATTAAAGATTCCATGGCACTATCCGTAAAGAGAAAGGCTACAAATACAATTGGTCATTTGCTTCATGGCTATTTGTGGGATATTGGGCTGCCATGTTCGCTCATTGAACTTCAGAGTAACATCTTGTGAAGCGTTTTGAGATACCTTGACGATGTGATAAGGCACTGTATCAAACGCCAAGGATTATTATTCTGGTTATTCTGCTTAATTCCTACTTTTGTGCGAGTCGACCGTTGTTGCCCTTGAGGTCCAAGGTTGTCTGGAATAGCTCATTGCCTGCAATGTTTGTATTTGCAGTATTCGCACCTCCAACAACAGCCAGGTAAACAAGCTAACATTCTCGAGAAGCGAAGCTGTTATGCTGGACGAATCGATGGCTGGAAGTGCTACGGATGTGAACGACGGAGATGGAGTACGAAGAGTTCAGGACAATGAGCAGGACGCAGTTCAGTACAGCTACGCCTTCTTCCATTTCATGCTTTTCCTGGCTTCACTCTATATTATGATGACGTTGACAAACTGGTACAGGCAAGTAATTGCATTCAGGCAAAACCCTTTACTTTTTTTTCCACAAGAGATTACATTTAATGTCAATAATTTGTGCCATTTGTCACTTTTATTGCATTGGTTATTGAACATGATAACTGATATAAAAGTACAAAGCTTTTAATTTAGTTGATTATGGTGGAGGAGTGAGGAAACAACTCGTGTGCAACATTTTAAGTGACGTTCAATTTTTTTNCTCTCTTTACAGCCCAGACGCTGATTTTAAGACCATGACAAGCAAGTGGCCTGCCGTTTGGGTGAAAATCAGTTCGAGTTGGGTTTGTCTCCTTTTATATGTCTGGACATTGGTGGCACCCCTTGTACTCACCAACCGTGACTTTGACTAAAGTGGTGTCTTTTTGTTTGAGCATTAGTTGTCTCAAAGGAAACAGAGTTCTTTTATCAAACATGAGACCAAATCTATAAGTATGATTTTTAAAAAAAAATCTTTGCATATCTGAGAATATTTAAGGGGCCATACACTGGATGACTGTGTTGCAACAAGCATGAGAATGTTTTTAGCCATAGCGATGCATGCTGAGATAGGGTAAATGCACTTTTTTTGCATTTTATTGAAAAGGGTCAGAAGGGAAAGCAAAATTTGTTTTGTTGAGGTTGTTTATTGTAGATTGTAACACAGTGGTGATATCAGCAGACTTTGCAACTATGTAAGTTTCTATATGTTATACGTAATGCTATATTTTTCAGAAGAAAGCTTTGTGCTTTCCTTGACCAAGATAATTTCTGCCTAATGGCTATTGCTTTTAAGAGATCTGCGCTCTTATTTTGTGCGGTGCTGTATTTTATATACATGTTGCTCTACATTTCGAGATTTAAGAAATGAACATTAATTATAACAAAAGTTAACTTGTCTTGCTTGTATGATCGTGGCTGTGACGGGAGTAAAAAATGGGCTGATAAAACAATGGGCATAATTTCGAATGCATGTTGCAAATGAAGCCAAATCCAAATATTGTCTTTTTTAAAAAGAGGGTTAATGAGAAAATTAAAAGATGTACTGAGCGGATGAATGTTCATTTATATGCCAATCAAAGTTGCATTCAACATTTAACATTTTATTATTAAAGCACTGGATAAATAAAACAAGCTAATTGTGACTTATTTTATCATTTTACTTTACAAAATTGAACTATAAAGGCTCTTTCAATACAATGCTCTTGTTGAGTTTGGCTAGGAAAAAGTTTACCAGCTAACGTAAAGATCATTCGCCTGTTGAAAGAATGTGTTTATTGTGTCTCTTTTAAGGTTGATCTGATATTGAAAGTAAACCAGAAAGTCAAATTGCATTACTGTAGTTTCAATTCAAATGAAACGGGGGCAGTTTTGTCACCGTTATAAAAATACACTGGATTATCTTGCCAAGATACTTGAAGAGGAGCATCTGTGTGGGAATAGAGGATATCGTTTGGGCAGAATATTTTTTTTATGGGGAGGGCGAATTACAAAATGCTTCCAGCTTTTGGAAGAAATCTGCTTTACATCAGTTTTGTCTGTCAGCCAAACATTCACTAAGTTGCCTTAAAGGTCAAAAAAGATAAGCTTATTGATTTCATTTATGTAGACCTAAGCCTGCTTTACCTTATTTTTATACATACCCAAGAAAAGGTATTTCAGGTACTATATCTGGGTGTCAAAAAAAACGTAAAACTCATTCTGATTTGTTTTTATATTCAAATTTAGAATCTTTTCACAGAGGTTTTATTGGGATCATTAACTTGAACAAAATGAATGTGAATTGGATTGTATTAGGCATTTTACATTAGTTGAGGTGAATTTATGCTCCATAGGGCAGCGGCTAATGTATGTAACAAATTCCTGTTTTGTTTTAAAACAGGAACTTCTAGTCAAATGTACAATGTATTTTAACTATCCACAATTACTAACTGATCCCCAAATATTTACATATATATAGCACAGATTAACCACAGAACATTACAAATTACACAACACACTCACTGAATGATGACAAAAAAACATTGGTGATTGCAAACAAATAAATGTTTTATTGATGATTCTAACAAGTCTTAAAAAAANCACACACATTTTCCTTGGTGATGTTTGTCATGGAAAAAACACCAAAAGAAACGGTGGGTTTTTAATATTTATTGTTTTCTATTCAGTGGACAGTACTCAGACTATGACATTGATTCATTTTAAAAAACGATTTATGTGCCCCTTCCATTGATAACAATTGGATAAACAGTAACCCATGCCCCCCCCCCTATAAAACATGATTTGTTTTACACCCACAAAAAGTAATACTATATATTATATATGTGGCAGATACTCCTATACTTTAAAAAGAGCCCTGCCTATCTTAAATAAAACAGGGCTGTAGTAGAAAACACTGGTACTGTATGAGCAATGTGATTTAAACAATAAATGTACATTTGTAATAGTATATAAAAATATCTGCTCAGTAAATTGTTATTGACCTGACCTTCGGTTGGATATAAAGTGTGATTATCTGACCTTTGTAAATTGGGACCCATTCTGGGATAGCGAGCTGGCACCAAGTAAATACAGCAGACTGAAAACTTAATCACATAAATAAAACTTTCTGGAGGCAAATTGGACAATGAATTATGGTGTTAATTGGGCAGCCTCATTGTGCAATAACCCACAATTCTTTTCTACTCTGAGAGCACACCGCTACACTGAAAGCACAAACTTCAGGGACAAATAATGTTGATTCTCTCACTACTTTATTTGCAGAGTTCAAATATTGTGCTCGCGATGTTTAAGAGGTTTATTCTGAAAGGGATTCAGTAAATGCAAAGTTGGAGTTTGGCAAATAAAATTTGGCATTAAAACCTAAAATTGCTGAGGCTAACAATGAAAGGATGAATAGACCTTTCATAAGGTGCATAATTTACCAAGTTGCTGATAAACTGTCTGCAATGATGTGGCCTCGATGACCCTCCCCACAAGTTCATAAGGTAAGTTCCCCTTCAGCATATTCCATCTCATTCTTCCCCAATATATACTTTGTTTTCCTATTTCATCAAACTGTTTATTAAATGGCACAAGCTCCCAGTCTCTACCATCATTCCTGGTAACCCATTCCAGCTCCTGATTACCCTCTCTTTTAAAAAAAAAAAATTTCTGGTGTCTGTACTAAAGCTGACCTCTGCAACCCTGAACTTGAGCCCTCTTCAGCTGCCTTGGTGTAAATATTGCTCTCGGTTTACTGTCTCCCTTTAAGCATCTTGTATATCTCTAGTACGTCCACCCTGTAAAAACCTCCTCTTCGAGGCCTTATTTTATTGAGTCATTCCTTATCGCTCGTCCCACTAACACTGGGAGTCAACTCTCCTCTTGCATTAGGGACTGGGAAACCAACCTTGTTACATTGACAAGAACTCTTGGCTTTAAACATTCATAACTTCAAATGAGACACGGTTGTATCAAAATGTTGGTCAAATCAGTTACAATTTATAACTATAACCCTGATTTCTATTATTTTCTCTAGAATTAGTAATATGACTGTTTCTGTCTCTATTAATACATCACTGTCTAGCCCCAACTAGAATGTGATACTGTTTGTGATGTTTTGCTAAAGGTTCCCTCGTTAGTAGCAAAACATAATAAAACATCCCTTAACACGTTTCCCAAAAGAGCCAAATGAAAACACTGAAAACGTAGATGAGGGTTAATTTTCATTTGGGGGAAAAATTAAGCTTTATGTGACTTAGTAATATCTGTTTAAAAGTTCAGTACTGTAGGGAGTTAATCATAAAATGGAAGTGGCCATTTAGTCTATCGCCAAATCAGTTGTGATAAATCTCGTGCGTTTTGACTTCACTGATGACTTGACAGTGATTGTGAAAGATCAGATCACCTCTGCCACCATTTGTGCGATTTACCTAAATTGACATTAAAAAAAAATCGCAAATATTTTCTGAGACAGTGTAGGATAATATTTGATGTAGAAACTGCAGAATACTTGGTTTGTCTGCCACCATCTCAAACTGCTGGCAGGTTGGGAGAGTCAGCACTTACCAAATATATGTAAACCAGAAACTCTGCCTTCAAAAACGGAAACATTCGGTTGTACAGCCTTGTGTAACATCTGAGATGCCACCACCTACTTTAAAGTAGTCACACTTTGTTTAGGTCAAAAAGATACTCCTGACACCAAGGCATCCTTTTTTGCCAAATAAAGAAACATTAATAACAGTAGTACAACTGTGACCTCCCTGTTCTAAAGGACTCATCACATGCTTGACCCGCTTGAACATTTTCCCCAAACTCAAGCTGCACAGGTGACTCATCCCTCGGTGAAAGTGTGTTGTTAAACTCCGCTAGAAACTCCTCCTCGAATGCCAACAGCGTCTCAGTCCAGGCTGCAGTGTCAAGTTTGCCTATCGTGCCCCCGTACTCCTCGGGAAGTATGCAGGGTGGTACATTCTTGTGAAGGGAGCTCAAATCAGAGCCGTGAAGGACAAACTAAAAGAAAGCAGAGGAACACAATACACTACTGGGATATCCGTGCACCTTAAAACAGTTACCATACCTTTATTGATTGGCAAAATATTTTGAATTATTTTGGAAAATATTTCAGGGGGAAAGATGCCAGGAATAATCCTCAGTGAAAAATGCTTTGGTTGCACACTTAGTAGAAATAATAATTATTCTTACACAACAGGAAGCAGGAATTCATTCTGTTATTTTACCTGGGATTAGCTTACGCTACCTACGCAGAGAACACGTAGATACTGTCAGCATGTCAGTGTTAGATACTGAGCACACACATCCAAGGGAATGTAAGAGGGAAATTGTTTTCGAGAAATAAATGGAGCATTCCCTAACCTTTGTTTGTTTAACATTTCGTACTGACTAACATGATCACTAAGTACAGAACAGTGTTAGTTGGAGGGGTCCAAAGAGGAAAATAACAGTCATTGGAAGAAACAAACCAAAGTGAAATAATAAGTATAAAAATACAAGTTATAAAGTATCTTAGCTTCCTAGGGATCAGAAACAAGCACTGTGTTTGACGTATAGGATTTATTGAATGGTGTATAAAAGTAATTGAAAATGCTCACCCTTTCTGACATCTTCTCCTTCAGAAATGGTTTTATGATGGCAAAAATGCCCTTGAAGATTATGGGTTCGTTTATTATGTTGACCGTTTTTATTCTCATTGGAAATCCATCCTGTGAAGAGAATATAATTATAAAATAACGCAAATACTTGTACAAAGTAGACATATTAACAAACATCAACAAACATTAATGTTCATGAACAACAACAAAATTACATTTATAGAGCGAGCGCCTTTCACATCGGGAGGACGTGCTAAAGCACTATTAAAACTCCAATATTAATCTATTATTAAGAGGTGATAGGAAATCGCCTTTGTTGTAAAATGTGCAAGTGTCTCAAGTCATTGAATCTTCTTGAACACAATCTGTTTTCTCTAAGAAATAAAGTTGTAAAGCATGTGGGTAATATAGACACGTACAGTAAATCAAATACCAAATACAAAAATAAATCGCAGCCCTGAAAACATCAAATTAATTTTGCATTTACCTGAAGAATTCCAATCAGCTTTTTGGCCATGAAGGGCCCAAGGTGCGTTGCCTGGGACAAGCTAACTCCATTGTAGTCTGCAAGGATCACAGTTCCATTGACTTGATTGTCCTCTGTCCGCACAAGTTTCTCTAACGTTACATAAATGGCACGAATGCCATCTGTGATGGGATAATCTGAAGGCTTCCAGATTCCTAGAGCATTACAAAGTAGACATTGAGTTAGGCAGTCGATTTTTATGGCTTGGGATTCGCAATTCAGCATTTGTGAATCAGAAATATTTGCAATTAACGTATCGAGCACAAATGCACAAGTGTTTCAAGTTGTTGAATCTTGTATATCATTTATATGAATAACACTTAGGAATATATCACAGGTGAATATCACTTATGAGTCCACAATATTAATATCTAGTGCCTAAATATAACAGCAGGAACAAAATACATTTGTATAGCGTCTTTCACGTCGGGTGGATGGCCCAAGGCGCTGGACAGTCAGGGATTCACTTAATTTCCAAACACTCTGGTTTTGTACTTTGGCAAATGTTCCTCAGTGTGCTGGGAGCTTACCTGGACGGATTACCAAGATGCGTCGGCCCAGTGAATCACGGTGAGGAAGAACAGTAAGAAACCCAGAGTCAAGAACATGTTTTATTGCAGACGGCCTCAAATTGTCAAAGACCTCAGGCCATGCCCTTTGGCTGCTATGGTAATTCACTAACAGCTTCAAAGCCCTGTCGTAGTCAAACTTGCGAGCTCGGAGGAAACGCAACAGGAAGCCATCATCCAAATTGGTTTTCAGGTTCGGCTGCTCCTTTAAGATCATATCCCTGAGGGCCTGCACATCTCTCAGTCTCCATTCCGGTTTCTCCTGCAGCTCTTTTTGCGCTTTTGCAATCAGCTCCAGGCTCAGTGTACACACATAGGTCTCTTTGTGGGGCGAGCACGGTTTTTGGAGCTTTTCTGTTGCCAAAGATCCAGTGTCACCACAGGAAGCGTTCTCTTCCCCCGTTAGTAGCTTGTTGTTTGGTTGTTCCATTGTAAAATGCTAGAGTGACAGAAAGGAGAGTCAATATCATTTGGTCCATTCATGAACTCTACCGACAAAACAACAACGTGCAACACTGCCCTCAGATCGCTTAACGGTGGCGGAGCCCGATGCTGAGCTGGACGGGAGGGCGGGACGGGGGGGGGGGGGGTGCGAGGTGACTGTAGGCACGGTCAAAGAGGAAGGTCTTCAAGCATGACCTGAAAATGGGGAGAGAGGGGGGAGCATGGTGAAGGAATTGAGGGAGAGAGTTCCGCAGCTTCGGGGCATAGCGGCTGAACAAATGAATAGTTCTCACCTCGTTCAGAATTCCATTGCACACCAATTTCAATTAACAGGCAGAGGTCGTCAGGCAAATGGATTCCATTGATTGGGTCTGGTTTGGTTAAGGTAATGTGGTGACCACAGGTCTCGATATTGCCTACGTTAAATCATGCCACTATGTTAAAGAGTAACGTGCCTAAGAGTTTGAGTCAACATGTAACAATTCATGTTACCGCATGCAGTTACCACATTGAGTCACAGTGACCTACGAAAGCCCATATAAGGCAGAGGACGGGTTATTTATTTTAACATTGCCACTGACATTTTACCACTAGGAGCTCAGGTAGAGATATTAACTTTGTACGGGAAGCAAATCAATTTAATGTCTAGGCCAGGGGCAAGTATCCTTCCGATTTTAAATTATTCTGTGCGGCTCTAAAAGTAAATCAATAGTTTGTACTGATGTTAGAATTCTTAAATCACGCAGCTGGTAACTGAACTTTTCGACAATCCTCTGATATTTATGTTTGGGAAATGCAAGAGAAATAAGTGCGGACGACAATAGAATTATTGTATTGTGTTAAAGCTCTCTGAGCTACCAGTCGAGTTCTCTTTTCTCTTTGTAAAAATTAATTGGAACAGAAATAACAGACGCTCACTGATATAACCGGCTGTAAAATTCCCGATGACCTTTCTTTCGTTCAGCTGGATGGCTTGTAAATTTTGATGCGATTACCAACATTGCCAATTCCTTATTCTCTGCGTAATTTATATTTCACCATAAACGACTGCAAGGGAGATCTTTGACAAAGGAACGTGTGCAATTCCACTGCAATACAGCATCGTTACTGCACAAAGACAGAACCTTCACTTTCTGATTCGTAACCTACCAAGACCCAGTAATTGAATGTCACTGTTTACAAGGCCAAATATTGTTAGAGAAACTATTCAAGCACGTCAGAAAGTGTCGTAGGAAAATCTCGGGTCTTTCCTCGCTGTTTACCTACAATGCTAATTGCAATCAATCGCACTATGTGAAACGTAAATCAAAAGTGTAAAAACAGGTCAGAAAATCCCAAGATACTACGTACAATTCACACACAAGTTTGCAGCTGTTGCTATTTCGCACGCCGCTGTGGAGATGTGATTTTTTTATGAAACAAAATTACTTTCACTGGTAGCTTGCCCAAAAACAAGAGAATGAAGTTTGAGATCAAGATCCATTGCCGTTATCTGGTTACACTATAAACACAGTCGGTGATATTGGCACCCAGTGCCCTCAAATGTTAATTTACAAATGCACCAGGTAACAAAATATATGCTCTCTCCCTCCCCCATAAAATAAATACGAACCTTTTCTTGATCAGTCATAATTATACCCAGATCTTTTTCCACCTTCGTGCTTGCTCACTCTTACTGACCGCAGCAGCATCTGACCTGCATCTTTACCCTTGTTCAGCGCTCCGGGATGTCTTTCCGACGTGAAAGGCGCTATGTCAAGCGTAATTTGTTGCTGCTGCAGTTCCCTAGCAAGCAGCGCAATACCAGGTACAATAACTCGCAACTGTATAGCGCCCTCACACAGGGCAGCAACTCAGAGCATTTAACAGTGGCGGGAACCTAACACGATTCTGGGCAGGAGGTGACCATACGCATGAAGTTCTTCGGTCGTGATCTAAAAGAAGGGGAGGAGGGGGCAAGGCAGAGGAGTTGGGGGAGACACTTCCAAAGCTTTGGGGCTTGGTGGCCGAAAGTGCGGCTGCCGATGGTGGAGTGGAGGGGCACGAGGTTTACCATCACACCGATCTGGGGGAGGTTTTGGATGTAGCAAGTTTGGCCGGCGGTAAACTATTACTTTCTTTTGCTTTAATTCCTAAGTGCTCTCTGACATGACACTGACGTTAAAACAAAAAGACCCATTGTTCCTGTAAAACATGTTAAGGCCAGGACACAATTTTCGGTGTCTGAAACACAGCAACACAAGTAATTCTGTTTTGTTATTAAATCCGTATTCACGTAATAAGTGTAGCAAATAAAAAAAAATCTCAGGCAGCCCGAACACGATTTGCAAGAATCAAGGTTGGGAAGGAACGACAAGATCAACAGGATTGAAGGGCCTTCCTTCTGCCTTCGAATCTCTCTTGTGATCCTGCGAATGCCTGGTGTCTCGTCGTGGGTTTACATTATGGTTGGAAGAGATGTCATTATTGGCAGTTTTGTGACTTTTTTGTCTGATCATTGCGAATCTAGCCATGTTTATTTGTTCTGGGGAGAAAGGTAGCATCTCTCTCTGTGTTAGTTCAGAAACTAACAGCACCTGCATTTTATTATGGGGGTAAGGGAGGATGGATATTTGGTTCTGTAAGCTGTCAAATAACCAGGCCCACCACAAGCACAGAGCAACCAAGTGATAATGCCAGCTTTGGGGAGAAAAAAAGTGACAATTGGGGACTGACTGGTCTTGTCTGGTGGTAAAAGTCTGATAGTTAAATACCAGCTATTTCCTTGATTGAATGAATCATATATTCAGGCCCCAGCCAGCAAACCAGGAAATGGATTGGGGTTCTTTAGATGCAGCAAATGAATCACTGGAGACCAGGAAAGCAGCAGTCAACAGAGCACAACAGCACAGCAGCCAAATACATTTGAATTCTATCACTTTTGCAGTGAGAGAGAGAGAGAGAGCAGGTAAATACATAAGGAGAGATTAGATGCCTGGCTAGATTCATTCATCTCCAACACAGACAAAGTCACCATGGTGTGTGTGTGTGTGTGTATATATATATGTGTGTGTGTGTTCCTTGCAGAATGAGGCTGCATTTTCCTTTTTTTTTAGGTGATGCAATGCAATTGCAATGCAATATAATGCAAATAAACGACCCTCCTTCCTGACAGTATTAAACTGTGACAAGCGCAGCACTAACCTGGCAGGTCCTCTGGTGTGTGCTCTGGAGAGGATTGCAACCTCACTCTAACCACCACAGCACTGATCTTGTGACACTGTCCTCTCCACCAGAGGGAGGAGGGAAGAGAGAGAGAGAGAGAGAGATACTGTGGCTTCCACTCCAGCGCCCTCGCCTGCTCACTCACAACGCAGCAATCTGCAACCTGGTAGCTCCATCAAGGTCACACCTAACCCAATAATACTACAAAGAATAATAATAATAATAATAATAATCCTTGCAAGTTTCATTTCACCCATAAGGTATGCAGTCAAGAAGACGCGATAAGGCGCTACGTCAAATGCAAGGCTTCTTATTGACTTGTGATGATACTATTTATCGGTTATGATGATGATTTGATGTGACGCCCTTATTGGGTCGTCGAGACGTCTCAAAGCGCTTGACAGGATGTTGTTTTTGTCTTTGAAAAGAGAGAACTTGCATTTTTTCTTAAACATCGAGAGCGCTTTATTGTGACGCTGAATCATCTGGAAGCAGCGTCGCAGAATTCTGTACACTTCATGAAGTGTCCAGGAGATGGAAACCTTTTACAAACACAGTTGTTGGCTGCCAAGCTGAGGGTACATAACAGGGAGGGAGGAATTAACAAGTAAAGCCTCAAGTCAAATTGCAGATTTACTGAAACATATCAACAAAAGGCAATTGAAAACATTTCACTTTTTCATTAAAAGCCAACCTAACACGAAAAAAAAAACTGGTTTAAATTTAGCTCTCCTCGAGTGTGCACACCGGTTTAGACTAAAATCTAATTTGCTTTTGAAAGTACTGGAGTGTAATTACAAACCCGGTAGGTCGTGACAATGAACATTTAAGCAAGGTCATATGGGATCTCTACACTGATAGGATCGTGCGAAAATGTCTCAGGGGAGGGATTGCATTAGAAATTAGACAAGTATTGCTGCACTAGCCAGGACGAGAGCTTACTGAGCTCTTCCGTATTAACATTCACAAAAGGTTTACGTTGGATTGTGGATCTGTAATAAGATTCATACAAATACCTACTCAATTTCTTGATTTCTGAATCCTCTGCTCTTGCCGCTTTCTCTCTCTCTCGATTCGGGCTCCTTCCTATCCCCTAGGTTTATTTAGCCTTGATGTTCAGCACGCCTCAATCTTTAGTACTCATCCTTCTCTTCTTAGCTACTCTGCCCGGTTCATTAGTATTTTCTTCCGAACTCTGTTCTGCAGGCTCTCTTTCAGCTCAGCATGTGTCTCGATCTCGTGCATTTGTTGGCTGTAGTCCAATTTCTTTCTAACCTCTCCCTCAGATGTTTGACATCACATTAATATTTTTACTGGTGTTTGAAGATTCTGAATTGGCCTCAGTCTATCATAACACAGTGGTTGTTTCCCTCCCCTCGTGTTGTTGATGCGGATTTTGCCATTCATCTCCGAATCAAACAATTGGGTCCAAAAGAAACAGAATAAGAAATCATAGTAAAGAACCGGGAGTACTAAATGGTATATCGAAGCCAAATATTGTATTATTTGACAAGCAGATTTGTTTAATTACATGAAGAATTTAATAATTTGCTGTATCTAGTTTTGTGTGGATGTCTAAAGCATTCAGTCCCAGACTGCGCTCTTAGCAAAATACAGAAGGATATTTTGATTATCTTCTTATATAAATGAACTGTAATTGTGGGAATAGATATGTGTGTGGATTATAGCAATGTATAGAACTGGCCTGAAGAGGGTGCTCAGAGAAAGGTCTGTCTCTTTTTTTTATTGATTTACCGGTGCCGTCTTTCTGATGAGACGTTAAACTGACATCTTTAAGCTAAATATCTGCCAATTCAGGGCGAAGCTGAAGATCCCATGGCACTGTTTGAAAAGAGAAGTGAATTTGTCCCAGTTTCCCGGCCAACAATCACCTGGATAAAATTGGTGATTCACTTCATGGCTGTTTGTGGGGCACTACTATGTGGGAATTCGCTATCGCATTCGCCTACCAAATGCATAGCTACTCCGCTTTACTGTAAATCCTGCGAAACGCTTTGAGATGTTCTCCCGACATGAAAGGTGCCAAATTCAACGAGGATTATTTACTATTATGAATAATAGGTTTATATAACCTATTATATAACCTAAATCCAGAAAAAGCTGAAATGTGACCCAGCTTGAGTTAAAGTATCACTTAACAATTGAAAACCAACTGAAGCTTTTTTTTAAAAAAAAAGAATTTCTACCAGCTACAATACAGAACTTTGCCAAGTCTACAGTAGTAAAGTAAAATATTAGCTTATCTTGTGCCCAGAGATGTGCCATCAATCTTCAACAGCAGCTTGCTCTGGGACCAAGTTTGTTTGTTGATGTGGAATAGCTTTGGAGTGTCAGGTTTGTGTTCTTCCATTGGGTGGACATGCAACTGGTATCTCAATGCACGTTACCTTTGGTTGGAAGATTAGGCTATTTTGGACAATAAATGACAGTGAGCAATACTTCTTTCAAGATGCCAGATCCAAGATCTGTGATTGCACAATTGAGCTGAGAATGTCTTATTATGTAAAACTCTGCAGTGTATCACAGGATTTCCTGCTGCTTTACAAGCTGAACGCAATTATTGTGCACATCTAGTACACGTTAGACAGAGACTAACTGTTCAATCATGTGTGTGTATTCCTCATGTGATGAGTTCTTTATGATGCTAAATCAAAGCATAATTCTTTGGAGCAGTTTCAGATTGAATCAAAATAGTGACTGATGGGAATGGAAACCCAGTAGGTAATAGAGTTTAATGAACCTGAAGAACCAGCAATAAAAATTGGAGCACTGTACTGAACCTTTACTCATTGAGTTCAAGTTTCAAAACACAACAGAATAACAGCAACAACTTGCATTTATATAGTGCCTCTCACGCAGAGTAGCGTTCCATAGTGCTGAACTTTATGTATGTTTTCATTGTGTCACAAACTCAGTGTTAACCCGGATTTTTTTAAAGACGTAGATATGAACGATTTGGATTTGAAATTGGTTTAATGAAGATAATTCCTTCTATAGGAAAGTCATTGTTTCATTTCAAAATAAATGTTGGTTTGAAGAGTCGAGCTCATCTGGTACAGAAAGTATCTACCTCAGCATGTCACGTCCCCCTTCAACTTATCAGAACTTTTTTATGGCTATTTTTGCATACGTGGAGTTTATAACCAGAACTGCAACCTCAACCCAACCCTTGTTTATTTGGTATAATAAATGGAAATGATAATATTCCTTGACAAACAATTCTGCCTTCCCAGCTATTCTGCTTCTGATCCATAGAATGCTTCAACTACTTTTTCACATGTTCACCACGGCATAAAATACTTGGGTCAAAATATCTGTTATGAACAAAGGTTTTATATCAGTCACTGTATTGAAGGTATTTTTGTTTCCCAGGTTCTGATCCACAGTTACCAAGTAGCACGAGGTTTGTGCAATGGGATAGCAGCTCCACATTAATACTGGATGATGATAACCTTTTTGCCCAAATGGCAAATGTAAATGTCAATAGATAGAAATACAGAGAGTTGGGTGTGTAACACACATGGTTTGCACCACTCACATAATAACAGACCCCAGAATTCTTAGTTATATTTGAATATAATATATTGTTAGATTAAAAGAACACATCAACATATATTATCTTTGTTAGGAAGAACAACAAAAATCTCTATGGAAAAACTTGAATTCTCTGCAAATTAAACATTCATTTTTATTTGGAATGACCTCTCTTTACGAGCCCTAGTTCACCTTCCACCATCCTGGCAGTCGCTTGAAATTTCCTGTCCCAGGCTATGTACCGTTTCCCGAGATATTATTTTCTAGCAGAAATCTATCCAATTTGCTCTTGAAAGAAACAAACACATTTCTACATTGAAACTGGCATTTAAAGTGGTTGGCGACTCCGTTTAAGATTTGATTGCTCTCATTGAAAGGATGGTGAGGGAAAAGTGTTCCGAGATAGTGAAATGTTGGAGCGAGCGGTTCACAGCAGGCAGGCACCTTTTATATTGCTTTTTACAGGCAATGCACAGTCCCCAACAACACAGGCTTAACTGGATAGCCATGGAAAAAAACCTAAAATACATCAGGCCGACTTATATGGAATTTATTACAATGGCTGTGCTGTGCAAGCATATAACCAGGGTCATTGCCTTTTTCTGAGAATACTGCAGATAAAGTGACAAAACAAGTTTATCTGTTAGGATGTTTCAAAACACAATTTGGATGGAAATTAAAATGATGGAATCTAAATTAAATTTTAGTAGCGATAACAAAAGGTCCTTGTCTCCCGACTTCAGATTATAGCCCAAATAGCAATTTTCGAAAGAGTTTGTCATTGATAGCAGTCAGGATCCCACTAGGTTTGCTGCCAATTGAATGCCTTTCGTGGACAGGATTTGATAAAAAATGTATCTTTCTTGAGTTTCTGGCATTGAGTTTCTAACTTGGTCACTCAATCCATGACTGTGTGTGGGACGCTGCTGTGCGCATTTGGCTGCCATGTTTCGCCCAGAAAGTATACGGTCATTACACTTTACAGTATATTCTGTCAAGCGCTTTGAGACGTCTCGAAGACGTGATTATAATAAATAATCCTTGCATTTGATACAGTGTGATAAGGCACTCTATCAAATCAAGGATTATTATTATTGTTAACTTGACTCACCCTCCATAGCAGTGATTCATGGTAGCACACAGCACCATAAACACTGTCAGCCTCGGATACCTCACCCACGTGAGTGTTTTTCTTGCCTTGTCTTTTGGTCACAACTGTACCATTTACTCTGTATGTCAATAAGACGTTGGAGACCATTTAATCACGACGTGAGTTTTAATATAAATAGAAATAAATGGATGTGGAGTGAATTACAACTGAGACACTGAATAACGAGCTGCTGTAGCATGTGATGATCAAGAAAAATGCCTCGTAAAATTTATTGAAGGTATTGTCCGATGAATAATTCTTTTGCAATCATAACGTGCACAGAATTTCTCTCCCAATATACTTTCGCATATAGATAGGTGCAGAGTAGAAAGTTCATGTCACAGATTATGGGTATCTGATTGTTTTAGTTATTATTTACATTTATTATCCAATAAATTGCGCAACATTGGTTTCTCATAAATAAGAAAGAAAAATAATAAAAAACAAAATCATAAAGCTTAAAAACTAATGAATTAACTGGATTGTGTTTGTTAGTGTAGAAAATACCAAAATTAGTCAGAAAAACAATGAAAAACATAGAAAAGGCCTTATTTATTATTATTATTTCTGTTTTACATAGGCTAAAGAAATGGCAACAACACATGAATAAGTACAGCAATGAGGCAGTATTCATCAGAGACTGACAGAGGCACTGTTTTTCATAAAACATTTGTAATGAATATCAGTAAAAGTCGACTTTACACACAGTGAAAAATGCAAGGAAGAAAACTATAAGTCATATGGTTGTACTCTTACAATAAACCATATTGTTAACTTATTTGTCATTAATCAGTACTGTGATTTATAAAAATAATTTCATAGTTTTATGAAAAATTACATCCATATTACAATAAATTAATTAGAGCTGACATCTTTATTTGTTATGTACAAGTAAATGCTACCTGGCATATCAGGCAGATGAAGAACTTTTATGAACATTCTCCCATTAGAGCTTCTGACAGTTTTGAGGACTAAAAGCACACCCAGATACTACAAGAGCTAAAACATTACAGTGTAAGAAGTGCAAAATCTGTAGTTACGAACCTGGCAATGTTTTCTTACAAATACTTTTGCTACAAATAGGCAGTGACCAAATCTATTCGTTTTCATTATACGCGTGATTACCATGAACACAGTTGTATCTTAATTCATTGGTGACTGAACTTTTGATTGCAAAATCTGTACAGTATTGAGAGTCTATCACCCCTGTTGATCGCTTACACTATTGATTTCTTTGTCATCTTTGGTTAGTTTAGATTCAATATTACAGAATCAGAAAACTTATTAGAGGTTTAAAACATTGTAAAAGTCTTGAGACAAACCAAGATGCACATTGTGTACTATTTATAAATATATATATTTATGGCACCTTTTGTCTGAATTACTCATGTTTTGCCATGAGTTAATCTGCGATTTGTTTTGTCAAATGGAATAGCAACAACTGAGAATATTTAGAGTTCATAGTAACGAGGAAGGAAAGGATTAAACAAGGTGTAAATGTTGGCAAAATTGTCATTAGCTCATTCCTGAATTTTCTGACGTGATATGCCCCCTCTTAAGAAATAGATTGGTCATTTGCATCACAGTTGTGTGGAACATTGTTGTGCTCAAATATTGACTGCCATGTTTCCTACATATACACAGTCACTGCGTTGTACAACTTTGTGAAACACTACGAGACATTCTCGGCATTATAGGCGCCGCTCCACCAAATGCGAGGATAAGAATATTATTTGCTATTCCGAAGAACAGTTTTTCCAACATTTCCTGCTTGAATTCTCATTCCAATGGTGGCCTCTCTTATTTTATTCCATGAAATAAAAAAAAAGAAATAGACTTGAGGTAGCTGCCCTTCAATTCAGCGGATTCTGGGCATGACGGGCACAATGTCAGTGCCACACAAATGGAATCAGCCGAGTGGGTACCCACAGGGACCTCGCACTGTGATTTGTTGGCAGGATGGCAGGCCTGGGTAGAGGTGTGGGCATGACAACATCTGCTCTGCTTCTCACTGTTTAAAAGTGCCGTGTGTTCATGGTGAAAGGGCTCAGGTTATCGTGTTACCAGGTTTGAAACGGAAGCCTGAATTAATGCAAAGGTGCGAGAATGACACCACCATAGTTTGCACTCCAGCAGAGAGATTAGTTCTGCTGAACACAACTTCTCAAAAACGCTTTTAACCTGCAGACGGAACAGGCTTTTCTAGGAACCTTAACCTGCCACCAAAACACAACCTTTAAATTACCCTCCCCCCCACCCACCCACCCCCCACCTTTAAATTGTAAAGGTAAAGGACACATCAGGTAAAAAGTGGAAAAAAATAGCACAGTACAACACCAAGGCAAAGCTGTCATTTCAATACTATGGCTCATGTGTAATGTTCTTATATCTATTGATTGGTTGTGAAGAATTCTTACTGCGGTGAAGGAGTTGCTATTTGAAAGCAAGATGTGTTTTTCTGGTGACGAAGAATTCACTTTCTTATGTAGCAATTCAAGTAAGTACAGCAGACCTATAAATGAGTCATTGCTACCATACAAATAATGTGCAGCGCCTATGTGATGAGTGATAAATACGTATCTTATGTGTAAAACTGTACAGGGTGTGTACACAGTTGTAAATCCAACGAATAACAACAGCTTGACAAGGCTGCTCTGGAAAACTGACATCGTTTACAACGTTTTGGATATTGACATGGACACAATCTCTTTTATAATACGTAAATGTCTGCTTAAAAGCTAATTGTTGAAGTAATACAAAAGCGAATCTGAAAATATAGAGTACAGGAAGATGCATTTGTTATTAATGTCTAAAGAAGGATAAACTATTTGGATGTATAGAATAAGCCAAAATGCTTTTTTAAAAAAAATCATCATAAATATTAGATTTCCTAATAGTTCGACAAGATAGAGGAGCTCGTTCTTCATTGAAAGAGAGAACCAATACTCAGAACCAAATACATTGCATATTCATCCTGAGTTCACATTGAAGGCTACATCTAATTACGCTGTCTGACTACAAGCCAGAGACACCATAAACTGCATTGAAAGTGACACAGCATATATTCTGTTAACGTAGGTTTGCTTGAGGCATCTAAGATGCGGGAAAACCATCAAACCGTCAATGAAATGATTGTCGTTACGAAACTTCAAGTGGAATAGCACACTTTCGATTCTGGGGAGCAGCCTCTGGAATGCTTGCTTAGGAGGTACAGCATTGGCGTAATAGGTGATTTAACACAATATCTTAGCATTAATCGTTTGCTTATTTTTCAATCGCTTTGTCTATTAGGAAAGAGCATTACTATCGAACCACTGCTCCTCCAGATGCAGGAAATCTATTTACTTATCATTATTTTCTCACCGTTCTTTCTTTCTGTCCGTACTGGGTAAGGTGCCGATTTAAATGGCTTCTTGTTTGGCAATAGTTTGCTGAGGAACTGATGTTGATGGTTTTGATGCTGTTGCTGCAGAGCCCGTTACCAGTTTGTATTGGTCGGATCCAGAACCCCCAGGTGGAGAAGGCAGTGGAGTTTCAGGTGTGGCTGCGACACAAACAACAAACAAATGGGGGGGTGGGGGGGGAAATAGAGAGACGTCATTCCTTTTAACAGTCACAAGTAACAAAAGTGTGGAGTCCTGTAGCTCAATGGTTAGAGCACTCGCTTTGCAAGCGAGAGACCTGAGTTCAATTCCCGGCAGAGGGCGAAACCTTGGGCAAGTTTCCTTACTCCACACAGAGCCTAATAATAATCCCTCCAAAACCCCAAACAATAAATAATTGGTCATTTTCAATCTACGACTGTTTGTGGGACATTGCTGTGCGCAATTGGCTGCCGCGTTCGTCCACAAATATACAGTCAATTCACTTTACAGTGTGTTCTGTGAAGCGCTTTGGGACGTCCTCCCGACGTGAAAAGCACTATATCAAATGCAAGGATTATTATTATTAAAAGGGACGTGTGAAGCCATTTTGGTTTGAAATCACAATGACGTTTTAAAGCATTGTGCCCGTAACCGTAGGAAATTCAACGGGACTTGGGCGGATGTGCGACTTAGCCATTGCAATGGTGGTGCAACTCTGTTCAGTACTTACAGATCTGCCCATTGTGCATGGGAGTGGGCATTGTGTTGGGGACGATCACATTATTTGGCAGATGGTCTTGGACCAGGTGAGGATGCAGCGAGTGGTGAGAATGCGGTGCTTCATTTGCTGTACCTGCAAACACAAAAAGTGCTTTAGAACCCACTTTACTTTCAGGAGAACGGTTGTGAGCTAAATGGCGTATTGGCTAGGTAAGGGTCTGTAGGAATCTGAGGACAGAAATTCCACCTCGGTCCAGATTTACTATTAACATCGCATTTCAGGGAGTGCAGAATATGGCAACGGTTTTCTGTTGAAAGTTAAGACTGAATTCAACAACTTGCTAAATTCTGAACGGTCTATGTTAATAGGGTAATATTGGACCAGGTGGAATTTTATCCCACAGGTTTCTTTAATAATATTTGAAATAAAAGTTTTGTTTTTTTTAAAAACTCAGTACACAAACTACAAGAATGATCACTTGCTACTTTACTTTGTTTCCATGTCAGTAAGTTGGACGTATTTGTTCAATTATAGTATTTTCCACTTCGAATTTTTGTAAGTATACATACACTCACTTGTAATTGGATTCATAGGATTGGTTTGCAGCCAGTGACCCCAATCCATAATATGAGCGTCAAGGTTGTGTGTTATGTTGGAAAAAATTATGCAATAACCAGTAAAGAGTGAATGTGTAATTTATTTGCTGAAAGCTATGAGAAACATTCAATTATAGTTTACTGGAGGAGGTGGGAATAGAGAGTAATTTTGAATTGTTAGCTCGGAACTGAATTAGTCTTGTGAGCATTCTCAGGAATTGCTTTGTTTGCCAATAACATTTTTCAACAAAAAAAGGAACATTATTCAGTGCGTAAGGGGGTTAATTTGAGACAAAGCAGTGGCTGATGACAGCCTGGTGGTGGTCACCAGATGTGTATAGTATCACTTTAGCTGTGGGAAAATTCATCATATAAAGACAGTTCCTGTTATTTCATTATTGAATGCTGCAGTTAAGGCTGTTCTATTTGAGGAACAAGTTTGGCTACTTTCTGGAGAATACACCACTATAGGAAGTGCCACCTCGTAAGCGGGCATACATTAAAAGGTTAAAATCCTACAGGAACCCTTAATGTTACCTGATTATAGGCTAACAATGAACGAGGTTGTGTTGGAGTCTATGTGCTAGTCCGTCCTGGCTTTCAACTGAAGGAAAACACAGCATTGAGCAGCGACTGGTCTTATCGTAACTCAGTCTGAATGCCTACATCAAATTCAAACCCTGTGCTTATCTCTAACATTAGATCACTATGTACCGAGCCAATGAAATGTTCAAATATTGAGCAATAAAACTGCACAGACATGTATGCGTTTTATTTGATATTTCTAACTGATAACAAATTTGTCCCTCACCTCCTAGAAGCATTTCTTGAAGTAGGTTGTCAATTTTAGCCATTCCGAACAGTTTGACAAATTGGATTTGCTCGATCATTTGCCATGTGATGCTCTGGAGGGTGGGCAGCAGTAACAACAGCTCTCCAAATCGACCTCGCGAGTCGTACTGTCGGTCATTAATATAATCCTCCAAACTGACTTGTACCTGGAACCGCATGCGTTTAATTTTGCCAGGGTCACTCAGTCCTTTGCCATCTGAGAAGACATACAAGTTAATCATTCCCGAAGCTCTTGCTATTGCCTAGCTCACAACAACAACAGCAGCTTGCATTTATATATTGCGCATCACGCAGGTTGGCATCCCGGAGCGCTTGAATCACTGTCGAAAAGAGAAGTTGTTAAAATTTCAAATTAACTTTATTTATTTGAATATAGTGCTGTCGGCACACCCTGGATGTAATTGAACCTTATCCATCTCAGAGACAGTCATCACTGTTTACCATTTGCTTCCCGAGACAATGGTTCAGACTACAGGTGTCGAGGAACGAATGCTGAACCAACGGTACATAGTTACATAGCGTGTGATTCACCATGGAAACAGGCCATTTGGCCCAACTATTGTGTGCCAGTGTTTATACCCCACATGAGCCCCCATCGCTCCTTCTATACTCTTCTATTCCCTTCCTCATCTATGTAATGAGTTTTCTTTTAAATACATTTGCTGGTAGTGAGTTACACATTCTCACGACCTTCTGAGTGAAGACGTTCCTTCTAAAACTGCCTATTAAATATATATATAATAATAATAATCCTTGCACTTGATATAGCGCTTTTCACGTCGGGAGGACGTCCCAAAGCGCTTCACAGAACACACTGTAAAGTGAATTGACTGTATATTTGTGGGCGAACGCAGCAGCCAATTGCGCACAGCAATTTCCCACAAACAGTCGTAGATTGAAAATGATCAATTTATTATTGTTCTTGGTTTTGGAGGGATTATTATTAGGTGTGTGGAGTAAGGAAACTTGCCCAAGGTTTCGCCCTGCCTGGAATTGAACTCAGGTCTCTCACTTGCAAAGCGAGTGCTCTAAATCTATCACTAGTTATCTTTATGTCTTCTAGTTATGGACTCGCCAACAAATCACTTTGGCTATCTAACCCACTTTGCCTATCCTCCCGCTATGTTGCTCCCAGTGGCATCCTTTGAATCATTTAAAGGACAAATGATTAATGACCCCCACTTAAGAGTTCCAAAAGAAGGGCCAAAACATATCCAATCTCCTGGTTCTGGAGACACTCAGAAACTGCTCGAGTATCAGCTGCCATTTGGTTAAAAATAATAATAATAATAATCCTTGCATATGATTTAGTGTCTTACCACGTTGTTGAGACATCTCAAAGCGCTTCGCAGAACATAGGGTAAAGTGAAGTGACTGTGTATTTTGTGGGGGACCGCATTTAGGTGAATGCGAGACTCGTATAAGGGTTTTATGAAGAGAAAGTAATACATTTATCAGGAGCACATTTTACATACCTGGATCAAAGAAAACAATTGCCTTTAAGCAAGCATACTCGTTGTCATCTATCTGAAGTTCCTGAAACGTCTGAACCAGTTCATCTAGAATCCTGGTTGCTACGCGGCTTATTTCCAGCTCTGGACAATTGCGTGGGATGATGAAATCATTTCCTTCGAAGAAACAACCACAAAAAAAACATCAAAAGCTCATAGTTGTTTTTCTTCCCGAACCTTTGAGCGGATCATTTTCTGCCCGTTTTAAAAGGGGGAGACAAAAAATAACGACGAGACAAAATTGAATCTTTTTACCTAATAGTAGAATGTCTTTGTATATCATAGAACGCTTTGCAGCTCCAAGCAGTAAATGTTCCCCAGCGTGAGCTCTTAGTAAGGCAACCTGCTCAAATAATACACATGACCATTAATCACCCTACATTCTTAATATACACCATTGTTGATTATTGCAGAAATCAGTGAACTGCAGGACTGAATGGCTCATTAGGCCCTTTGAATACACGTATATTCAAGTTAAATACATGCATTCATTTCCCTTAAAAATATTTTGCAGTCTCTTACTCACCAGACATTTAAATTAAACGTGACATTAAATATGTGCAAAACAGGTCCTATTAAATTGGGAGATTTGGGGTGGGGCACAGTTTGGATCAGGGCCTTTGTTAAACAGATCCTTTGACACACTAGCGTTGTTCTGTACTCCACTTAAACTTCCATATCAACTTTTCTGTACTTAGAGGGTTCCTGCCATCACTTTATCTTTTCCAATTTAACTTACTGCTCAATGTTCGCCAATTCGAATGCCCCCAAAATGATTGACTCCACTTAATCCTTTGTTTGAAAGACTCTCCCAATTGCCATGTAAGATAATGCGATGAGACTGTCACTGACAGAAAGTCATCAGCGTTTGACACCTTAAAACACCTTTTTCGAAAGACTCATGTCATTGAATGTTACAGTGCTTTAGTCGTCCATCAGAGAATAGATATACAACAGAATCAGTTGTTCACCTATAGCTATTTGCTTAGCGTGATTGCTTTAGATCTGACTTTTCTTTTGAAGGGCAAGAGCCAACACAGGTCAAATCCAAACTCTTAAATGCATCGGGTGATGAGCTACTTTGGTTCTCATCAGTCCCGCATTGTAAAAAAAAGGCAGACAAAAAAATCCCTGTCTCCAAGTAATAAACCTGTCCTGATGTAAAATAAGGCACAGCGGGAACATTTTCACCAATTGAATATTTATAGACATGAGTATTGATAAGATGAGCAAAACAATAAAATCTCTGGTAAAAAGCAGTAAAATTACTTGTAATGACCATCTTGAAAATTAACTTCATGTGTGTCTAGTCCTGCTAACATGGGTAATGTTTGAATCAAAAACAATGTTACAGGGACTGACATCGGGGACACCTCTAGCTCGGTCACGTACTGAAGAGCAGAATAGACGCTAATTAAAAAAACTGGCCTTAGCTGGTATATAAATGCTGAGGTGTCCAGCAAGTCACACATTCAGTAATGAGTAACTTAATACTTTATTTGTCAAATGTTAATGTTTCTTACAATTGTACAAAATTTAATGTTAAATAGGTAACAACACTGTGTACAACAACGAAGGGTTTAAATATTAACTTGAAGAAAGAATGCCAACAAAGTTAGCTTTGCTTTAACACTGAGATTTATCTTAATGATACCAGAGACAGATTTAGTATTACCTAAGGTTGCATTTTTCTACAATAACAATTTTTGTTTTTAGTAATTTCTTCCTTTATAACCACTATCCTCCAACGATTAACCACCTCTTTCTCATCAGTGTTGCTTTATAGCCAGCATCTCCTGCCCAGGATCATTTGGTCATCAATTTTCCTTCCCTATTTCTGAAGAGCTCATCCGTACTCAAAACACCCTTCCATGACCTCTCTAACTATAGGAACCTGGATTTAAGGGAACAGAAATATGTCTGTTTGGAAATTCATTGCCAGGCCAAAATGTTGCACTCCAACCCACTCTTTTTAATATATATTTATTGTCGTCTGTAACCTATTATGAAACAGTGATGGATAATAGCCCAGTGTCACAGAATAGGTTTATGCTCTGTTGTGATTTTGTGTGGGAGAGGTATTTGTGACAACCCCAAGTTATAGCAATATTTCAGAATATGTGTTTATTCACTGCAGAATTATTTCCAACTAAAACAGTGTTCAACTCAGCAAACAGACACGATAAAATAAAAGTAAGATCACATTATTACTTGTACTACTATATCATTTCAATTGGTACCCCAATGTGCTACAGTACTACGCCACATAACTCATCTAATTTAACGTGGGCACAAGTACAGATGAACACACCAATTCACTTTTCTAGATCACCTCTGACCTGGAGTGAGATCAGCTCATTGAATGTTTGGCCAGACACTGGTAGAAGTGAAGACAAAAGTCAATATGAGAGAGAAACTTGAAGCTTGACTTATTTTGCCAGTTCAGCTTTCAAACTATTGCAGGATAGATAACAGACAAGTTTCTTAGTTTGATCCAACCAAGTTTAGGCGGGCGTGATTTTTCAGTGATCTGCCCAAGTCCTGTTATACGTGAATCATTTTGTGATGAAATTGGGTAACAGCATATGTCCTATCAAGTACAAGTTGAGTAACAACATGACTCTTTTCTATGGCAATATTTTTTGATACAAACACGCACCAAAACCTATCGAAGAGGTTAGTAGAAATTGAATTGAAATAAACGTGCTACAAACCTGATCGTCGAGTGCTAGCTCGCAGAAAGCTGGGATATACTTGGCCCATTCCACGAGCACCAAAAGCTGCTGTTTCATAGACTCGCACACGTCACTTATAGCTGCAATCTTTTTTGTTCTGATGTCGCCATTTACAACCGAAATGGGAGTGGAGATCTGAAGCAGTACAGCAAAAATCAAGCGGTTATTGTGGTATAGAAGGTTCAGGAATTTGTTTTATTCTTTTTCTATTGAAGGAAAATATCCTAAAATATACTTGACGGTTTGCGCTACTTTCTAAGGATGCAACCTGAGGATTTGAGTAATAATTAATAATAATAATACGCTTTGCCCACAAAATATATAGTCAATTCATTTTACAGTGTATTATGCAAAGCGCTTTGAGACGTCTTGAAGATGTGAAAAGGTGCTATATCAAATGCAACGTTTATTATATTATAATTAATCCCAAATATTCGCTGTTGTTATTCCAAGTTCTGGGGTGGGTTGAATGGCCTCTAACTTGCAAATCATTTCTTAAAGACAATTAGGAAGCACTGGAGATAGTTGCCATTCCAGAATGAAATCTACTATATTAAAAGTCCAAGATTTTGAATTTTAATATCCCGCAGTATTTCAATTTGTACCAGATATCCGATAACTAGATTGCATTTGAGGGGAGTTTGCACTGGTCAGTGTATTGTACTTGAGGTCACTTGAAGCGGTCTCCATTTGCAATCGGTCCTTATTAATGAAGCCTGTCTGAGATCATTGTGATATCAATCCAAAATTTTCCAGGTGAGTCATATGTGTCAGATTGGCTCAGTTTGTTGGACTGTTGCCTGATCCGAAGGTTAAACTGAGGTACTGTCTGCACTTTCAGGAAAAGTTAAAGATCCTATGCCACTATTTGAAAAGGGAAGGGAATTTGTTCTAGTATCCTGGCCAACAATACTCTCGATAAAATCGGTCATTCACTTCATCTTTGTTTGTGGGACAATGCTGTGTCCTGCAAATTGGCTGCCGCATTTGTCTACAAATAGACAGTTACTAAAGTTTACAGTAAATACTGTGAAGCCCTTTGAGAATGTGATAAAGCGCTTTATCGAATTGCAAGGATTATTACGATTATTATTATTATTATCCAGATTTTTTTGTGATTTAAAGGGAAAAGCATTTTTTAAAAAAAAAAGTTTTAATGTTTGTTTGGTTAGTGTGGAAATCAGAAGTTGTGCGTTTGCATCAAAACTTTAAAGGTGAGGGTGATTTATTTTACCTTATAACCGAGAATAAATAAAGTGTGCTCAGAAATAATGCAATACAAGAATTGGAGACTAACTTAATACATTTGCCAGAAGCAGCATTAAATCTCAAACTCCATTCAGTCACCACTGTTCAGTTTGCAAGTCTCCAATATTACATTCAACTAATCAAAGTAAAGAAAATATTAGTACATAATGATATGTTTTTCTGCCGAGCTCTCTTATTGACATTCTTTCCAAATAATGCCTGGTTGCCATATAGGCTCCTTGTTAAGTGCTCTGAGACCCTATCCTGTGTGGAAGGTACTATATCAGTGCAAGTTGTTGTTGTTGTAACGTGAGCATTGGAAATCTACTGAGTTGAAAGTAAAAGTAAAAGTGTATCAAGTGCTTGCCTCACAGCAGACAATAAAACAGTTTATTTTAAGCAGAATGTATTGTCCTAGCATGTAGTACAGTCACTTTATTGCCCTAATCCACTTATATTCACTCCGAGTGAGTTGCAACTGGCCAGTCATGCAGATGATTAAGACTTTAAGTGATTTCCTAGGGTCACCGGCACCTGATTGATTCTAAGACCTTTTACGTGTAATGTCTTTATACAAGGCTTATAGAATTGATTGTTCGCCCACCAAATTATTTTCTGAAGGCAGAGTTTTGCCTGAGCAGTTTGAGTACTTGTCAAATGTCCTACACCACATCATGCATTTTTAAAAAAGAATAATTAACTTGCAGAAGCAGCAATGTGCAGTTTGCAGGGGAAGAAAACAAAAGTCCTGAAGTAACAAACTGAAAGCTCTCAATCTGAAAAATGTTAACCTTTGCCCTGGAATGCCATGCAACTTTTAATTTTGTGCATTTTAATGTACTATGCTGATCCTTCCAAATATTTGTTTTGTTCTGTTGTCATGATATTCAAGCCTAAACTCTTTATGTGCTGGTTTCCTTGTATTTCCTCAAACACAGAGGGCCCCAAGATGGGAGAGGGGCGCAGTGATGACAAATGTATATAAACTGTTTTATTTATTTATTTTTTAAAAAAGGAGCATTGCTTTTTCTCTGTTGTCAGTTTTGTAAGTTACACCGAGTACATTAATGCTATTCATAGAAAAGTATAGACAGAGGATTTGTTTCTGTGAAGGTATTGCAGGAGCTCATTGAGTGCCCGGTTGGATTGTGAAAGACTTGCAGCAAACTGTTTTACTACAGATACCATATACCTAAGCCAGCAAATGGACATTTTTCCACAGGTACAATGGCTGCTTTAAGGTACTGACCTGACGGGAAAGCATCTCTGCTTGTATGAGTGCATGAATCGAAGGCAAACTGCTGTCTTCATAGCTTGATCTCCTTGTACTTATTCTGTCTCTTTCATTCTGCACAGCTGGAATAAAATTAAGCGTAACAGTAAGTTACATTATACCGAATTGTATTGCACCCAGAACTGTATTACACTATTGGCTGCACCAAATCTTAAATGCTCATTGGGATCTGATACTTATTCGCCTTACGACCATTGTTTTGTCATTTAAGAAAATGTATTATACTGAAATTAAAAAAATTTTTGCCAGTTTTTCAAGGTTAAAACTAAATTTAAGCATTGTCATAAAATCTGCACCCCCATAAATCTTAAGACAATAGTCTTAAGCCTAAGATTATGAGAACTTTCTGATGTTTGAAACCATGAGTTTATTGCTGAATACAATCCAATGAATTGCAAATCTCTACAAAGCACTTCTACACCTTCGCTTATCAAGTGACGTAACGAACTGAGATCCTTGGGTTTTGATCATAATAGGATTTTCACACCACGATAATCATTTAGGACATGATATTGTGGCGTTGCTTTCAGCTCCAAAATTCAAAATCACATTTCATACAATTGGTTCTTGACAGTCATGGTTCATGTTTACTTCATTGTTCATGTATTTACGGGGATTGATTGTACCAGACACACATTTCTGATTGAGGGAACAAATGCCAACCTCATGAGGTACAATGTAATTCACTGAACTGGCCAGAAGAGAGTGTGTGTGTGTTAACAATGAAAGTTAACACTCCTCTTGGTGACTCTTTGGACACCTCCAGGTTAGATGAGTGAGGAACCTAACTGTGTGGAGAAACTCAGTCTAACTGACTCAGTTTCATGACAGTGATACAGCAGGTTTGTCTACTTATTCTGCTGTTTGTTGATCCGAGTTACTCTGGTGATTGCAATACCAAAATAAAGATCATAAATAATCTATACTGTAGTACTGTAATGTCCTCCACTGATTAGATAGCATAGATAATTATTTGGGGAGGATCATTTTTCAGGGCTATAGGGAGAAGCGATTGATTTGGGTAGCTCTTGTCAAAGACCTGGCACAGACGCGATGGGCTGAATGGCCTCCTTCTGTGCTGTAAAATTCTATGACTCTTAAGATTCATACCTATTCATACATAGTTTGAAATGAAAATTAGATTAAAACTGACTGAACTAACCTCCTTAGGATTGAACAGATTTCAGTTTGGGGGCAAATGTGTCGGCGTTTTGGGTCTCTTGTTAAAATGATAGCAGCACACGTCACAGAACTTGAGCAACCCTATTCCCATTGATGGTTCACTGAGCAGATAAATGTAGCATGTGGAGTGGTACTGAGGGTGCCACATTTGATCTGTGGTTCATGTTGAATTAGCTGATGGTTGCTGTGGCAATAGTGGGCATGTTCTAACATTGGTCTGTGTCACAAGCTGGGGGGTGGGGGTGGGGGGGAAACTTCAATCAGTTCCTCCTCCTATATACGTTTTAAGGACAAGGTTAGGCTTGGCAGTGATTATGGTCAAATACTCAGCCAACACTCAGCGACTAGGCTCACACATGAATAGTCACTTGGATGAGGTACCAGAGAGCTGGAACTCTGTCTCAGAATGGGTCACTGCCTCTAGTAGAGGCAAGAGGATAAAGTTGTAGCGAGGAAAGGAACAAAAAAAAGTAAGAAAAGTAAATGGGGCGATCGCATATTTTGGACATCAAATTCTTATTGGACGAGGGGTGTAAAAGTATAAATTACTACTGGCAAATTTGTGCCAAATGAACTCAAGTGAGCGGAGGAATGACACTGTCCTGGTGCCAGGAAAGAAGTGACCCTAAGCCAAATTAAAACGCCCACATAAAGCAGTAAATCCCAGTGATTTTGGACATCCAAGGTGAACTTCTATGGTAAAGTATTCCGAGTTAATGGGAGGAAGCACTCTTTCTCCAAATCTCAGGGTCCTGAAGATAATACAGTACTAGAGATTCACTCTTTCCTCACTCGAGATGATGAGAACTCTTTTGTTTGCAGCATTGCTAAATTACTGGCGCCTGCCATTCATTTATTCGTTTGTTCATTGATTCATTCAGTCTTCTCCATAAAATATCCTGGATTATTTTTGTAAATAATTCAGTTGAGGTAAATAATGAATCAGTCACACACACACACACACACACACGAAAATCTTGGAAGTGTTGTACTTCTGTATACAGTATCTCTGTATAAAATGTGATCGGGTTTAAATGCAATGAATAACTTTTATGTGAGAATAAAGTAGGAGGGCGGTCAGCTGCCATAAAATACGTTCTCAAGGTTATGCATTGGTTTATCAGTGGAGACATTATGTTCAGTCACAGGATGCTGCTTTCTGAATGTTTGCTCAGCACTAAATGGTCATGGACCTCAAGTCATGTCTGTTTAATATTAACAGATTGGGAGAAAAGATTCCAACAGATGCTGCTGTGAATGCTTTACTTTCATTTCCCCCTATCTCTGCTGGACTATGACATCGAAATACACAACTTTGATATTAAGTATATGGCGTTCAGGTTTAAATGAAACCCTGTTGCTTCCTAGATTACATTTAGTGCAGCTTTTGTTCCTGTGCCTTGTCTTTGCTTTGGTAGTCGCACTCATAGCAATGAGAAACTAGTTCAGTTGCTACTTTCCCAGTGCATCGAGTAGCTTGGGATCCGTCCTCAACTCAATCCCGAGCTCCTGGCCCTGTTTAAAGTAAGAGTCGTTACTCTGGGATCCTCCCTGTCAGTGACATCTAATGGAGCGGCTTGTCAGAGCAGGAGGCACAGCTCAGGGAATCTCTGAAGGAAGGATTTTTCCGTAAAGGCTTTTCTTCTCTCACTAGTTTCTCCCCCTTTTACTTCAGAAGGTGTTTCCTTCTGTCGCTTTCCAGGACCTCACCAAAATGGTTAACATTCATGTGTGAGTGGGTGGGTGGGTGGGTGAGTGAGTGAGTGAGTGTCGGCATTGACTATTGGCAGGTTCTTCGAACCCTAACCTGGCCACAGCAGAGCTGAAGGCATTTGTAGTCCTCCTAGCGTTGGCTCAAATGAGATCAGCTGATTCAGCACAGACCACATATCACCCCTGGACTATTCCTGTCTATTGGCTCAGTTACTCACTGAATAAACTTGGTGAGCCATTGGGGAATATATTCTAATATGTCTATCGATTCACTCTGTAGCCAGAGGGAGTGCTACCCTCATCAGAAAAAATGTTCCTCTACACTTCCCTTCCCCTTTTACGGAATATTTTTAAATCCATGCATAAGATTTTTTTTCATCAACAACACATTATTATCCGTGTTCAAGTTAGGTTAGTGTTAGCCAACAAGGGTTGAGCACATTAAAAAGGTACAATGAGTTCAGTTTGTTGAAAAGTTAAGTAACGGTTCCTATTTTAAAGAGTAACACCTGTCTACAAAAATAATCTTAAATAGGTAAGGAGGTCAGGAAAGTGAACAATTATGGAAAATGATTCAAAGATGCCTCAGAGTCATTGAATATTTGTAACAGTAATATACAAGAGACGGACTTGGGCAAATACTTATTAAATGAACAGAATTGGAAAATCTCATTCCGTTTCTGCCTATACTGGTTTGAAACGCTTTTTGTCAGTGGAATAATTTGAAGCTGCATTCGCCTTGTTAACTAAAGGCTCTTGTCCCTTGGGTTATCCATTTACCATGTTTAAACCACAAATTACAGTCAGCTGCTGAAAAAAAATCACAGATTGGTGGAGGGGCAATGCTCGTCCAAGTCTTTTTAAAAAAAAACAAGGGATCAGAATTTGCAAATGGCATCGGGTTGCGGTAACAGAGGAGGGAGTGAAGGGAATGACAAAACAAGCTTTGACCAGGTCATAGGAGTAGAGATGGGGTTATGAATATGGGCTGAAGCTTCTTAGCCTCTTCTGTATGCCAATCATAGTCATGCATTGCCAAGGGCATCATGCGTAACACTGAACAGAATTCGTACCCAAAAGAGTGTTGATTGGCGATTTAATTGGGACTCATTTGAAGTGAACAGATTTTAATCGAGATTGGAACAAACTGTTTTCGTTAGCGTAGCGTAGAAGTGTGAAGTAGATTAAGACGAGCAGTTGATGCAGTGCCAAATATTGTAGCTCGTTCAAAATAAAAAAAGGGCTGGATAAATGCCTGGCTGGGAATGGAAGGTGAGAATGGTAGAATTGGGTACAGTCTGAAATACACTTGATTGTTTGTGGTGGGGGCTGTGGGAAGGGGAGAGGAAGGATTAGATTAGGATTGAATATGGAGACGTTGTTGGATTTATATTCTGAGTCCTCACCCACCCCCCCACCACCCCAAACCCTAAGAAATTGGAGTTAATTGGTGTCTGGCGTCAATGATAGAGCAGTTTTTTGCTGTTGTTTGGAAGGAGTAGACCTTGAAGGGCTTAGATTGGATCAGAAAAATGAATTTTGCTCTAGAGGCTTTATCGAAAGATATTACTTGTTTGAATTAACATCAGTGGCAAGGGACTGCAAGAATAACAACTTGATGTAAGCCGAATGCCCTCTAGTCCAAGGTCTACTTTGAATAATTTTCACTGTTACCATTAGGTTACGAAAGTACAATTAAGTTTCTTACCTTCCTTTTTCATGCCTGCTCGAAAGCACTTTTTTAATCTGCAATATCTGCACTGGTTTCGTTTGTCCTTGTCTACAATGCATTGTCTGTTAAACCTGGAAGACGTCACAAAAAAATAAATATACCGTTAGCACTGACCAACCGAAAGACACTTTGTGATTGTCACACAGTTAACTCTATTCACAGGAATCCAATCACTGACATTCAGCTATCTGTGTATTGCTGGTCCCACAAATGGTGTAACAGTAAGACCAAAACACTAATGGTACAATTCGAAACACAACAAACTTAGTGTTGATGAGTAGTCCTGGGCTATTGTGGTCATTCTAAAAACAAAATTCTGTCTTGTCACTGATTTCAGCAAATATGAAAATGATTTTTGAGCCGATTCCGGTTGAGGAAATATTTCAAAATTCTCAAATTTGAAGTCGGGTTCATTTAAGACAATAAGACGTAGGAGCAGGAGTAGGCCATTCAGCCCCTCGAGCCTACCCCGCCATTTAATAAGATCATGGCTGATCTTCTAACCTAGTTCCATTTACCTGCCCTATCCCCATATCCCTTAGTTTAGTTTTAACAAGCAACATAACAATATTTTACAAGGGTGATGGTGGATAGTGGCAGGTGTTAAAATCCTTTGGGCGATATCTAGAGGAGAATGGGTATTGCAGTCGCATAGACACTACCCTGCTTTGAATATAGCCAAGAATGACGAGATGAAAATCTTTTTGTGTGTTCAGTTCCACATAATTTATATTGCAGCAACTGGAATCTAAACATGGTAATGTTGGTGGAAGTCTTGTACCATTAAATATAATAGTAATCCTTGCATTTGATATAGCGCCTTAGCACGTCTTCAAGACATCTCAAAGCACTTCATAGAATATACTGTAACGTGAATTGATTGTATATTTTGGGGGAGAAACCTGGCAGCCAATTGCGCACAGCAGTGTCCCACAAACAGTCATGGATTGAGTGACCTTATTAATTTTTTATGCAATCCGCCAAGTGATTAACAACCAGGTTCCTACTTACTCCTAGGTAAACAGAGGTGTGTGAAGTGAGGAAACTTGCCCAACGTTTCGCACTGCCCGGGAATCGAACCCAGATCTCTCGCTTGCGAGGCGAGTGCTCTAACCATTGAGCTACAATACTCCACAATTACATATCTGTTACTCCCTGATTGCTAAAGTGAATTCTCAAGGAGATCAAGTGTGAATTGCTGTTAAGAGGCCTCCACAGTATATTGCACCTATAGTAATGAACTAGTCCCTGTAGTATTGAATTGGACCACATTATTATAATTGAATTAAAGTGTACGTCAATTATAAATTAATGTACTAAATAGTCACAGTTGGGAGAGAAAAAACACAAAGGTACACTGTCATACTTGCTGGATATTTGTTTCACCAGCTCTGCATATAATTGTTATGGAATAATAATTAGAGTTAATCAGTAACAGAGCTGCTATGGGAGGAAAAAAATTGCAGAGGTAATTCTTTTGAAACTGAAACTAATCTTTGTGAAAATACCTGGTTGCTATGGCATAGTCTATTTAATCATCGAAATAGACCATTATATATCAGAGACATGCCATAAAGATGTTATCAACTGAAACTCTCAACGAATGTGTCCATATTTGGCTGGCACTTAATGTTAATGGAGCTAAATCAGTAGCATAGCCAACTCAGGAGGCTGGAGTCTTCTGGAGATCAATTCTTACTTGCTAGAAAAATAGTGAATTCATGTTACAGAATTGTCCTTAACCAAAGGTTTTACATCGGAGGATTTGTGTCTTTGTTATGTTCTCTCTGCTAAAGGCCTCTGTAGCTTTCTCACCTACAATATGTAATCCATGCATTTGATGTAACACCTTATCACATCTTTAAGACATCTCAAAGAGCTTCACAGAATGTACTATAAAGTGATTTTACTGTATATTTTGGGTGGGAAATGTGTCCCACAAGCAGACGAGGATTGAGTGATCAATTTTTTTTTGAAGGAATTATTTCTCCGCACCTCTCCACTGTTCCCTTTCATTTGAGACTGTAAGATAGAGCTATCAACTTCATGGAGTATTGGTTCTTGTCATTTAAAAGGGGCATGCTTTGTGGACAAGATTTTTCTCTCTTTCTCTGCTTTCTCTTTAATCGCAGATGGGAAATTCCACCGGTACAAAAAAAGCCTGACAAGAAAATTACCCACAAAGTACAAGGAAAATGTATGATTCAGAGCAAAATTTGTTTAGACTCAACTGCATTGTGTCTTCCTGTATAAAGCAGCGTTATGTCAGAATGGGCAAACACAGAACTGAATTGGAGATGATTTTTACACTTAGGCTTGATTCAGAAACCTTGGAAAATCTGCTGAAAGCTATTTATGATGAATTTAACCCAAACAAAAACTCCATCAGTTTGAGTCTCAGGAATGAGGGAGAATATCTATGGCTTCCGGCTATTTGCACCAATTAGAATTTTCTTCTTCCACCTTCTCATTGTACAGTAATTAGAAATACATTTCATGGTGAATTCTACCTGACATTTATTGTGGGTAAAGCACTTACACAGATTTACTGGGTGACTCAGAATTAGACCTCTCATCTGAATGAAAAATCCAGCTCTATGGAGGGTTATTTTAAATTCTACGCAATGTGGTTCATCTATTAATATGCATGTACATAAATGAGAATACACTCACTTTGTTTGTACAGAGGTAACCAAAGTACCGTAAGTAAATTTGTCCATAACAATTCACCCTAGCTAGTCTGAATCCACGAGGAAAGCTTGCCTAAGCTTTTCTAAGGGTCAGTAATTTCCCTTCTCATGATAAAGAAGAGCGTTGTTCTTGTAGCTATTTGCTTCTAAAACCTTCTGACTACATCGAAACGATGTGTTCCCTAAACATTTTGGTGGATATTCGTTGTGGGCATATTTAAGGAAATAACCATTTAAATGGTTGAATTCATTTGAGGACGTTTACCTGCAGGAATACATGTGATTTTTTCTGACGCTTCGCCGAAAGAAACCTTTGCAGCCATCGCAGCTGGAGGCACCATAATGTTTTCCCGTAGCTCGATCGCCACATATTGCACACAGAGCACTAATTCCAATAGAATTCGACGCATTCATGTTGGTGATTTCAGCTGGAGATGTATCTGAGAACAACAGAAAAGGGGATTTAGTTGTAGTTGGAGAGCGGAAATTGAGAAAAGATACATACACTGCTGAGTTTTCTTTACATTTGTCACTTTAATCTTGGTTTCAGCTCGAATTTCTTCCTTCCCATTGCTAGCTTTCAGAAAGACAAAGTGTTCTTGGTTATAAGACACCTTCAGTTCCAGCCTGCAGTAAATGTACTAGGATCAGTCTTGTTCCTATCCATCACCAACCCCCGCCACCACCCCATCCAAGACCATCCTATTATACAGTATATAGTTTGGGAAATGACATGTGCATTTCACCAGGATGGTGGAAGGCAGACAGGATGGACCTTGGTCTTCTTTCCTCTAACAATTCTTATGTTCTTACAGTCAAGAAGCAACAAAAGCCATCCAAAAATACTACAGCGATGGAATACTATTTGAACTTGGGCCCTGAGTGGAAATTTGAATAGTTCACTGAGAGAGTTCATCAGGTTACTTTATCATCATCAGGTTTGCTGCTTGCATTAAGCATTAAGCTTAAGGTGATACATGACGGATCAAGATATATACATATCATATACTTAGGGAGTGAGAGGGCAAAAAAAGCAATAAAAATGAGGTCATGGGATAAAAAAAAGCAACAGAGAAAACTACCATGAGAAATGAAACTTATATCTAAACCTATAATTAGAGTAACATGAAGCCAGTACTTGCCACTAGATTTTCATTGATTTAGACTAAAGTTAACCACATTAAAAGAACCGATAGAGTCAATGACTTTCTGAGCCAATGCCTATTGAATGCAACTGATTATGTACTTCAATGAAAAGCCACGCTTTTCTGATGTGTGGGGATGGTATGGCATTGAATTTCTAATTGGATGGTGGAGGAACCTTTCGAACAGTCATTTTCTTTACATACAGTTTTCTGATAAAGAGGAGAATGGTCATTTCATACAAAGTTCAGAAGAAAAGGAGCTACAGTATTGAATGAAAAATTGGCTACATTTCATGACATCTTGAAGAAAATTAGACAGAACAAAGAATGATCAGTTGTACAAAAAGTTGTAACTACATATTATGGTCTTGCAGAAAGACAATATGAAAAGCTGCAGATCAATCTAATTCTAATTATGATGTTGAAAATAAGCTAGAAAGAAGCCACATTTATGTAACAATTAACTCTCCCCTCCCTACGTAGCAGCAGAAAGTTTGATGGGGGTAAAATGGATAGAAGGACAATAGTTACACACTCAGAACAGGGTATAAAGCAAACCGTTTTGCAAAGGGGAGCAAGGTTTGATGAGAGTTTTTAACTTCAATTTCCACGTGAAAAATGAGTCAGTCTCTAAAGTGAATAATTACTCTAATAGTACTTCACAATTAGAGGCATGACTGTGTGGAATGCTGTGGCTTGTCTTGAGACGCTGTCCGGCGTGGAGGGCACTATATAAATCCAAGTTGTTGTTGTTGTTGTTGTCTACCTAGTCATCGGACGTTATGTTACAGTCTAGTAGTGAACAGTATTTGCACAGTATTTAGTTTCTAATATTTTCGTTCATTTAGTTGCATGTCATTTAAGCTCAAAATAAGTGCATTCAGCCTCTACACCTTCTTGCTCCCATTACTTGAATTACTCCATAGCATGGTGAAATGAAGCATCAGATGTTTCATTCTAATGCCGCGTTTCGCCCACACAGTCACTACCATTTACAGTATAGACGTCATAAGGCGCTATATCAAATGCAAGGATTATTATTATTATTTATTATAATGGGGGTGGGGGAGGTGGGGAGGAAGAAGAGCCTGTGAGGACTCCACAGGAACTTGCCTTCTCTTATCTTCTCTCAGAGTGTCCTGACCTCCCAGCTGAAGGAGGAAATGAAGGAGCAGGAGGCAACTGTGGGAAAGTAAAGACGGAAAAATATCAAAACTATTACAGGAAACATGAACACCCTCGGGTGATCTCTCGGAAGTAATCCCATCGATGGGCTCACATAATATCATTAAACCCATGAGAATGAAGCTAACAGCAGTCATCTGAATCCCAAGATCAGATGCTTTGACGATTGAAAAGTCTCAGCCATCCATTTGGTTTTCTAATGTGGAAGACGTGTTGCGATAAGCATTGATGTTCCATGTTAATGCATGCAGTCTCCTATTTTAGAATGAATATTGTTACATAGCTCTAGTAGTATATATCATACTAAAAGGGTTTAAAAAGGGTTTTTATTGAACTTTTCCACTGCAGCACTGTCTTAAATCAGTTCCATAATTGCCCACTTGAATGGGTTTCAGTCTGCATTATTGGGCCAATACTTACTGAGTCATGGCCAATTGGACAAGACTGATTGACTCTGGTAACACTATTATTCCTTTTTCATTTTACAACAGTAATTGAAAGCAAGTTTGAACAGTTTTCCACTCCTGCGATGCCGAAAAGATGTTTGTCACAGAATCATACAGCACAGAAGGAGGCCATTTGGCTCATTGTGTCCATTCTGGCTCTTTGAAAAGAGCTACCCAAATCAATCCCACTCCCCCGCTCTCTCCCAAAAGCCCTGCAAATTTGTCCTCCCCAAATAATTATCTAGGAAAGGATAATTTGTGTAGGAAAGGGTTAAACCTTTCTATTTGTGTTGCACTCCGAACAAACTTACTTCCCAAATAATGTACAGGGCAATGAACCACTGCTTGTAAATAAATGAATTTAAATATAAATACTAATTGTTGCACAAATATTATGAGTCAGTAGATTACAATAAGAAGGTAGGAAAATCCCAGTAATCCTACTAGCATGTCAAATTAAATTATTCCCTTTTTTCAGGGGAGTTAAAACTCTTACAAAATCACGCTTCCAAAGCAAATGGAGAAATTTAAAGAGGCAGTAACACAATCACTGAGTGTTTGACAAACTGCTCCGCTGGTTCTTGTATCACACAATGTATAAGACCTTATCAGCATCATTATTCGGGTATGTAAAGGGAACAATACATTTTTCAATACAAAAAAATGGCACTGCAGAATCCATCACAAATCTTAACCCATAGCAAAAGAGTGTCCGTGTTCCTGACACCAACTACAACAACTACAAAATAAAGCTTCTGAGGTTTGACGTTTCTGGCAATTGCAAAAAAAAATCCTTCTAACAGAGCATAATGCCTTTTAAAAAGAAACTGAGAATTATGTATGTGTGTGCCCACATAACTATGCATCTGTGAATTAAATAAGTTCAGTATATCTAAGATTATCATCTTTATGATTAACTAGCAAAATAATCTTAGATATACTCCTTATAATTGTTTTGGTTGCTCGCTGGTTGCTAGATGCTAGAGTTGACAGTGGAGATAGACATTGAAATGAGGAGCGAGCTATCTTGTTCTGCACCATGTGCTTGCTTCCAGTCAGCACTGCAATTTATTCCTGAGGATCGCTTCTCAAGTCGTATCCAAAGAAGCCACAGGAGAACTGGAAGTCCCTGGACTATGGAAAAGTTGGAAAAAATTCCAATTCCAATATAGACTTGCAGTGTAAATATTCTGGAGTGGGGTCCAAAGGGAAGGTCAGAAGACTGGAGAGCACATTTCAATATGGCTTGTGCTCTCGTAGACTTAGACTCTAAATGTTTCTAAATCTATTTTTTGTTCCATTTCCTTTCTCAAAATGTATAGCTCGAGCCTAATAAGATACATCGTGTACAAGATTTTGAATTGTGTCTGATGTAATGAATGCAGAGAAGTTATAGATATACAGCAGCTATTGATATCCGAACATGTGTGATTCAAGATTAATCCAACCTTGCATTGTTATTATAGAAGCTCCTCGTACACCAACAATAGGCCCAGATAACAATAAATAAAAAGACAACACTGCAGCAAAGTAAACTGAGGTTAATTTATTACTGTTGATAACACACGCAAGATTAGTCCAGCCAACCATTACCTTATATGGATACTTAGAGCTAGGTGATTTTGTAACAATGTTCTAACCTAAGCATTCGGTATCTTTCCAATGGCATAATGTCATTGCAACGCGGGAACAGAATAAGAAAATGACCATTTTAGAACATGAACCTGTTGTGACCGACACTTTACCAGCGTAAGTGTGTCGTATGTAAAGGTTTGTAAACCCACCACTCATTTCCTGGTGGGCAATGAAACGGCCGGATGAAAATGTGCATCAAATGCTCAAATAGTCATTCTTATTGTGCGACTGCAGACAGGAAGTGTCGTCGGGTTAATTGACCATAGAAAGCGGGGAAGGGGGGGTGGGGGGGTTGGAGGGCTAGTCCTCACTAGAAATCCACAAATGTACTTTCTATGCAGTAGACTCACAGGACAGGAGTCTGATGTTTCCGCTCCTTATCTTAGTAGCCCTGAGGTATCTGTTGCCACCTCAAGCGGAGGATAGAGAACAACAACAATTTAGCATTTATGTAGCACCTTTCACATCGGGAGGACGTCTCAAAGCTCAGAACAGGTCAGAGATAAAACTTGGGTTTGTTTGGTCATTTCACACCAACTACTGCCTTTACCAACTGTATCAGGGGAAATCTTTTAAATAATTTACCATTTTAAATCCTCTTTAGGCGACTGAAAATGGTAACATTTACAAACCTCCGTTTACCTTTTTAAGGCACTGAATCTTACAAAACAGTAAGTATTGGAGTGTTTGGCTGCCGTCTGTGTGAAGGTCTAAACCTTATCGATGGGAAGAGGTTGTAAACTTGCTGCTTTTAGGTAAATTCAGCTATTCTGTCAGGATTTCACTAGATCAACAAACCGTCTGGCATGCAGTGAGAATTTAAAGACATATTTGTTCCCTGTCGCTCAAACTATCAAACAAAGTGTGCACTAAAGTTGTCTCAGTCAGTTAAAAAAGAAATAAAACTCTATTTAAAAAAACCTTATCATAATTTGTGGCCAATATTAATTGCACAAGGTAAGCACTCATTAACCGTCTAGGCCCCAGGCTCTTTTTCACACACATGTACATTTCAGGTCTCACTGATTTATGTTCCAGTGGCTTAAAAATCAATGATCCAAGTCAACTGGTCAGATGTGCCCAAATTTTAGAACTACCTTAAGAATTTGATCCTCAAAATTATTTTTATTTTATTCACAAAAAATGAGCTTTGGAGTTCAATAAGTGAGTAGATAGATGTAGATCCATGCACTTTGTGATTTTTGTGCCAGTTTGTGAAGAATTGGACTGTAACAATTCATTCCTTAGTTTCCCAGCTCGATGATGCTACATCCCGTTGTATGGCATTCCTTCTAGTTTCTTTCTGGATTGCATATCACAAACATAATAACCATTGCTAACAGGACTGTTTGGTTTGTATCAGAGTTGCTATCGATCACGTTAATGCTTAGCAGTACAATCGCAAGTGACTGACTGCCTCTAAGTGGATTTAAAAATGATCTATGCCAAGGTCCATGCCTATCTTAAATAACACTGTCGTCAAAACGAAGCACAACAATTTCACTGATCAATTTTGAGATCACAATTAAAGAGCTCATCACCATCAAAGTCCTAACCTTACCATTGCTGCCTCTGGCATAAGAAATGGCAGAGTAAAAACTCTTCTGGTAGTTTCTGTTCTCAGTTTGGAGCACGATAATACATATGCCAGAAGTTACTAACGCCAGCCAAGCAAAACTAATTTCAGCATTTTGTGTCTCTCAGATCAGAAAAAAAGAATACTTTATCCGTTTTAGGCATCTGAATGCTTAGACGCATCCTCCACAGTCACCAACACCGTCTTCAGCACACAAATAACTTGAGGTTGTCCCAGAGGTTTAACACAGTAAGCTATGTTTTTTTTAAAAAATACATCTCAAGTAAGGAGCAAGTCTGTCAGAATACAGCTTACATTAGAAGTGATTTTCAAACCAAAGCTGATGATTTTGCCAAAATACTTTACTTTCAACACAACTTTCTCTGGAAGTTTGAAACTCAGATACCACCGTTCAATAGGCAACATGAATAACTCATTAAAGTGTAACATTTTCATGAGCATACATATGTTAAGAGTATTTCTCCTCAACTTTTCGGCCTCCAACCCCCCCCCCCCCCCCCCACTAAAGGAATTAATCCTAAAACAATGACTGAACAATGCAATCACCTTTAAAACTTATTCGACCACAAATGTTTTTACAGAACACTATAAACTACAAGTACAACGAAGACAAGTTAACATCTATTACACCAGTTCTCAGTCTTTTATATTTAATCACAAGAGCGTTGATTAGCCAACAACAGTGGATCAAACAAATATGAGGCTTCTTCAGAGGAGTACGCATGTGATCACGATTTGTATTGAATCTTACGAACTAACACTGAAATGTTTCAAACTTACCATTATTCATGGCTAGCACTTGCATATTCTCAAACTCCAACGTCGTGTAGGCAGGGTCTAAAGCTGCAGTGTAATCTGGCAAGTCCATTTCTATTAAAGCTTTAGACAAGCGCATTGTTACCAAAAACTCCAGCAATCCTCCTCTCAGTTACCCTCTTCTGAAGGTTGATGAGCACTTTGCCAGGCTTACATTCAATGTGTTCCTATCAACTATGCTGTTTAACAAGCATCTTGCTGAAGTGAAGCACTAGCAAGTAGAGCTATATGCTGATGAGGGGTGGAGGGGGTTTTCGTGTTAATATTTAATCTCTCCACCTCTTGATGTTTTTTTTGAAGCACTGATTTCCAAGGAAGCTTATTATTTAATGACATGTATTTGCTGATCTCAGCCACTGTTTTCTTAATATTTCTTAGTAAAAGTTGACTGGGCAGCGATCGTATTATGGATAACTGATTCATTTCAGCAGGCAGATCTTTACTGTCACCCACAAGTAGTAAATAACACTGCCGGCTGAACTTTCAAGATCAAAATGACATGACACAGGGCAATAGCATAGTGCAGAATCTGCAGATAAATGAAATCCATGATTGTAACAAATGAACTAATTTACCCCATGAAAATCTCTGTTCAACCCTAGATTGTTAAACTAAAAATATTATAATATGCATAATCTAAACTCAGGCAATACCCAATATGAAAGTGACTCAGGTGAGATAATACTGATAACAACGCTCAGTGGTGGTTGCCTATAAGGAACTTAGAAATGTCCTCACAAAATGGAGTTAATGATTCAACAAATCATCGGTGTCTCAATTTTTAAAAAAGTAATTCTACATCTGTAACCCTTTTACTGATGGAAAATAAATCCCTTCAAAATGTACTAATTAAACGCCAGATTTTACAATAGCTACATTAGTACGGGGTATAATTTGACCCAAACTCCCTTCAATCAGCAATCATTAATGACTCGATTTCATTGACATAGTGGTCACTTGTCTCTCTGTTCATTATTCAAATAGTCGCACCCACTGCTCATAGTTTTGACCACTTTTAATTCTTTCATTTATCAAATGCAAGGATTATTATTTATTGTTATGTTCTTTACAGTTTAAATCACACTGTAGAGATTGTTTCTAAGTGGTTTTCGGTGATGGGTCAGGTCAGCCAGACCAATAATACTGCCACATTACATATGAATGGGTGTTACTTTTCTTAGTGTGGTTGAGCTTCCTAAAGTAGCTATGTTTTCCAGGAGGTTGTTATCTTGTTGACCAGGTACTTTTCCAGCCATTTCAGAATAGTCTTATTAACAGTCCCAGTAGCACCAATGATTATAGGAACTATGGTTATGTTACATTGCAACATACATCCACATTCAATTTGTAGATCGATATTTTCCTTTATTATTGTTATTACTGCTTGTTCTTGCTTGCTCCTGACTGCTTCATGTGTAACTTGACTTCATTGCACTTGACAGTGAAGCCATTTTTCTACCATATATAATGGTCAAATAGATTTTATGTCTGATTCAACTTTAACCGATGTACCTCCTTTTCAATTGCCCAAACAAACTAGAGTAATTTAAAATCCAAAACGCCGATAAGTAAGAAGAAACTGTAGTCTGGAAATGTATCTTTGGAAAATACAGGCGAGGTGGTGGTTTTGTGAGCGTTTTCATTTGGTGCAAGTTATTTTTGTTGCATTGCTACATGTCAGAGACATATTTTGTTGTTGATTTCTTGCACTGTCACTGCTTGACACCCAAGAAAAACATTTCACTATATTAGAGGAAAACAATCTCCAGGTAAAAGGCATTTGTCCCCAATGGGTCAATAGTTTTTCAATCTCTCCCTTTTTTGCCATATTCTTTGCTTTATCAACTAACCACTAGGGAGTGGCACTGGATTTGCCTATGCTGTTACTCACCAATACTTCGAACATCTAGTAATGATGCCAGTAACGATTAATATAAATTGGAATGCATATTTTAAAATGGTATTACTGATTAATATTACACTCTGTTTGTATATTATTGATATATAATATATATGTATGTGAAAGGATAGGATGTGCAACCAACATTGAAAAAATAGCAGAGAAAGTGACAAATAAAATGAAGTGGTTAGACAATATTAAACAAATAATAAATAAAATAATCCTTGCACTTAATATAGCGCCTTATCACGTCTTTGAGACACTTCAAAGCGCTTCGCAGAATATACTGTAAAGTGAATTGACTGTATACTTTGTGGGCAAAATACTTGACATGGAGACAATGTGAGATGAAGATATTAAACATGGATTGTGAACATTTGTAGACCATTAGACATAAGTAAACCCGGGAGAGGTAAGGAGTTCCACAGTTTTAAGGGTTTGGAAACGAATGAGGAGACAAGTGTACTGAGCCTTGACTTCAATAAAATGAACAGGTAATGAAAAGGAAAAGCATGTATTTGGAACTTTTGAGGAACAGAGACGACAAAGCAGAATTGTTCAGGATGAATGCGAAGGAAAAAGACAATTTTTTTNGTGGAGGGAGGTTGAGGATGGAGTCCAGAGGTGAGAGGGGATTCCAGATCACACACAAATCTTTTCTTACGTTTTAGTCAAGAGTTTGAGTGGTACAAAGAGATTCTCCCCAGATATAATAAGCTAAATTCAAAGCTTGCAGGAACTTGACCTTTAGAAACAGTTGAGAATAGTTGAGAGAAAAGCATTTGGCACGGAGGAGGAAACCAAGGTCCGTGAGGGCAGGTAGAGCAATGGAGAAGATATGGACATTCCATTTGAGATCAGGGGAGATAATGAAGCCAAGAATTTGAAAGATGAAGAAGAATTAAGAGTGGAGCCATTACAGGTGATAGCACAGCAAATTTGCACACAAGCACAAAGATTGGTCATTAGTATTTATAGTCCATGGTAGTTAGCCCTTCTGAATAAAAGACAACACATCAGTCATGTAAAAGAGAGTTAATACACAGTAATGTATCGTGGCATATTGTCTCCATGTCAATTTGTGACAGTGAATTGCACGTTGCAAACTGGGTAAGATAAATACTTGCTCGAGTAGAAAAGCTTTAACACCAAATTATGAAGAAGGTTATATGTATGGAGGAGACATGAAGAAAAAAAAATGCATTGTATGCTCCAAGTAAATAAAATATAGAGGGAGATGCGTATAACAAATTGATAAGAAATATACATGCACCATATAGTTTTAATTTTTCTTATTACCACATGCCTGGAAGTGGAGGAAAAGTTTCTGTATTCAATTATTGGTGAATGATAACCAAAGGATATTTTAGTATTTTTTTTTAAATGGCTTAATAAACTGCAGGTTTGTGCTCACAAATATCTGAATAAACTACTAGATACATCCATTAGCTATCTATAACTGCATACGGGATACCAAACAGTTTAATACATGCACATAAATCTAATTCATATGTTACATGTAACCACACTTTCCAATTGGAAAGCAGTTGCAAACTAAAAAGTGACGATAACACTTGTGTTCCAAGTGTGAACTTGATAATCAGAGGGGTTATAAAGAAATGTATAAAGAAATTGTGTGAAGACATGACATACTGAACAATCTCCTGAAAAGCTGCTGAACTCATGGATTGAAAATAGTGTTTGAATGGAAAAAAGAATAAATCTGCATTTGTGGAGTTGCAATTTGTTTGAAAATCTGACCCTGTGCCCTATTTGTTTGAGTAAGAAAAATTGCAGAATCCGTTTGCCATAGCCATGTTTGTTGTCTAGAGCTCTGTGGTCTTCTGATGTGTTCTATGTGATAAACTGTGATGTGGGGGGGCGGAATTGGAGAGGTCATCTTTCGCATTTTTCAGGAGATAAAGACTTGGATCTTTAACAACGTTTAAACCAAAGTCTTTTTCAATCTTTTCTTGAATGTTCAAGTTCCCGCGAAACATACATGCACTCATCTTTTATTAATTTGGACAATACTTATAGTTTTTAAGCACGTTAATGATTTATCTATGTGCTCGTTTCAGTCATTCTGCAAATAAACAACACTGTATGAACATACCTAGGATCGAAGCAGTTTGTGGACATTTTAACTTGCATTTGTACAGTGGTTCCTAGCAAGCAAGATAAGCATTTCTAGTTTGAAAGAATGTGTGTTTTTCTTTTATGACTTAATAAGTCACAGGTTTAATGTGATGGCATCCTCATAGACAATGATCAACCATGTAGAAGCCGATATATCCTTCTCTGACTGAGAGAGACACATTGGTATCTGTTACTTAGCATCCACTTCCACTCATGTGTACAGTGAAATCTCCTTGTAACAAACCACCTCTCATTATTACACACACAGCAAATATTCCAATTACTGCTATTGGAGAGGCAAAAACATATCATGAGCACGACTGTCATTATCCAAATGTATGCAGTGAATATATTCATCTGATCCATCTTTTCTCATCTGCTGCATGCTTCCGCTTTCTTTTGCTACCTTATTTCAGTGTATATCCACAGATATACCATTTCATAAAATATTATTTCGATGCTTTGCTAAATATAGGGCAACCCTATCAGAACATCTCTTTCCCTCCAGCAGATTTGTTTAGAACACACATCTACTGTGCACCCACATTAACAGGACAATGTTTCGCCCACAAAATATACAGTCACTACACTTTACAGTATATTTTTTTTTAACCCAGCCCCAAGAGAAAAATATATTAGTGACTTAAAAGAAGCTTGTAATATTCTATTGGCACAGTGCAGGTATTTGAATGTATTGCACATACTGTAATTACATGACAATACACTAGTACTAGTAACATAAAAAAGAGAAAAAAGGCAGAAATATAATGTTCAGTTCTGTAAATTTGATCAGTTTCTATACACTTTTGTCCCTGTAACTTTAAGACTCTACTTCAATAGGAATGAACAGATCTGTTGCACTTAAATCATGAAACAGAAATAAGACACTCTGATTTACAAATATTCAACAAGCACTTGTACAGTACAGACCTGCTGATCACTGATAACGTATAAAAAATGTGTCCAAATTTTGAATCACATTTTACAATTTTGGTTTCAATGAGTGTTTCACCAATGATTTGGAACAGCTATTGATCTGAACGTTTTGGGCCTAGTAAACTATTTCCCCTTGGGTTAAAGAAGTAATAATAATAAATAATAATCCTTGCATTTGATATAGCGCTTTTCACATCTTCGAGACGTCTCAAAGCACTTCGCAGAATATACTGCAAAATGAATTGACTGTATATTTGTGGGCGAAACGCAGCAGCCAATTGCTCACTGCAGTGTCCCACAAACAGGCATGGATTGAAGTGACCAAATTATTATTTTCTTTAGGGATTATTATCCTGGAAAAATGATCCGCCAATTGACTAACAACCAGGTTTCTATTGCTGCCAGGTAAAGAGAGGGTGTGGAATGTGGAAACCTGCCCAACATTTTGCTCTGCTGGGAATAGAACCCAGGTCTCTCGCTTACGAGGTGAATGCTCTGAGCTACTGAGCTACAGGACTCCACGTAATATTGAATGTACAATAATGCCCACAGTCAATGACATACTCATGGTTACACCATTAAAGGAATCCTCAAAAACTGACTCCACTTGAAAAACTGAAATCATACAAGTGGCTCATATCTTATCAACACTGCCATTACATATTCCACGTGTCACTGCCAGAATTTGATTCACTCTGAAGGGTAGAGTTATCGTGGTCAATGCAAATCCCAATAAAATGCAATCTACAAGGTTAAAGAACAGTAGAAAAATGCCTCCCTAAGATACAACCTACGAATTAGGGCAAAGGTTAAAAAAAATTCTATTTGGAGGTTTTTTTTTCATGATACAATATGGGCAAGAAATTCAGATTCAGAGTGACAAATGTGCTCATGTGGAGGGTGATGGAAAAAAAAAATTAGGCCTCTATGGTAAGCGACTGCTGCATGTCGTAGAGGTTCGGTTCTCTGTTACCACTTAACAAAACATTTGCTAAGTTTTCCTGAGTTACTCTACTACTTTCGAGCTCCAATCACAGCATAAACATTTTTTCTCATGTGCAACTAGGAGCTCAGAGAGGTGACTTGTGTTATTTTATTATAGAATAATATGTAGAAAAATACTTATGTCATCATTTGAACATTTTGCACTGGCAAACGGGATTTAAGCACTCAATGCTGCTCTTGGCTCTTTTGTGATGGATTTTTTGCTGTGCCTTTGCACGAAGGAGCATGTACCAATGAGCAAAGGTCAGCGTAAGTACAGTGCACATACCATGTTCACATAAATGTTTTCATTTCCAATGGACTGAAGGGGTGTGATCATTCTTCCATGATGGAGTTAGTGTGCACTGGTTGACCTTGTAGATCACTGGTCATTACAGTGTAATTTGGAAGGCACGTTAAAATAATGATCATAATTAAAAACCTGCAACTCAGAGAAAAAAAAGTGCATGTTCTACCCCTTACTTTTTCTTTTACCTAATGTCGTACGTGAAAAAAGGTATGTCTGATCTTCAAACCTTTTGCCGATGCAGTATATTCAAAACTATTCTGGATTAAACTAGGCAATAGTATAAGTAACAGTTGCCATTGTTAGAAAAAGTAAATCACTTTTTTTCACCCCCAAGTTATGCTGTGATTTACTTATACTAAGACCTAGTTTTCAAAAAGTAAAGGCAATTGTTCTGAGTTGGATAGTGAGTCCTTTACCATTGTGAAAATTGGAATGGAGACTTTGTGTTATGATTGTGATGTTATTTTTCCTGATCTACACAGAGTGTCACTGATGTACGTTTACGTTGTCTCAGCACAATGATTTCAAGCATTTAGTTATCGTACGCAGACCGCACTATCCTTGTATCTAACCATAGATTAAACCTGTTTTCCTATTTGAGCTGAGAGTCCCTTGTCTCCTGGCTGATTCTGCTCAATTCCAGACAGCACTCCATATCCCATCTCCATTGAGTTACCGCTGATATCTTTAAATTCTCTGTAATAAAGGCAATCAGTGGAATTTTAAGGCAGGGTTGTCGTGCTGCTGAATTGTTGTCAAGAAGGTCAAATACCTGCAGAAACATCCAGGAACAGCCTTTACTGAAAAATGACACTCAAATCACTGTGTTGGCCACCAGGGAACATCATATTGTTTTTAATGTTAAAATTAAAACATGAATAACCGGCACAACGATGCCATTGTGGAATTCTGTCGCTAAATGGTTAGAGAGTTCGCCTCGCAAGCGAGAGAACCCGGGTTCGATTCCCGGGCAGGGCAAAACCTTTGGCATGTTTCCTTACTCCACACACCTCTGTTTATCTAGCAGTTAGTAGGAACCCAGCTGTTAGTCGATTGGCGGATCACTTTTCTGGGGTAATAATCCCTCAAAAAATAATTTGGTCACTTCAATCCACTGCTGTTTGTGGGACGCTGCTGTACACAATTGTCTGCCCCGTTTCGCCCACAAAATATACAGTCAATTCACCTTACAGTATATTCTGTGAGAATTCTCGATGACGTGATAAGGTATAATATCAAATGCACGGATTATGATTATTATTAATATCATTCCCATCAGGACTCGTGCAATTGCAATCGCAAATGTGATCTGTCTGTTTGATTATGGAAAAGGCCTGACACATAGTGATGAATATGTTGAAGTTACATGAGAGTTTACCTCACACCCTCTGAATCACATGTGCCACAATGTTAAAAGAATGAGGAGCTCAGTAAGATAATAATAAAGTAATCCTTGCATTTGATATAGCACCTTCAAGAGTCTCAAATTGCTTCATAGAAGGATCATCAGCCTCTCCTACCTCCTGGAATTTTGATGCCTTCTTTTTAGGTCTTGTTTCTTAGAGGGAAATAATATGTAGCGCTTTCTAATTTCTGTATTAAGGAGGGGAATTATTTACAAGCACCATTTTTATTTTATTATTACACGTTCAGTGCAAGGTGAGAGCGGGAAATCACAACGCTTTAGATTTCAACCGAACCCTACGTCCAACATGTGAAGAAAAACAACGAAGACTTGTGACATTCTATGACAGCAAAACCTGTATATGGTTGTATATAAAAGATTTATTGGCCTGGGGGAAAATATTGTGAAATAGTTGTAAGGTCCAGGAGAATAGGATTCTGTCCTTTTAATTTTCCAAAGTGCATCTCTTTTGACTGTTTGTCTTTCCCGTGAGATTCTTGCAAAATTCCTTGCTCTAGTTGCAAGAGGAAGAATTTTAGAGAAGGATTAAGGTCACTGACTGATGTGGTTGTTTTTTTTTTCTTTGAAATTACAAACTCCACTTTATGGACAAAGTCCTGTCTGCTTTAGAGTATGGATCTCCGACCATTGACCAAACTCCAGGTGAAACAACTGCCTATTTAAACTTTCTCGGACTCGCTGCTGCTAGTACTCCCAGTCTGATAGTCCTGGTGACCTGGGGGAGCTAAAGAGAAATGCTGTGAAGTTAGCTGCTTCCTTGGGATCTAGAACGCATGGCCGGATTGCAGCACTTACTGAACAATGTTACGGGGAGAGAGAAAAAAAAGATTGCAGCTTCTGAGAAACTGATCGCAATTCTTAAGGTATGTTTCAAGGTAGTGATACGGGAATTATTATATTACCTTCTAGCATTTTGAATGCCAGGGAGTCAAAGTGATAGTTTCATGGAGATGTCCTCAAACGACTTTGTAATAATTTTAATTAGTCTTGCAAAATCTGGAAACTAATGTACTGTATTGTGTATATATATCTAATGGCCCTTTGAAACTTGCCACTAGAGGCTGCTTCTGAATCGATGCATGTGGCGTTTCTGAATCTGTCGTTGGCTATTTTCGTTTGGTTGCTTTTTACTTTAACGCTTACATGAGCAGTTCTGAAAGCAGTTACATTTAGGAAGTACAAGCCTCCTGTATATCACTTGTGATATGAGGCTGTTTTTGTGGGAGCAGCATGTCACCTGGTTAACTGATAATTAGGATTCTCCATTGGCTCAGCTACGGGTGGTTCAAGGTTCGGTATTCTTTGCTGATTTAGCTGATCTCAGACGTGGTGCTAAAATTGGCTCCAGGGTGCCAACTTAGGGCGGGCATAAACAGTCACGATTCCTGTTCCTGACTAATATCTAGTGTAACATCCTCCGAGAGGTGCTCATGCGAGGGCAGAGATGGGCAGCTGAGGTAAACTCAATACCTTGAGGCGAGTGTTTGTACTCCACGAAGGTCAAGAGAAAATCCCAGTATTCAAAATGAAAGACATAAATAATCCTCTGCTTCTAATTCAATTTTTTAAACATTTTTTATGCTCGACTGTTTCTCAGCTCGCAGTCTATTATTTATGTAATCATAACATTGCCAGTTCCACCATCAGCATCTGAAATTTAAGCCGTCTGTTGAATCTTCAGAGGTTATCTAATTTAGGAACGTTCATTATTTTCTGATTGTGAAAGGACAGAAATAATATTTCAGGGTCTACTTTGCAAAGAATAAATCTTTATCCTCTAGTTCATTCCAGTTTGTGTTGTGTTGATAAATCCAGGATTTTAATGAAGAACTAGGTAATTATAAACCACTTGATGTGGTTCAACTATTTCACAATACATTTCCAAAATAAGATTGATTCGTTATTGCCCAATGCATGTTTTTTTTTAGATCACAGCCATATAATAGTCTCTTCTTTTGCGCAATGATCCAAATATACTGCAAATCTCTTCTGCATTTTGTATCAAATGAAACCTGTATAGTACATCACAACCTGAAAGAGGTTTTGTTATCCTTGTTAGAAAACTTGCACCCAACCTTTTTCTGTTTTCCATTTTGTGCTGTGGGACGCGTACAACAACGATAACAACAAAAACAACTTGCAGTTATATAGCGTCTCAGAAGGCTTAAGTCGCTATACCGTCGCTGTATAGTAAGCCTCATTTCCAACATTGCCACAGTTTCAGTTTTGTCAACCTTTTTGCGCCGCACTGATGGCTATAGTTTGGTATAGTTTCGAGAATAATTGACAATAGAGAGTTCTAAGTCCATAGCACAATATACAGACTCAGGTGGCATCATAGGAAGCGAAGATCAAATCATTTATAGAGTATCTGAATCCTAAGGTTTTGCTACTGTTTCAAGTTTCTCCAAGGTATTCCACCCCCTTATTGCCACAAGAGATAGATAGATGAGCCATTCGTTTGCATAACTTGGCTGATTTACATAATACGGTGTGAGTGGATCTATCCAGACAATTCTTATCAGTGTTTCTGCACTTCAGAGTTCCAAAGGCATGTTCTACATCTGATCCCGTGGCCTAATGTGCTTTACTAGTTTTGTTTCACTACAATCTTTGGATTATACTGGTGACGTCAACTAAGGTTTCAAACCGTACCCTTCATCAGCCAAGCAAACCATGGTTGTATGTTTTTATTATCCTCAAATAATACTGGTTGCACGTGCAAAATAAATAAATTTCTTGGTGGTTCATATAGTTTTTTTTAAAAAAATGGTAATGGTACTCTGTCCATTAAAGATAACCTGTATGTTTAGGTGCTTGACATCCTTGTGGTAAATGTGGGCTGGAGAACTTTCAGAGGGTTCTCTATCTTAATGAGCAGGAACCCTGAATGTTTGGAATCCTGCAATGTTATGAAGGTATGAGGGGTGACTTTAGGATCTTTCTTTGCGGAGAGAAATGAATGACATTTGATCAACGCTCCTTAAAAGTTCTAATGCCCTGAATACAATTGGACATTGTGCCCTGAGCAGTGGCCGTATAGTTTCTTCAAATGGTCCAATCTTTTTGAAGGAAACTGAACAGTGACAGGGATTTTGATTTTGGTTCTATTTATAGTAATACTGTATTGCTTTTCTTAAACAGGAAAGGATCACTGATCAGAGACTGATGGATCGCATTACTATAACTATAACACAACGAAGTTGCAGTGCGAGATTGTGCAGTGATGTACTTCAACCGAGATACTACAATAGGGAACACTGAAATCCACCGAAATCCACGCAACATAAGGCATCAGAAGCCTATTTATTTAGTCAGAACTTGCATGAGAATCGCATTGAGGTCATTTTAAAAGATGCTCAATGCAAACCTTAGTGAAAACCAATTCTCACCCAAATGTCCACCAAATATAATAGGAAATCAGTTCTGGAGAAGCATCATCCCTGAAAGTAACCTATCTTTTTGGAGATGTTGACCTAACCTGGTGTGGGTTTGCAAAACATTCTGGTTTTATTTCAGATTTCCAACATTTGCAGTTTATCTCTACTTATTTAGATTAGCCCGACTCTTGGAGTTGGTAAAGAAAGAGAGTTACACGAACAAATAGTAGATTAGCATTTCTAAAGATACAAATTGGGACAACTAATCTGCTGGGTAAGTGTGCATTGTGTGCAAAATATACACTTCGACAAAATGTCACTTGTTATTATAAATGTATCATTTAAATCTAATCCCAACTGATTTAACTCATATTGACCTACCCACAAACAGCAAATGTTACAATCCAGCCAAACTAGGGAGTACTCTCCTTCACCTGTGGAAGCAGTGAGCATTCTCTTGTCTGAAATAGACTATCTAAGAAAAAACACCCCACCCCACCCTGCCAAAGGCGATGTCTCTCAATATTTTACACCACACCCGGCAATTGTACCTATAACAGAATACAACAACAACTTTCATTTATATAGTGCCCCTCACGCAGAGTAGTGTCCCAGACCGCTTACCTTTCATGGATGCCTTTTATGGAACTGTTTCCATTCCTTACGTAAGATATAACAACACAGTGTTACAAAATCTGTTTCATCCATCCATACATTGCAGAAAATCACACTCCAAGCAAATATTTCCTTAACAGAAGTCACATTGCATTTCTAACAACAGAACAACTACAAGACCAGAGATTCTTAAGATGCTTGAAGGGCTGTTTTGATGGCACTTCATGCTCTGCAATCCTCTCAGTGTATCAGCTTCTCTTTTATTTAATTCTTTGCATGCTTCTAAGTGTATTTACTTCTGTTCATCAATATAAAAGCAAATTCCAGCTACAAGTCAAGAATAGCTAGGGTGAATTCCAGTGAGTAAGCACGAAGCCTAAACTACAATTTCTGTTCTGCTCTGCATTGTTGTTGAAAAATCCCAGACACTGCATTGAATGTTTGTTTTGTAATTTTATTAAACAGCCACTTAAGGGGCCCTAAAATAACGTTCTGAAGCAGTCCGTTCAAAGTTCGTGAGCCGTGTAGTGACAGAGCATGGAAGTTCAGAGGGTGCTTTCTAGCTGCTGCCTTTACAGTGCAAAGATGTCAAACATACAGCTCCTGAAGTCAACTTCTCCAGGAACAAGAATACACTACAATTTGCAACATCTTTTACACGGCATGTTTGGTGGCAATTCACTACCAGGTTACAGTGTAAAGGCATTTACCAATTCTTCCCAGTATAGCTCGGTGAAAAATTAACTTTTATGATAGTAATACTATTTCTGGGAAAACTGCACCTGTTATTTTTCAAAGTGTTACTTATCCATATTGGTCCCAACACAACAATGTTCCTTGACACCACCAACAATGTCATTTCGGCTTATTCTTAAAGGAGCGTACATCATCGCTCCTGCAATTTTATCCTCTAAATGTATTTGATTAAGATGTCATTCGTGTTTTGATTACATCCCCAAGATCCATGGTGGTTCCAGGGTTTTCCCACTAAAACATTACAGATTCTCTCTTATAAAAATTTCAGTGGGGTGACTATTTCCAAGAGGTTACGCCTAGACTCTTATCATGAACTGAATTTGCGTAAAACCCTGATGCTCTTGAAAGAGTTAAATGATTAAACAATGATGGCGTCTTCTGAGCCAGTACAGTTCACCAACTGTTTGAATAACAACCCTTTCCAGTAATGCCATCAAAAGTAGCAGAAGCAGAAGTAGCAGAAGCACCTAAAAATATATACCAGATGATAAGCACTAGGATTTCACATACAGCTGTTTTGAACAGAATTTCTACAGCAATTCTACACTCTGCCATAAAACAATTCGAATACAAAACCAATAAAAGCTGTAGTTTTTCGGCGCACGGTAAGTTAAAACGTACTGTTAAATGTTTAAACAAAACCATTTTGCAAATCAATCACAGATTTCGATAAAATGGATCAATTATTAACAGGACTGCGGCTGATAGTCAGCCCGTTCCTCTGCCTGATGAGTGAATACAGATAGGAAAGAAGGATTTTTGGTTAGTCTCAATATTTCTATACTCGTGGAGTCCTGCAGCTCAGTTAGAGCCCTCGCCTCGCAAGCGAGAGACCTGGGTTCAATCCCCAGCCTTGCGAAATGTTGGGCAAGTTTCCTTACTCCACACACCTCTGTTTACCTAGCAGTAAGTAGGAGCCCGGTTGTTAGTTGATTGGTGGATCGCTTTTCCGGGGATAATAATCCTTAAAAAAAAATAATTTGGTCATTCAATCCACGACTGTTTGTGGAACACTGCTGTGCGCAATTGGCTGCCATATTTCGCCCACAAGTATACAGTCAATTCACTTTACGGTATATTCTGTGAAGCGCTTTGAGACGTCTCAAAGACGTGAAAAGCGCTAAATAAAATGCAAGGATTGTTATTAACTTTAAAAAATATTTGTTCCCCTTCCAGAACACCTTGTGTTATCGAATCCAGTTTTGGTGTTGGTTCAGCAATGACACATTTTATTTCACCCATCATAAACACACATAAGGGATGTCATTTATAATGTACTAGGTCGATGACACTAAGGTCTGTGATGATTTGAGTTGCACGTAAACTAGAATGGTTTGTCAATTTTTATTACATCACGAACTGTTTTGTAACTTTATTTTACTCGTCTAACCTTTCAGATTTCGAAGCTTGAGCCTCACTCTCTACCCCCCCACCCACCCCATCCCTCAGGGTTCTGGACTGCGATGTCCATGGTATTCCCTGAAACTCCATACCCCAGAGCTAAGCAGACACTGTACTACCCAGCAGGTGGTGCTCCCTGTCTTTTCATCACTATGCTGACTCCATCCTCAGACTCCATCACAGTGATCACAACAAATGCATTTTTGAATGATTTCGCAAGGTGGAGATTTCACACGAACAATACGAAGCATCCCACTATGGCAGCAGCCGTGAATTAACATATTAATAATAATAATCCTTGTATTCGATACAGCGTCTTATCACATCTTTGAGGCATCTCAAAGCGCTTCACGGAGTATACTGTAAATTGAATTGACTATATTTTTATGGTGAAAAGCAGCAGGCAGTTGCGCCCAGCAGTGTCCTACAAGCAGTAGTGGATTGAGTGACCGCATTTTTTTTTAAGGATTATTACCCCCCCTTGCCAATTGACTAACAAACCCAGGTCCTCTCGCTTGCCAGGCGAGTGTTCTAACCACTGAGCTACAGGACTCCACAAAATCCTCTTAGCTGCGCATTAACATTCACAAAAAACATGAGTGATTGCAGTTCTGCCAAGTCTGAATCTATCAACATTGTCTGCATAATTGAATTTGCACAATTCACTTTATCTGTTATTAATCGTGAGGCGAAGAGGTTTCAATGAGTCCAAAACATTGCTTCGGTCAGATTGTATCTTTTAAAATGCCTTGAGCCAGGCTGTTAAATACTACCAACCCCAACATAATGGCCTGAAGTTATCTGATTTGACACCAAATGGTTATGACTCGTCGATATACATGTCTGGCAGATATAGCTGAGTGGTTACAATTTTTCGCAGGTGATGATAGGGTTTATTTATGGTTATAATAATTATAATAATAAATAATAATTCTTGCATTTGATATATCACATTATCACATTTTCTAGATATCTTGCAGTGCTTCACAGATGATACTGTAAAGTGAATTGATTGTATATATATGTGGGTGAAAACATCACTATTTAAATATCACCATCACTGCCATCTTACACACTGTGGGAAAAAAAATGAAGCAATCCTGATTGCAATTGTCACACACACATTCTGATGACTTTAATAACAATTAATAACAAAATAACGTTAAAGGTTAAGTTTGTGGGGGATAATTTGTAATGTTAGCAGGATTAATTAAACGGTAGGTATATTGGGTGGACAGGCCTTCGTGACTGCCTTTATTGTTTATTACTGAATCCGTAAGAGTTCTTTTGATTAAGTGATCAAGTTACACACTTACAGTCTAATTCCTCTGCTTGCGCTGTAGTAAATTCTTACATTCATAGCGGTTTATTCAGTCTGTGCTAATGACAGAGGCCTCGATACCCAGTGTGCCGTGGAGCAAAACACCATTACCTCCGTTCATGTTGTCCACAACTCTGCTTGTAACTGACTGGAGAGATTGTCCAGTTGGCATGAATGCAATAATGCCCAACAACCCTCTGGGGCTCTCCGTTAACAAACTGTTTCAGGGCGAGTGAAAGATCCCAAGCGTGTGGCGTATGAGGATAATCCTTTAATTCCTGTCACACTGAGATTTGATTGGGGACAGAGTAAATAGTCTAATGGGCCATAGTGCAGAGCTTGCTTTATTTTTATTGTATCTTTTCAATAGCACCTTCTTAGAGTGTTCTCCACAGATTAACCCTTTTGGCACAGAGATTCTTTGAATGTTGTAGTGTGGTGTAAAGCAATGAATAAGCCAACAGATGAATATCTCAGGAAAATAAATTACTTGCCTACTTTAAACCACTTGTAGAGTAGATTATGGACACCACCATCGAATGTAATCGAGGGCAGTGGAAGAGGCAAAGACCAATCTCCTCCTTCCCAAATATTATCATCCACCTAGAATTCTAGATCTTGGATGCATCGCTGTTCTCTCTGAAATAAGTATTTTCCTTTTCATTGAGAACACACTCTCTTTGGCCCTCGTTCCATCTCAAAAAGGAAGTGTATTCATCAGGACTCCTGCATAATTGTCAATAATATAAAGAAAACATGTCTATGTATACGACGATGTCTCCCAGGCTTCCTTTTTCCCCCCTTGTCTTTCATATTTCAAAACTGTGGATCAGAATTGGCTGAGATCAGATCATTGTGCACAATCCCTGAGTAACATTAGCAAAGACAACTCTGGTTATATACATTGGCAATAATATATTCAACAGCCTCCATGACCAATTTTGCCTACTACCCATTCATGTTGTTGCTGGAGCAACTCTTAAGCTTGCTCCAATTGAAAACTAAACCCGACTGACCAAGATCCCAGTTCTTGGCTGCAGGACACGTCCATTTCTAAGCCCAGATTTAACGAGGGGATAAAATAAAGGCTAAACGTTCTGATGAATTCCAGCTACAAAAACTGGATCTCCCGGAATTGGATAAACCATTTCTCAAACTCCCCAAATAACAATGTTAGTTGCAAGTGGCAACATCTAGTAATCTAGGTTGATGCTTAGTATTTTAAGGCAATTGCTATTAATTGAAAGTATCAACGATAAGGTTTCGAATATATTGTAAGCGATTCATCCTCAACTGATATTTAGCTGTGTAGTACACACTTGTTTAGGAAAGATGTTTTTTTCAGGGCAGAAATCACACAGACTTTCCTCATTTTGAGCCTTCTAAAATATCGGCTCATTGGGACAATTCTTCCTCTCTGTAAATCACGATGACAAACGTTTTCCACTCTTTCTTATTGTACGTGGTTTAAAATAATTGAAGAACATACAAATGGACCAAAGTTAAGAAAGGAAGGGACAGACCAAACAAACTTGATGATTTCGGCAAGGATCTGGTTAATACCAACCTGATGAAAGGCACATAGGCAAAATGGTCAATGAGGGATTTGTTTTAAAGGGAAACATTTCATTAGTGAGGATCATAAGAGTGAAAATACTTTTCCAAAGAAAACATAACTTGAAAATCTGAGTATTTTTTNCCAAGGATAGATCAGTTTGATTTATATAATGATATGACCACGGTGTGTGGAATGAATTGATTTGATTACAATACATTTCATTTCCAAAAGTTTCAGCGCCCTGGGACATCTTTCTGACGTGAAAGGTGCTGTACAAGTGTAATTTGTTATTTTGCTTCATGTCCTCAATGCAGGATTCGAATATTCAAAGTGTTAAGCATTTCTTTCAAACCAAGTTTGCCTCTCAAGATATCTTGAAACTGAACCTATTGGATTTTACCAAAACATTCCAAGGTTCTGTTCTGCTTGAAGCATTTTGAAGAGGTTTGGTA